CAAGAAAAATACCGAGTACCTGTTGGAGGAGAGCAACATGGCTGGGAAGGTCTGGGCTGTAAATGAGGACGTCGTCAAGGTACGCGATGACTCCCTGACCTAATAAGGGCTGTAGGTATGCATTAATGTTGGCCTGAAAGGTAGCAGGTGCGCCTTTGAGGCCAAAGGGCATGACCCTATACTCGAATAACCCCATAACCGAACGGAAAGCTGTCTTCCATCGGTCTTCCTTGGCCATCCTTATCTGGTGAAACCCTGACTCGAGATCGAGGGTGGAAAAGTATCGGGCACCCCCCAACATCTCAAGAATCGTTTGAATAGGTGGTAGTGGGAAGTCCGGCGCAATCGTGAGGGCGTTCAGCTCCCTATAATTAACGACCATGCGCATCTTGCGCTCGCCCGTCTCATCGCTTCGCTTATCAACCATAATCGTAGGTGCGCAGATCGGGGAGTAGGTAGGGCCTATCCACCCATTAGCGGACAGCTTCGCTATCTCCTGCTTGTGAAATAAAAGTTGTTCGGGGGTCATGCGGTAGATCGCCGATTTCGTAGGGAGCTTCCCTGGCACAAGAAGAATACGATGATCGTGAGGGCGCTTCGGCGGCAAACCTGTAGGAAGTTTATCAGGAAAGACAGCACGGTGAGCACACAACACATCCTTTATCACACGGGGAGTTTCCTGCGCCTCCACGCTCCATGCGCCTCCACGGAGGTTAGCCACAGTTTGGCCGATGGCCAAGGGGATGTTTCCTCGTCATCGGGAAACGCGGAAACGGGTAGTGCCTTAGGAGACTGTCGGTGGGGGTTGGAAGGGGAGACTTCGATTAAGGCACAACATAAAGCCCCTTGCCACTCCTCCACTAGACGTAGAGCCACGTCGGTCTCCATCGCGGGAAGCGCTAGCATAACGTAGAGCCCTTGAAGTGGGTGGTGTATGCAAGCTGCACTCTCCGAAGCCCGCTGTAACAGGGCAGCAACCACTGATTTTCCCTTGCCCCTCGGAGGTGGCTTATACCTCTTAGGGGGTGGTCGTAGAAGTGTAGTAGCTTCCTCCCTAGACATGTCTGCCACCTGCTTAGCCAGTATGTCGTACGCCTGCTCTGCGGGGGTCCGTTGACGCGTCCCTAAGGTACTGCCGGTCCGTTGTGTGTCAACGGTGGCACGAACCACCGGTAGATCGCACCACTGGCCATTCACATACGTACGAAGCTTATCAGACTGGAAATACCACGCTACCCTATGCTCAGTCAGCCAATCAAGTCCCACCACAAGGTCATATGGCACCGGGCCGACCAAGAAGTCGCCAGCTAAACGGGTTGTCCCACACCACATTGTGAGCCCCTTCACCACTCGATCTAACCGTTAGCTACGGTGAACACGTGTTCCTCAGGCAGCTTCCTTGCTCTAGGCTGCAAACGTTCTACCGCCTCTGGGCTAATGAAACTCTTTGAGGCGCCGGTGTCTAATAGAGCTTCACACTGATCGCCGAGCACTTCGACTCTTAGCACGGCGGTCATACCCACACTACACAGAGTCCCCGTGGGCGAGGCAAGTGGGCGAGGCAAGTTCCTGTAGTCTCCGCTCGCGCCACCATTGTAGTTCTTTAGTGCCCGCGTCCTGCGGACGGTCCCCTTCAGTAGTTACGTTGTTCTGCTCACAGCTGTGATCCAATCTACGCCTAGACCATTCCTTGATTGGCGACGTAGTCTCGGTGTGGGACTGGTCTGCAGGGGTTTGCTGAGTCTTCCCCACATCCGGACCCTCGGGGCACTCTCGCTCTTTCCCAATACACAACCTTCTTCCCCAATCTGGGGAGACTGGAATGGAGTTAGGCCCTGTCGCTACCGCGCACATCGTACCTTTACTACTCCTGGTCAGCCTAGCCCGCTCGTCTCCCTTAACGGCTAGGCTCGTTCGTTTAAATGCCTCGACTGCTTAACGTTGGGCCGCCGAGGCTGTTGTCTGGGCGGTCTAGCGGGCTCCGCACTGGGTCGAGCCAACGTAGGACAGTCTCTAGCGTAGTGATCCCGGCCCCCGCACCGGGAGCACGTTTCCCCGGTTCGTCGCGTCGCTCCGTTACGGAGCGGACAGTCCCTGCTCGCATGTCCCCTTCCGCTGCACGCATAACAACGCAAGTCTGGAATATCATTCCATGTGTCGTTCCTGTTCTGTCGTTCATGAAGTAGGCCTGAATCTCGCCTGCTGTAAGCCCAACTACGCTGGGCATCCTCTAACTCCCGCCGGTATCGGTGACGGTCTTCACAGAAATCTTTCCACGGTGCCCTCATAGCAGCCAGGGCTGCGGCGGCTTCCTGCCAGTCCGTAAACTTCCTTGTTCCCTCTTCAGTTAATCGTTGTGCTATTTCGTCCGGTAGGTTGGCCAAGTAGTAGCCCACCAACTGATCTGTAGCCACCGACACCCCTTGTGCCACGATTGTCGCAAAGCGCGCAGAGTATGCGTGGTGGTCGCCCCTCCATACATTCTCCGCCATCAAAACTTTCATCCGTTCCTTAGTTATGCTACCGAAGTGCTCGCATAAGCACTGTCTAAGATGCTCCCAATCAGTCAAGGGTACTCCAGTACGACGCAGATACAACCAGTAACCTAAGGCGTCTCCCTTCAGGTATCTTTTGAGCTCTTCCCCCCATTGCTGTTCTTCCAACCCCCGTTCGAGGAAATCTAACTCTGCAAGGTCGAGAAAATTCCTCATGTTCGTGCCGTCCTCGTATCCGATGGATCTCTGGGTTGCTTGCACTATTCCCCGAGCCATCTGTGCGACAAGTTCCCGCATGAAATCGGTCATACCCGGTTCCGCCCAAGTCTGATCCATATCTGGTGACTTTTGTCCTCCAGCGCCGCGTTCCCAGACCCTAGGTGCCGATCGGGCCACCCCCGTGGTGGACGGTTCAAGGGGATACTCCGCGGGTTTCTCGCCTGTCCCAGCAAATTTTGGCATTGTTGCGTTCGGCTAAGGTGGAGGCCGTACCGTTTTGCCGTTGCGGAGGGACATATCCCTTCTGGTTCTCACTTAAGTGAAGAGATCCCTTCGGGCTTCTAGAGCTAGTTCGAAAATTCTGCCCGGATTATTTTAGTAATATCCCGAACTCACGAGAAAATGTCCCGGATTAATTTGGAAGTTTCCCGGAACGGCCCCCAAATGTAGTGCACAGGTGTAGTGAGTCGGCGACTACACTGTTACTACGTATGATCTCGAGCGAGTCTGACTAGGATGAAAGCACTATAATAATGGTCAACGACTTCAACATCAAAATAATCATGTACAGTTGAGATCATATTATTGTAAGGCTCAGGAAACCCAGAATAATAGAACTGGGTGATGACCCTTGCTGAGGGTCAATGCATGAGTTGCGGCACCGGCCTCGCGTCCAGCCCTTTGCCCGGTGCGGGCCGACTGGCGCGAGTTCCCGTTTATGATTCTCCGCTATCCAGCTGTGCCTTATGCCTTAAGATATTCAATATTATTCATGCCTTAAGATATTTAATATTATTCATGTCTTTCGCACTATTAAGCCTCGAGGGGTAACGACGAAGGTCAATTGTAGTGCCAGGCACTACACACAGCAAGTTGTGCTGAAGTGGCAAAGTTACCTGGCTGCTGCTCTGCGGCGACAGCAGCAGCAGATGCGCCCTATAAGTGGCCTTAATACGGTTAATCGTGCCTCGGCACGACAGCAACAGCACCAGCAGCAGCTGGTGTTGCTGCTGGCACCGCGAGACAAGGCACCTACGAGTCTGTTTAGTGTTGAACAGCGCTGGTTTCGCACCTGACGGCGCAGGCGCTGCTGTGCAGAAGACTGTAGCTGCAGTCTTGCCGCAGCAGCTGTGACAGGAGCAGCAGCAGCAGCTAAGCAGCAACCCGAGCAGCAGTCACAGCAGCGTTTACAGAGAGGTGCAGCAACCACAGCAACAGCCATAACCCCGGCGGCCTCCGCAGCAACGGCTGGAAAATGTCTGCCTCCAAGACTGTAGCGTTCAGAGAGGCGGAATCAGCGCTGCTGCGGCCTTTCAAGGGCACTGTCTTCATCAGCGAGTGGCTGACGCACTCGATGATCAAGCGGTGAAGCAGGCCGGCTTGCTGCTTCCGTTTCCTTCGTTTCTCTCCATTTGTTTGTTTCTTTGTCGCCTTCGCCAATCATTTGGGTGTTCATTTGTGTCACCTCCTCCCTGTTCCCCCGTCTTTGTTTTCTTTTTGTTGTTTGCGCGTCTGCCTGTGTCTGCCTTTGTGTGCTTCTTTGCTGCTTGTTTGTCAGCTCTTTACCGTTATATGTTTTTGCTTCTCTTTATACTTTCGGTTTGCCTATTGCTTCTTTGTTTTTGCAGGTATTTGGCAGCCTTTGCGGAGCAGCAGTGGCCGGCCGTAGTCAAGTGGTACTTGTTGCTGAGCCTGCTGCTGTGTTTGCTGCCGCTGCAGCCGCTGTTTCTCTGAATCCCGTCGAATGCTTGCCACCTTTGCTTACTTCTACGCTGCATAGGGACTCTGTTTGCACCGCTGCTGGGATCGCTACTGCTGCCTCGCTTGCTTCGGCTATGCTGCTGCTGCGTTTGTTGCTTCACATGCTGGCGTTTCTCCCGTTCCTGCTGCTGCTGCGTCAGGACATTCGTTCTAGGTGTTGTTTCTCTGCGTAATTCTGGCTTGGCACTTCATTCGCTTTCTTTGGAAGACCTCATTGGCATCGTCAATGGTGAGGTGCAGCCCGTTTTCGCTGTGCTGCGTTTTGCTGCTGCAGTTGGTTGCTTCTGCTGGCATTCGTGTGCTGCTGTTACGAGCTCTCCCTTTTCTATTTCGCACTTTCCTTGTCCTTATTTAGCCTTTTCATGAGATCTTTCCGGATCCCGTTTTGCAGTTCAGTGTGTGCATTTTTGCCATTGCTGCTACTGTTGCTGCTACTGCTGGTGCTCCTGCTCCTGTTGCAGCAAATACGGACATATCACTGACCCCAGCCCACAAGTTGGCTCCTCTTCAATTGCTGCAAGGCAGCAGGGGTCGCAGTGAGGCAGCAGCAGCCGCTGCTGCTGCCAGCCGCAGCAGGAGCAGTGGCGCAAAAGCCAGCAGTTTGTGGCGCAGAGGAGATGACGGGACTGCAGCGTAGGCTGCTGCTGTTGATATTAGTGCAAGAGTTTTGTTGCTTGTATTGATGGTGCTCCCGTTCCTTTGGTTTAGCTTGGCGATTGCCCGCAGTGTTCTGCTGCTGCGTTGTATTGGCGTGCAGCAGCAGCAGCAGCAGCAATTATCCACCATGGTGGGGAGATGGTGACGAGCCGCAAGAACAACAGCAGAAACAGGAGGACTCGCAGCAGCATCAAGAGATGGGGGCCACCTTGCGGCGCATTTCCCTGCAGCAGGGGCAACAGCAGCTGCAGCAGCCGCAAGAGAGCTGCCTTCAGGAGCTGCAGGAGCAGCACACTGACACAGAAGAAGCACAGCGAATGCTCCAGATTGAAGCTCTGCAGCAGCAGCGGCGGCAGCTGGAGCAGCAAAGGGAGAAGCTGGAGCAACAAATTCGTCAACAAGAGCAGCAGCTCTCAGAAACGCCGCAACAGCATTTACAGCTGCAACCGCAGCAGCACCAACAAGCACAGCAGCTGCAGCAGCAACAGCAAAAGCGGCAGCAAGTGCAGCAGCAGCAGTCCCAACAGCGTGCCCCACTGAATGATGCAGAGGCAGAAGCTTTGGTGAGGCGTCGCCTGCAGCAACTGAAGCAACAAGGCCCCGTGTCGCAACAGCAGCAGCAGCGGCTGCTGCGGCAGCGCAACCTGCAACAAGGGACCACAGCAGCAGCAAAAAGGGCCGTGTCTGGCTTTTTTGCTGATCGGGAGGCATCAGAGCAGGTATTTCTGTCGTCACTGAGACCTGACAGTAACCCTGTCCCGTTCCCTGCCGCTGCTGCTGCCGCAGCTGCTGCTGCAAGGTCATCAGCAGCTGCAGCGAGCAACAGAAGACACTTGCGTATTCTCGGATCCTACCAAGCCAACGCCAGCATGAGACACCAGCAGGTCCCGGTTGCTGCTGTAGCGGACACCAGCAGCAACAATCTGCTGCAGTCCCTTACGAGGACGCAGGGGCTGCTGTTGCGGCAGCAGATGAAGCAACAGGTATTTCTGGAGAAGCAGCTGCTGAAACAACAGCAACAGCAACAGCAACAGCTGCAGCTGCAACGGAGGCAGCAACAACTTGAACAACAGCAGCAGCTCATCGCGCTGCAGCAGCAACTGCAGCACCGCCAACAGCAACAGAGAAACAGCCAAGATGATGTGCACACCCAGCTGCAAAAGCAGCAGCAGAAGCACCAGCAATTGCAGCAACAACAGCAGCAAGCAGAAAAGATGCAGCAGCACCAGCTGCTACTGCAGCAACAGTTTGAAGAAGCACTGCTTCAAGAAGGGCCTGCAGATGACAGCAGCAGCAGCAGCAGTAGCAGCAGCAGCAGTTCCATGCCCTCTGGCCTAATGGCTGCAAACCAGCTTGCCCCACCCGCAGACGCAAGCAGCAGCAGCAGCAGCAGCAGCAGTAGCAGCAGCAGCAGCAGCAGTAGCAGCAGCAGCAGCAGCTATTCGGTGCTTCCCTTCAGCGACCCGAGGCACGCGCATTCAATTACAGCTGCTCAGCATCCACACATTGCCGCAGCCTCAACAGTAACAGCAGCGGCAGCAGCAGCGGGCGGTAGTTCCGTCTTTCCTACGCAGTCAAGCATCTTAGTTGTCGAGACACCTGAGCGTGCTTATACACCTGAGCATGGTTATACGCCGGGCCGAGCAACCTCAGCAGCAACTGCATCTCCAGCAGCAGAAGCAGCTGCTGCTGCGGTGGCAGCGGCAGCAGAGGCTGCAGCAGCTGCAGCAGAAGCTGCGGCTTGCGACACCGAATTTGAAGGGGCTCTTTCTCCAAGAGCGTCTTTATCTTCTAGTTCTTCAGACAATCGCACAAGTGCCCTGAGCCAGAAGCGTCAGGAGCAGCAGCAGCTGCTGCAGCGGCAACACCAGCAACTGCAGCAGCAGCGTGTGTCTGCTGAGGAATTGATCGACCACTTTACTATGGGCATGTCCGGCGAGCAGCCGCTGCAGCAGCAGATGGGCCAGCAGCTGCAGCAAGATGCAGCAGCAGCTGCCGCTGCAGGGGAAGAACTCACGTCTGCAATGCTGGACGGAATGCTGAAGCAGCTTAGGGTGTCGGGCAGCAGGGACAGCAACAACAGCAGCAGCAACTCGCCAGTGCTGCCGCAGCAGACGAACGTTTCTGCAGTTACTAGCAGCACAGCGGAGGGGCTTCCGACACTCAGCAGCTCCCTCGTGCTGGCAGCAGAGCAGCAGGTGTTGTCATCTGTTTCTGCTGCAGCAACGGCGGCCGCAGCAACGGCAGCAGCAGCAGCAGTAACTCCCACGCAGTCGACCTCCAGGCGGCACTTTTCTGGTGCTGCAGCGACAGCGACAGCGGCAGCTGTATTCGACAGCAGCAGCAGCAGCAGCGCACTTGAGAGTGCCAGTGAAGTTAGCACCGCAGCTATACTGGCAGGCAGCGAGATGGAGATACACCGCGCCCTCCTTCAGGAGCATCAGCAACAACGGCAGCAGCAGCGGGACAGACAGCAGCCCCGGTCATGCGCCTTTGAAATTCCGTTGGATTGACTAGCCTAGCGGCACTTGCTGCGGCTGCGTCTGGCGTTGCTGCCTGTTAGCGCGCTGTGAGGACGAAACAACAGTAGCAGCAACGCAGTTTGTTGAACTTTAGCCGTAGCACCGCATCTAGTTTGCACATGGACTAGCAGCTTGGGCCATTTTCAATGGTTACTGACGCCCCTGCAGCCGGTAGAGCAGAGGGAAGGTCCTTACGGCCGCTGCCAGTGAGGCGAATTTGGCAGCAGAGGCAGCGGCATCGAAAGAAGCAGAAGCAGCAGGGACAGCCACAGGGAAACGTGCAAACGTGTTCTGGACTTGTGGCTTCACGTGCTGTTTGTGGCTCCACCTGCTGTTTGTGCTGTTCTTGCTGCCAGTTGCGGCGGTAGTCGTACTTTGCCTGGCGTGTATATCTGCGACGTATCAGTAATTAAGTTGATTTATTTTTCATTTTGAATGGAGAAATAAGCTTTATTTATAACTGTCTTTTTTCATAAATTTCAATATCTCAACGGTCACCCCTGCGGCCCAGCCTCGCCAGAGCTGTACTAGTGGTTAGGCAGCGAGCGAACAACGAGGCGCTCGAATCAAGGAAACAATTACCTGCGTATTAAGTCTTCACAAAAATAAAGGGCATAAATCAACAACTATAGTTGGACAGATGAGATGAGAGCAGGCAGCCAAGAGGGGGGATCAGCAAGGCCCCGAGACCCAGCACCACCGAGACCCGCAGCTGCGGGGAGGCAAGACCAGAAGTTAGGCTCCAGTGGTTCAGAAGTGTTTATAAAGAACAGAGAAGAGGACATATAAGCATTTATAATTGGGGTCGGGATGATGGAACTGAAAAATTAGTCCAATACAAGCGTTCAAACATCGGCTCCGTGCTGTGCTGCACAGCGACGGGACCAGCGGCCACGTCTAGTATGCACCTGCAGTAAGCCACTGGGTTGCACGCACAGCTGAGCCTTGCTGTTGTTTCAAGCCAACTTTTGCCTTTGCTTGATCATTTGGGCTGCTCGCGCTCAAATCAAGCTCCGAGTCTGCCAGTGCCTCAAGCCGCCCAGACAGGCGCTATTCCGCCTGCCGTACACACTTGCTGCAGCAGCACGAACTGTTGCAGTAAAGGCATCTGGAACATCTGCTGCAGCAACAGCATCAGCTACAACAGAAGCCGGGGGCGCAGCTCTGCCGATCTGGCGTTGGCGGCAGCGACTGAAGCTGCAACAGCAGCACGTGAACGATTTCAAGGCAGAACAAGCACTAAAACAGGAATTCAAACGGCTGCAACAGCCGGCTCTGTGCTCTCTTTACCCACTTGGCACTTGTTTTGAGCCTTCCAAGGCCCACATACACTGTCGCCGCTCTCCCACCCTGCAGTTAGCGGAGATGGAGGGGCTGCAGGCGGCAGCAGCAACAGCAACCACAGCAGCAACTGCAACTGCAGCAGCAGGAGTACCAGGAGCAACAGGGATAACAGCTGTGGAGTCTTGGCGCCGCAGTAGCGCCCCGTCCCCACAGCAAAATCCAGTGGGCTACCTCAACCTCGAAAGGTTCGTTTGTTGTTGCTTGAAACAGCTGCAGCAGCAGCAGCAGCAGACACGTCGGGCGGGCTGTTTTCTTTTTGGATCTTGTCTTAGAAGGGTGACAGAAAGACAGCAACGGCTCCTCCTTGCTCAAAGTTTCGCGTCCTGGCGTTGCCAGTGGCTGGCCGAAGCTGAAGCGGCAAGAGCAGCAGCAGCCGAAACGGCTGCAGCAGCAGTAGCACCGTATAGTGGCACTACACTGCATAAAAAATACAGCACTTTGGTACGTTCTTTTATGGAATCATCTGTCACGAGCAACGGCGGCCTTAGCAGAAGCAGCAGCAGCAGCAGCAGCAGCAGTGTGCGCGGCAAAAGCAAAGATTCCGTAAAAAGCAGCATGATCGGCTCCGACAATTCTGCTGCACGACGAGCCCCTTGTCGAAGAGCAGCATTACCAGCATCATCCACATCAAGCACAGGGGAAGTAGCATCACCAGCGTCAAGCACAGGAGAAGTAGCAGCAGCAGCACCGGCGGCAGCGGCAGCAAACGCTCCTCATTTAGTTCGTCTCAAGAGGTCCGTACTCAAGATACATTTGAAAATGCTGCTTTCTTGTTTTGCTGCTGCACTGTTGCTGCTGTGCCTTCGTTCCCCGTTGTTATCTCCCCTTGCTGCGGCTGTCCTTTCGCTAAAGTTGACTGAAGTGAGGCTTTGTGGGTGTATCTGCAGATACAGTTTAGAAGCCGCCAAAATATTGGGACTGGATTTCGCGTCGGAGCCGTAGCATAGGGTTCGTTGTCTTTCGTTGCCTCTAGTTTGTGGTTGCTGCAGCCGCTGATTCACTGGCCGCAGCAGCAGCAATGCCAGCACCAGCATTGGCAGCAGCTCTAGTTGCATTGATTTGCAACAGCGTGCGGTTTGGCTTCACCGCCAACTATTTCGCCTTCCTAGAGCAACTGGAGTTGCTGGAGTTTAGCTGCTGCTCCTTTAAATGCCGCAGTTTGTTGCTACTTCTGTCTCCGAAGGCGCGGCTTGCTGCTGCTGCTGCTGCTGCTACAGACTCCTCTACAATGCAGTTTGGTGATGCTTCTGTTTTTAAAAAGATAGCGTGCTGTTGCACCTTCTGCCGCTGTTGCCGTATTTGCTGCTGCAGTCTTTATGGAACAACTCTGCACTGAGGGACCTTCGCATTTTTGCGCTTAGTTTACGTTGGGGCACACGCGAAGATCCCACATCGTCTTTCACCAAAAGCAGAAAACCCATGCAATGACAAAGCCAGCACACCACAGCTAGCCTTAGCCAGCTGGCATCAGCGAGCCACGACACATCCACCACAGCCCCAGCCAGCACAGTGAATGCACTGTAACATTGGTCGTCGCGAAGAGCTAATTGTAAGTAAAATTGCCAAGGCATCTACATGCACTCGCAAGAAACATCCACGCATGCGTACGCAATGCCCAGAATTCTCGACATCCGCAAATAAACTTCAGACAAAATTGCATGCGCCTGTATCGCTGTATTTTGCACGATGTACCGTGCATGCCTGCTGTATATGAACAGTCATTTGGAACTCGCCCTCCATTCTTAATATTTCGTTATCAGTACAATTTATTCTAACGTCAAAAAGTGTGTAAGTGCGATACGAGGCTCGTGCGGCACCTAGTGCCCTCTTACTAGGCCGCTATGTATAAACTCTGAGCCATAAAATCCAGGCCCTGGAAGTCCAAATCTATCATGCTTATTCGCATACCGCGACAAAACGTAAGTCAATGAATCCAAGATGTTCAGTGAGGTGTTACTGCACCTTGTTGCCTGCTCTAGGAGCAGTAGCAGGCTCTACGCCAGCAGCAGCAATAATTGTCAGAGGCGGCTAGCTGCAAATAAGTGATCATCCTACTTCCTAGGATCTGGTGCACCTCCTGCTGTCGCTAAAGCCGCTGACTTTCATCCCTCTAGTGGTTACTGGGCGCCCCCTGCGAAGAATCGAAACAGAAAATCTCCTGCTGCAGCTTCTGCTCCCGCTGCTGAATGGCCAGCATCTGCGCTGTGACTGCTGCTGTAAGCCGCACCAGTGGAGAGACATCTGCAGCAGCGAAAGGCAATACCAGCAGCACAAGATAATGTCAGCAGCAAGGTTATCCTCTACAACTACCACAGCTGCAGCGATACCGCTTTTTGTGTCAAGCTACATTCGATTCAGCAGCACCAAACCACAGCAACAGCAGCAGAATTCAGCACCAGCAACAGCAACAACTGGAAGCAGCAATGAACACAAGCAGAAAATAATTGAAACAATAAACTGCAGCGAGCAACAGTGGATCCGGAATGAGCAGGGCCTTGCCTGGCAGTTGAGAGGCAGCACTTGTTGGTCCTTCGTGGTGCAGCAGGGCAGGACTAGCAAGTGACAACAGCTGTGACGGTAGCAGCTGCAGCAGCAATGCGTGCTGCGGGAGAGACACCGCGAGCTGTCGCCGACGAAGAGAGGCAGCAGCAGCAGCAAGCAATGCAGCAACTGAGCTGCAGCGCCGTTTCAATTCTTCCTGCAACAGCAGCAGCAAGAATCAGCATCAGCGGCTGCCGTGGAGCGACTGCCGCCCAAGAGAAATGCTGCAAGGCAGAACAAATAAAAACAGAGCGCGTGAGCATGCAAAACTTACCGACTGTCGCTCGAGCTCGGAAAGCTTCTGCTGCTGCTTTTTTTGTTGCTGTTGCATGCGTTCTGCTTCGTCAGCCTGCAACAGCAGCTGCTGCTGCAGCATTGCTGCTCTGCACCGCAGCATCTTCGGGACTGTTCGTTGCAGCAGGACCATTTGCTGCCGCTCCTCCTTGAGAAACGTCGACTCTGCAGTTTCTATCCACTTCACAGCAGCAACAGCAACCTCTGCAGCAGCTGCTGCTGCTGCTCGCCGCGCCTTTTGGATACTACTGGTGGGGTCTGCTGCCTCAGCTGCAGCAGCTTCTGCTGCTGTTTTTGCTGCTGCTGCACGCCGCTGTCGGAGCTCCAGCAACCCCTGTCTTTGCTGCTGGTACGCTGAGTTGAGCGCAGCCGATGCCTGCTCGCTCACGTGACACTTGTGCTGCTTTTGCTGCTGCTGCATTTGCTGCTGCAGCTGTTGCTGCTGTTCGCTAGCTGGCATGCTGTTTCTGCAACCTGAAGGAGGCTCAAGGCCCGAAGCAGCTTCCAGGTCCAGCACCAGCAGCGAAGTAGCATCTGATGCTCTTGGTGCTGCTGCTTCGGTTGATGTTGAAGCTGGTTCTGCAGCTGCTGCTGCCGCTGCTGTACCTGCGGCAAGTGCAACTAAGACGTTGGGGGCCGAAACGAACCAGGAAAAAGGAGGCAGGAATTTCAGGGGCCAGCGAGTGTTAGTCGCTAAAGTCTTCACACAAAGAGAGATGGCGTCTTTCTTCTGCTGCGGCTGCCGCTGCTGTGGCTGCTGCAGTCGTTGCTGCACAGCCGCAAAGACCCCCGTCACACTTACGCGGAAGGCGCCACTGCTGCAGCAAAGCGCAGCACAACTGCTGCTGTTACTGCTTGCCACGGCAGGGAGTGGCCGCAGCTGCAAAGCGGTGCTGCTGCTGGCAACTGGCCCCTTTGCAGTTGCGAGAGAGACGAATGAGAGTGGCTTCGGCAGTTGCTGCTGTGTTTGTCGCTGCTGCTGCTGCTGCTTTTGTTGTATCAGCGTAGCTTTTCTCTGTAAACGCGGCTGCACAGTGTCTGAACTGGCAAGGCACTCAAGTTGTAAGTTGTTGTTTCTGCTGCTGCTGCAGCGCAGCATCAACAGCAATGGGTAAGTGCATAGTAACACCTCCGCCATCTGCTGCGGCTGAGCCGGAGGGCTCCCCTGAGGAAGAGGCAGCAGCAGCAACTGTGGCTCTGCCTGCATGTTGCTGTTGCCGCTTTTGCTGTTGCTGCCTTTAGCGGTGCTGCTTCCGCTGGCCCAGTCTTCTAGCCACAGTGAGACCTCCTGCTGCAGCAGCGTCCCTGTGGGGCGGCCGTCCTGCTCTTTGTCAGCCGCCTCTCCGCTGCTGCAGCTGTTGGTCCTGGTCTGTTGCTGCTGCTGCAGCTGCTGCTGCAGCGCAGCATCATGCAGCTGCAATGAGAGAGCAGGCGGCAACTGACTGTGCGCTGGGAGGAAGGGAGAAAGACAAAGACAGCTGCTGCTGCTGCTGCCAGGAGGATAAGATATGAAGACAGAAAGAGCTGTCCACAAGTGTATTCGCTCTGCTGCAGCTCCGAATTGAAAGGCAGAAGCTAAATGTCCTGGTTGAGCAGCAGCAGGGACTGCAGGAAAAGCTGCAGCAGCCGCTGCTGCTTCGCCTGCTGCAGGAAGCAAAATTTCCTGCTCGGGTTTTTCCGTACTGCGGCAAATTTCAAACAGCCGTAGCACCGCATGCACGTCGCTGCAGTCTGCTGCACCAGCAGAAGCTGCTGCTTCTGCTTCTAAAGCCAGCGACTCGTGGGTCAGTACCGCAAGTGCCGAGTCAGAGAAGGGGTGGAAGGACACCTGCAGAAAGCTGCGCTGCTGCTGCTGCTGCTGCTTCCGCTGTCCCAGCTCCATGTTGTTACTCGCCAAGAGCAGCTGCCCGATAGTCTTGCAGCAATCGCGCGTGCTGTTGCTGCTGCTTTTGGCTGCGGCTTGCTGTTGCTGCTGGAGCAGCGGAACAGCAGCAACGCAGCAGGCACGAGAGCAGCAGAGGGCGATTGCTTTGCCGCTGCTGCTGCAGCAAATAAAATTGAAGAACCCCTCTTCCTCAACGTCATGTCCCGGCACATGCACCTCGAAAGTACCAGTCTCACAGAGCTCCTGCTGTTGCTGCTGCAGCAAATAGCAACCAATTCGCACTGTTGACCTGCTGTGCCCACGCGTGCTGCTGCTGCTCTGCTGCAGCACTCGGAAAAATTGAAGCGCCGCTACTCCGCCAGTGGCTGCCCCAGTAAGGCAACAACACACAGTCTCGTCTTGGTGCTGCTGCTGCTGCTGCAGATCCTGCTTTGGAAAAGTGTACGTATTGACGTAATTCCCAGTCGATTCCCCAGCAACAGCGCTCAGAAGGGACAGTCTTTGTTGCTGCTGCTGCCCTTGCTTTGCCTGTTGATGTGGCTGCTGCGGCTGCTGCTGCTGTTGTGCTGTGAAGTGGAAGGGCGGCGCCCCAAAGGGGTTCACAGTGGCAGTTTTGAGTTTGTTGCTGGCGGCGTTGCTACCTGGAGCAGCAGCTGCAGGGGACCCCATGGTTGAGGGGGGGAAGCCGAAGATACTGGCCATTGTCTTGAACGCGCCACAATATGATGCTGCTGCTGTTACTACGGGTGCTGCTGTGGCAACGTATGCACTGACAGACAAAGAAACGGGATGGGGCTACCCCCCTTGGTGGGCTCCTAGTAGCTCTTTTTCTCGCCACTGCTGTCGACGGCTACGTACAGCAGTATTCTAATGCTCAGGTCGTTGCGCCCGAAGCGGCTGCTCCTGCTGCTGCCCCTGAGACATGAGGCCCAAGGGCCTCTGAGGCAACGCATGCAGCTACGCTGCTTGGGCGATCACCCTCTTTTGACGTCTTCTGAGCTGGAATGTTCGAACACTGATTCCACCCCTGAGTGCAAACTTCAGAGTTTAAGCTGTCGTTGCTTCTGCGTTTGCCGCTGTTTGAACAGGAGCCTTCGTAGCAGCTGCTGGGGCTGCAGCCCCGTTACGTTCTAGTCTCCAGCTCTTTACTTAGTCTTTGACAGTATTATCAAAAGAGAATAAATGTGTGTAATTCATGCCTCGACGGAAGCTTGGTAGAGAGGCGGGGGCCGCCGGGGCCCCCCACTCGAGCCGATGCTCCTCTACTGCTATCACCATCTTCACCTCCCTGTGAGGCGTACGTACAGCCCAGCACACAGTATGAAAGGCTGCTCAGAAAAATTCTGGGGAAGACTGCTGCGCTACAGGCAACCCACCGGCGGTCGTTGTCAACAAACGGTGGGAGCTACAGCAGTTGCAGATCACAGCTGCAGCAACAACCACAGCAACTTAACAAGCGCCCGCAAGCACTTGTATCTGCGCTCCGGGAGCACTAACAGCTACTGTAGCTGGGCTTCTTCAAAGAGTTTTTCTTGGCGTTCGCTGCCACAGAAGTTAACTGCGTTGCGCAGTCCTGCAAGCCGCTGGTGGGACGTTGCAGCAGCAACACCTACTGCATCAGCAAACCTTAATTGTTTTTTTTGCACTAGAGCAACAGCTTTTGAAGAAGAATGCTACGACTTGACTCTGGAGGAGCCGCAGAGGCTCGTTATGGAACGCGTTGCCCTGCTTCTGCAGCGGCAGCAGCAGGAGCAGATTGGGCAACAGCAGCAGCAACAACAGAAACAGTCATCTGGGCTTGAAGCTCTGCTTCCCCTATCCATGCCTCCCCTGCTTTTTCGTTTTCTCTCTACAAGGGATGACATCAAGACACTTCGCTCATTGCTTATCGAACAGCAGCAAGGACACAGCAGCAACAGTGCGACCAACTTTGAGGAGTCTACAGATACTGACTTGGTGGAGCTGCAGCACGAAGAAGATGTGCTTGCTGCAGACTTGGCTCAGCTGCTGCTGCAGCACGCAGACAGTATTGCCGCCGCAGCAAAGAATGAGCAGCAGCCAGCCAAGAAAAGACCTGGGGGGCAGGCAGATGAGGAGGAAGTTGTGCTTGAGGTGTGACACATCTTGCTGCTTCAGCTGCCTTTGCCGCTCCCACTGTGCATTTCTCGTTGCCCTGAGACTTGTTCTTCTTGCATTTGCTGCTGCTGTTGCGCTTGCTGCTCCCACAGGTGCTGCTGTTGTTTCTATTATTTTGCAAGGTGCTGGAAGCACCTCTGTGTTTGTCTCACTGATTTAATAGGACTGTTCACATCCCTGGCCGCTACTGCTGTTGCCTCGCTGTTGCTGCTGCTGCTGTTGCTTCAGGTGTTGGCGGGAGTGGGGGGCGAAGAGGCGGCACAGTTTGCTGGAGAATTGTTCGGGATGTACGAGGCGCTAGCTGCAGCAAAAGGATGGTCTTTCGAGTCCCTCGAGAAGCACAAAAGTGCTGAAGGAGGAGGGCTGAGAAGAGCACGAGCAGTGGTAACAGGTATGCTAGTGCTGCTGCTGCGACGGCTGCTACTGGCCTCCATGATCAGCATGATTGTGCTGCTCACAGAGTGGTTGACCTTGCACTGCTGTTAATCTGTCGCGGCTGCTGCAGTTGCTTCAGGGTTGCTGCTGTCGCTGCAGCTGAGGCAGAGCACGGGGAAGAGGCGCAGCAGCAGGTACATTGTTTGCTGCTGCCCATGGTATTCCGCTGCCAAGCTCCTACTCACGCCTTTTTGTTGCTGCTGCCGCTGCTGCTTTTGCAGGTTGTGGGGTTTCAGAGTTGCTCCCCCTAGAGGCGGGGGTGCACCGAGTACAGCGGGTGCCGTCAACTGATGCCAAGAAGCGGCTGCAGACTTCCACTGCTGCTGTAACAGTGCTGCCCTGCGTCTCTGAGGCGGAAGGTTAGCAGCAATGCTACTTCATTCGCTGCTGTTGTGTTGATGGTGCTTCTCAAGGCTACACAGCTGGGCTGTGGCTTGAAGATGACGAGCCTTAACTAATGCAGTTGCTCTGGTTGCATGCATATTAGTTCTGTGTCTTGTTGCTTTGTACCTCCAGAGTGTATTGTGCGTACATAAGCGTCCTATATGCTGCTGCTGCTGCAGTGGACATGAGTTCTTGCAACATTCGCATTGAAAACATGAGAGCCAGCGGGCCTGGGGGCCAGAGCGTTAACAAGAGCGAAACGGCAGTCCGGGCCACACACATACCAACGGGCCTTTCTGTTTGCATGCAGGAAACTTCCAGCCAAGTAAGCAACCACTGTTGTGATTGTTGCTGCTGTTGGTGTTGTTGTTGTTTGAGGTGCTGCGGTATAGGCTGCAGTTCGGACAAGCATCTTTTCTGTGCCGCTGCTGCTGTTCCTGCGGTTGCTGCGGCCTGCTGGTGCTGCTTTTTGGGAGCCTCCAGAAGAATCACTTGTTATCGTCGTTGCGCAGGCAGACAACCGCAAGAGGGCTCTGTTGCTGCTACGACACATGCTGCAGCAACGCATGCAACAGCAGCAGCAACAGGAGCTGCACGCTGCCGCTGGGGCGCAGATGGGTAGCAAAGACCGCAGCGAGAAAATAAGAACATACAACTTTCCTTCCGACTGTGTACGGGACCACAGGTTCGTTTAAGATACATCATACAGGGTTCACTGCCATGTGTTAAATGCCGAGGCTCTGCAGACAGATTAAGGATTCACTTCCTAGGCGGTTGGCACAGTTTAGCAGTTCTGTACAGGCAGCGAGAGCTTCACAATGGTGCAATAAATGCAGAGGAAAGCAAATAGGCAGATGGGAAGCCACGCAGACAGTTAGCGCATACAATTTAGGCATAGATAAGAACCAAAAAGAGCACATTTACAATAATGGAAGTGCAGAGTCTGAGGTTTCTGTGCACTCAGGTGCAGCGAAGCTATTCCCGGCGTCCGACACTTCCTCGAAACTGCCGAGGGTCTGCCGCTGCTGCTCCGCCAACTTCACACCAAGAGGCAGCAACACCTGTTGACGCAAGCGGTAGAGGCAATGCAGCATTTGCTCCAGCAGCACCACGTCCCATAATTTCCCAGTGCGTGATGCCACAGCTGCAGTGGCGGCAGCACAGGTAGCAAACGCATGGAGGTGCAGCAAATCTGTTATCGCAGATTCATTAGCGGCAAGAGCAGAAGCGGAAGACCAGAACTGGCTTCAATGCGGTGCTTGAGGCGACATCTTAATCAGACTTTATTTAAAGTGTCTGTCTAGAGACAGATAACGAAATTCAGTGCTCGTACAGCAAGAGGTTTGCATGTGTCGCACGCAAATGAAGCAATGCCATATTTGGCAGCCATTGGCAAATTAAGACTTCAGCAGCAAAGTTGATACTTCAGATGCAGAAGCATGCATGCATCCATGCATGTTACACACAGATATTGTACTTACGGCTACGCCAAAACGGAGCTCTTTTGTGCTCTTTTTTTGACGGGAATTATCATGCTGAAGCATAAGACGCATATAAGTCAGCGTGCGCCAATTAGCAGCAGTCTGAAATAGCTCATGCTGCCCATTCATTTCAGCCTTACTAGGGGGATATCTGCCGTGGAGTGTTGGCAGAATGTCTGTAAGCAGGCTTTCGAGTTGCAGCAGCTTGCATTCGCCGGTCAGCGCCTCCGCTGGCGGGGAGCCTCTCAGCTGGGCTGTCCAGATTACGCAAAATTTGTCGTCTTTGTTCTGCCTAGGATTTGCCTTGTGGTTTCTAAAAGTCCCATGGGAGTGCAGAAGACCAGCGCACGTGGTAAAGATGACATGCATATAGAAGAGTAAGCTTAGGTGATGCATCAAGTACAGAGAGGGGTCACCTCCTCCAGAAAGCTGAATTTGAAGGTTCTTTTATTTGTACGCTTCCTAATGGCCTGGTGCATTTCCGACTGGCCTTCTGGAGGCTCATGATAATTGTAAAAACCTCTGAGTAAACATATGGAATACGATTCACGCCGAGCATACTAGTCTTTAGACTAAGTCATCTTATACTAGTCTTTAGACTGAGTCATCTTAGCTTCATACGACTATCATCACTAGTCCAGCCACATTGCCACCATGGCAGCGAAGACAGGAGTCGCAGGGCCGGTTTGCTGCGTGTTCTCCCAACGAGTTGCGAGACCGTCTCATGTCGAAGTTTCCGTTTTGTTGTTATTTAAACATGAAAGACAGAAGAAACGTACACGTTGAAGCTGTTCTGCGAAAGCTATAGCCTACGGCCCCCTTCTCTTGCCTGGCTGACCAGCCCAGTAGTTCCATTCCACACACCCCGTGTGGGCTTCTGCAGGTCGCAAATTACCGCTTAAGGCCAAGAATTGTTGGCAGACATTTTATTAAAGCCCGCTTAAAGTCGCATAGTTTTTTAATTTAGCGTTATTTTCGAAGCGGACTATCCCATTATGACCGCCGATAGTAGCTTGGTGGCTCTGGAGAAACGGATACGGGAGGCGAAGGCCGTGGCCAGCCGCTTGTCCCCAAAGACCAGGGACAAAGTTTTAGGAGCGTTTAAAGAAGGTCTGTTGTTGCATAATGCGAAAATTCTCCAAGCCAACAGAGCAGACGTGGAGGTCCGTGTTCAACCCCTGCACCCAGCCCAGTGCAGCTACTGCTCCCGCCTAAATGAAAGCACAGTTCATCTGATGCTCCTTTTCATGCCCATACAAATGCATCTGTGCACCAATTCTGGGTTTTCAAGTGCAGGAAGCCACGAACAGCGGCACTGTCGCCCCAGCCCTCCTTAAGCGGCTCGTCTTGGATGCACGGAAGTTGGAGTCGCTCGCTGCTGCCATCGACGCACTCAGGGCTGCTCCCAACCCTCTTGGAAAGTGCACTCTAGCTACTGAGCTCACTCCAGGTGGACAACTTGTTGCTGCTGCCTGCGCCCAGGCTGCTATTCCTGCAGCTGTTCGTGCCATGCTGCTGCTCTTACTAGGCTGTTCTCTTTTTAGCTGTTGTTCTCCCCGTCGCTGTTATCTTCACAGCTGCCACTTCTCCTGCTATTCATTGCGGACTCACTGTAGCTGATATATCAGTACATGTCGATACGGTTACATATTCCCACGCTCACTTGCGCACCTGTCTGCTGCAACAAGGGCTCAATCTTTACCGCGTCACTGTCCCACTAGGGGCTTTGCTGATTATATTTGAAGGGCGCCCGGAGGCGTTTGTTCAAATTGCGTCCTTGGGACTCAAGTCTGGCAACGTACGTGCATTTCTTCAGATCGAGGCAACAGCGGGCGCAGCAACTGCGGCTCTGGCCATCCATATGGCGTGAAACTGTTGCTGATTTGTACTTTTTGGTTTCTATACCTTTAGGTATGCCTTTTGAAGGGCGGGAAGGAGGCAGCGCGGACGAACAAGGCTTTGCACGATGCATTCGTGTTCGGCATCCAGTCGAAATTCAGTGTCGATGAAGCTGGAGTTTCTGGGGGACCTGAGGAGGATCAGAGGAGTCTGTGCTCGCTAGTACAGCTGGTGGAGTCGCGAGAGGATGTACAGCAGCTGCTGCAGTTGGATGGCTGTATTGACTTAGTCATTCCCAGGGGCGGTACAAACTTGGTGCGCTTTGTGAAAAGCCACACGGCCATCCCTGTGATGGGCCATGCCGATGGCATATGCCATGCGTATATCGACGCGGACGCTGTATGTACACCCCAGCGGCTGCAGAAGGCCCTGGACGTAATTAGAGATAGCAAGCTGCAGTACGTAGCTGCCTGCAATGCCCTCGAGGTCCTACTGGTACACAAAGACGCAGCTGAAGTGCTTCTACCAACCCTTGGGCAAGCTCTCGCTGCTGAGGGTGTTCAGTTCCGAGCAGACGAAGCAGCGGCGAGGTTGCTACCTCAAAGTGTGACAAAAGCAGCGGTCCCTCAGGACTTCTGCACGGAGTGGTTAGCACCGATTTTGTCAGTGAAGGTCCTAGAGGACCTCGACGAGGCACTCAACTGCATCAACACCAACGGCTCCCACCACACAGATGTGATCATCTCTTATTGCCCCTCCAATGTGGAAAAGTTTATGCGCGGAGTGGCCAGTGCTGATGTGTTTTGCAACTGCAGCACGAGATTTGCGGATGGTTTCCGCTTCGGGTTTAATGCAGAGGTGGGTATTGCTACCGGGAAAACACACGCCAGGGGTCCTGTTGGCGTTGATGGGCTCTGCACGTATGCTTACAGACTATACGGAATGGGACATACAGTATCTGCAGTGGAGGCGGAGGCTGCCTTCAGCCACAAGCCGCTGCTGGTACTTGACCAGGCCAACAAATCGGATGTTAGGATGAATACGGAGGAAGCCATTGACGCATATGAACGCAGCCGGATTTTTCTGCAATGATCTCATGCATCAGGGCATCTCTGCTGAGCCCAGTTTTGTTTATGGGTTGGGTGATTAGGGCTGGGGATTAGTTTACGACCTAGGCACCTTTCTGGGCGTTAAATGCGTCTCTAGAAAAGCTGCGGACGCATTTATTTCGCCAAGAAGCTAGCTGTAGTTGTTTGTGAGGACTTCTGAGACTTGAGGCGCATGGTGCTGCCATTCACCGCATTGGTCTCGACAAACACTAAACGACCTGCGGGGGGTCGTCGTGCCGACTTTACCCTTTGATGTGCATTCAGTTTGAGTGCTTGAGCAACTTAAAGTGGATTAATGTATAGAGTTTAGGGCGGCACGCTCGTATTTTTGCTGGTTAGGAAGAAGGCACCGTTGCTTGGTCGGCGGCAGGTTAGTGGGTGACCCTCTCTTTTTTCAGCGAATCTCCATCCACTGGGGGGATTCCCTTAAAACTGTACGTATTAATTAGCCCTCGCGCATTCAATGATGAGTTTTGTACAATTAATAACTACTACTACAGGTGTGGGTCAGCACGTTGCCGGTTCAGTGATTGCACGCAATGGTCAGTGTCTTGCGGTCGGTTGTGGCTCCGCGTTGCTCCGCGCTCAACCACCAGCTATGAGGCTCGCCTGCCTTCATAAGCTAGCGAAACTCAACCGTCGCTTTGGACTATATTCGCATTTTGTTGGCTTTTGAACTTTTTACTATAATCTTTTGCTTAAGTAGAGCATATCAAGTATTTTGAATCTGGGACCCCTAAACGCTCGCGGCATTCATCGCAACTTTTCACGGTCACCGTGAGTTCACATTTTCCACTACGTTTCTCGCTCATCATATCCTTGTCATGTCCTTTTATCTTGCCTGAACTGTTAGAATAGCTGATTTCAACAGCTATGTTCCTAAGTCTTTGTCACCTCTTGCGTTGACTCCTCTCGTAGGAAAATGAACTACCCAACGATCGCAACCGTTGCTGGGCAACAAGATAGGAGGCTGCCGGTCTTTATCCCAAGTCTCGTCAATTACCCTCCAATTTATTACCAGCCTCCTGCGTACTTTTCCTCGGGAATGTACAGAGAGGCCCCTATTACTGCAACAGCAAGCAGTACCAGTACCAACGCCAATATGAACCGGCTTGTCAACACCAAGCTCTGCAGCCGCTACCTCTCCAAAGGATACTGCAAGAGAAGAGACTGCACCTTTGCTCACTCTGTCGTAAGACAACTTCCAGTGTTCTCCCGCCTCACTTCTGCCGTGATGCCACTTAGCATGTCCTAAAATGAATGCTTTTGCTGACCCCCAGGTCTGCTTCCCTTAGTTCCACAGCTGTTCTTGTTGATAATGTTCGTGCTACAGGAAGAACTGCGGCCAGTGCCAGACCTGAGGTGCACCAAGTGGTGCCGCTTCGTCTTCTTTGGCCTGAACTGCAACGACTCGCGTTGCCCTTATGCTCATTCGAAGGAGGAGTTACAGCCCCAGCCAGACGAATTTAAGACAACTGTATGCAGATTTGCCAAACGCGGAAAGTGTCTGAATGGAGATTACTGCAGGTGCGTCTCGCTCACTTCTGTCACGTCAAAACTTGTATGTAGCATGACATCTGCTGCAGCACAAACCACAGCTGCACAGCATTTGTTACCTTGCTTGCCTTGTATTTAGGTTCCTCCATTTGCCACAAGATAGGCAGCAGCTGAATCACCAAGGAAAACGCGCGAATTGGCGCGCCAACCGTCCGGCTGGTCGTCGAGTTGGAGAAGACCTGACTATTATTCCTCTTTCAAATACGGAAGCGGAACGGGAGACTTCAACTTCCACCTCTCAGGTGGAAGTTGAAGTCTCCGCTCCTCCTTCTACACCTGTCTCATCAGTACCTGCTTCCGCTGGTGCTAACATGAACATAGAAGTGCGTCCAAGACTGGTCAACCGTTCACGCCCCACTCGTCAATTCGCGGAAATCTACCAACCCGACGAAGCCGAAGACATGCACCAAGAACCAATGCCGACCAACCCCGCCAGCAGATTTCCCAAGGGAGCCATACTCGTACCCAACAGTCTCTCACGCGACACTACTAGGGACGAACTCCACGCCTCAGTCGAAACGACGCTAAACAGTGGAGATCCAAATTGAACCAAACATGAATTAGTTTTGAAACGTGAACCCGACAACGAAGCAGATGACTACAAATTAGCCAGATTGCCGTGGAGGCCTGTCTGGACCTCGCCCCTCCGGTGCTTGCAAGATTTGAATGTCACTGCTTTGTCCTTCTTGCCTCTCACTTCGAGCTACAATGGATGTGCCTCTGGCTTCAAGGCGTAGATCTGGACCCAACGACAGTGTGTAATTACCAAAATGCGCCAATAAACCGGAAAAACCTCACTTTCATGTGCTTCCACTGGACTACTGCTTCTGCTGTGTGCATCTTCATGTCTTGCGAACTGACGGAAGGCCGAGCTGCTGTTGACCGTAGCCTCCTGAAAACTTCCAGGAAGTCTTTGAAATTTCGTTTGATTTTGTCTCCTTAAGTCGGTTGTCACAATTTTGGGGTTTCAACAATTTGATAAGCAGTAAGGCTAAAACTTAGTTAAGAAAACTTCCGTCTACCGGTTGCGGTCAACTAGTCATCATTTATGCAAACATACGAATACATACTTTTTGTTCCTACATCCGAGCAACATTCGCTACAAAATGCGGCTGAGTCGCTCGGCATAGTTTGTCGAAAAGCCTCAGCCTGTAAGTTGAGTTACTGCCTTCTTGAGTGCTCTTATTCAATATCTACATCACTAGTTGAAGCCAATATTCGCTACGAAATGTGGCCGAGAAGTTCTTTATACGCAGAGAATCCACTTGGCAAGGGAGCCAAAACCCTGTTTTTCTGGTTGCAAAGAAACCAACAAAACGAACCGAAACCCTCTAGGGGGGATGGCTGAACAATTTGGTTTACGCGTAGCGGGGAGCCCTCTCTGCCCTGTCGCCACCAACGCGAGCCTCCCCTGTGCGCTCGCCCATAGAGCGGCGTCCTCGGTTCATTCCCTGCGCACACCAAGAAAAGTTTCACGGAACCCGATTCCACGACCGTCATTTTAACACAACAAAGTCTTCCATCGGATAGCTTTAAGTGTTTCAAATGAGTGCGTGTAACTGTCCTTGAGGAACTGAAATACAGGGTCGCCCCACTCACCACCCTCCAATTTTCCACCTCAGCTCCTGCATCAGCTTCTGGGCCAGCGCGCTGTGCACGCGCTGGGGTTTTCTTTGTGAGGGTGGCGGGGAAAACTGTCGGAGGGAGGCGTAGGTAGTCACGTAGGTACTCCATGCCCTCATTCTTGAGGGTGTAGTAGTTGTGGTGCCAGTTGAACATCTCCTCGCAAAAATCCTTTGACTTTAGGCTCTTCATCACCATCATCACGTGCAAATTCGGCACCGCGATCTCGGGATGCTTCTCCAATTTGGGATTCTTCTGGACCACCAGAACGCCCTCTGAAACAAACATATTACGACACACGTAAGGACGAACGGTCATTAACTACAGTGATGCTCAGCTTCCCAGTGCCTCCCGCTACGTACTAAAATAATGAAGGGATGTATGCAGTATCACCCCCATGAATGAAGTTCAGCGGGAGCTTTGGAGAAGCACCATGCCACGGTCTCTCCGACAGTCGGCAGGTAAAACCACAGGACAAGCAACGCATCAACCGAAGATGAAAAGATGGAATCCGCAAACAAAGACGCCAATCTAGATATCGAGAGCATGCTCAATCAGTCTCTGCACTCCGCTCCGCCAGGATATCTCCACATCACTACATATCCACAGAATTAACCGGAAAATCAAGCAAACGTGGAACTTGCACGTCAAAAGTCGTCGCCAGGCTGTGAAAAGGCTCCGGCGAAAGACCCCACGGGCACTACGTTCCCCCGTTCCCTGAGAAGGTGGCCCCGAAGAGCACGAGAATCAGGAAGAAGACACAAGAAGAAAATCAGAGAAATGAAATTAATATCTCACCCTTGAAGAGGTACTCGTATATCATACGGCGATTCTTCTTAGGAATCAAGCTCGGCTTGATGCCCACCGTCATCTTGGCTGCAGGTATGTTGGGTGAAGGCGACAGCCCAGGCGTGGCAGAACAAACCGAACGAAAAGAAATACCCTTCAGGAGTCCATTTGCTGCAATGAGCACTCCCACTTCTTTTCCATAGCTATTGCTTTCCTGCGCTCCCCTCAGTAGCCACTGTCAGCACAGCCTCCATGCAGCCCCACAGCCCCTCAACAGTCCAACAGACGTAGCCTCTGTTACCCATATTGTTGATTCTTTCAGTTCGTTCATATTTCTAGTTCGATAATTCCGCAAAGGGATACACTATGGTTTGGTCTGCATATTGTCAGACACATCTTGAGCAGCACGATTCGCACCCGAGGGGACTCAGGAACCCCACATTTTAGTATTGTTGACTGGAGGCGCTTTATGGCAGAAACAGTATTTATCTAGTGGAGTTTAGAAAATACAAATGTTAACGTTTACACTCATGTATTAACCTGCAAGACTGGAAAGATAATGACACCCAACCTCTAACGGCAGCAGCGGACGACTGTTAGTATTTAGAGTAGCTTGGTAGCTGCGCATAGAGAAGTCCATGATCCCCCAATATTTCTGAATATGGTATGGAGAAATGCTTTGCATTTGAATAGATAGAAGAATGCACAATGGCCTAATATTTTTTCAATGTGGTATGGAGAAATGCTCGGCGTCTGAATGGCGTGCTTGTTGTGAGATGCTGTCGCCCAGGCGCTAGCATGAAGAATCGCCCTCAGAACTGCGTCCTCTTATATCTTGAAGTTTGTTGTACAAAATGCGTATGGGTGGTCTCGAGCTCTAATAACAACACTGCAGAAAGCTGGCGCCCTTACCTGTACTGATTGTATTTCTCACAGGGTAGGTATGGCTGTTACGGACTAGTTGCAGGCTACTTGCCACTATTCTGCAGATGGTCAGTTCTACACTCTGTATGTAACCCTGTCTATGGGCATCACGACTACTAAGAACAACAACCATGGGAAAATAGACTCGAGATTGACAGTGACTGCAATAGAATTTACTGGAAACCAAAGGAGCCTTTAAAGGGTAAGATGCAGTGAACTTTCCCAACATTCTGCTACGGCAAAAAGCATATTGTCCTATTCAGGCGGGCGGGTGCGTTAAGGCGCCAAGTCCTTCAGTTGAGTGCACACCCAGTGGCCGCAAGACACACATTGTACCTTAGAATAAGCGGTACCCATTTAATAAGATGACTAGGCTGTTTGCATCCAGAAAAGTAGAACATGGCTAATTGTTAGCATATAGTTTAGCATATCTGGTGGTGCCGAAGCTAGGGCAAACAACCTCCAGCGCAGTTGCTCTACAAGAAAACTGCATGTAAAATATTGCGTACGGTTGCCAGCACCAAAAGGTTTGCAAAAGTATGAGTATTCTCTTGCCGGCCCCACCAGGGCTTCGTGCAGCCTTGGCGCTCTGATGGTGAGCTCTCCCTTCCAGAGCCTTTCCACTGACTGCTTTTTCTTTCTTCTGGACCATACATTCTTAGTACCAGAGGGAACAAACAGAAATGACAGAAACTCAAAGCCACCGGTGAAAAATAGCACGAAAAGCGTTGTTTATAGTCCGCCAACCGTGTTCACTCACTCCAGGTTGGTCTGCTAGTAAAAATAGCAAGCTAACCATTTTGTACTTTCTAGCACAACAGGGAATAGCTTTGCAAGGCATTGCTATTAGGGGACTCAGTGGTTCCATCGCTTCCCTGAGTATCAAGTAAGCCCCCTAGAGTATGTGCCACCGTTAAAGTTCTTGAGTCTCCTTCAGTGCAAATATTGAACATTTTGCATTTTGCAGGTTCGCACATTTTGGAGCCGAGAAGTCAGTCCAAAGTGCTGCTAATGGGGAATACCTCTAGCATTCCTCACATGGCGCAAATTCGGGAGTGTCAGGGACCAATTGATGAGTTTTGCTTTCTCAAACATCGCTTGATCAACATAAGCGCACTACTGCGACCATTACGAGCTCTTATGCAAGCCTTTTCAGTGGTGCACAGCTGGCTCCCCCTGCCTAAATGTTGCCAATCTTCTAAGTGAAGGCAGCCATGACCCCTGATAGACTAAGACCTTGCATTTGGTGCTCTTCTTGGCGTAGCTAGTTATCCCGTATATTTTTAGGTCTACCGCAACAGTTCTATCTAAACCCACCGTAGGTAGCCTCTACGAGAGCCAGATCTGGGCCTTCAGCGCCATAGTTGGTACCTTCAAATGGTGGGACTTAATACGAGCAGAAGAGTTAGGGACTGGGGGTAATTTCTCCCCTTGCGAAAGTAATCATATACCCTCCCCCTACGAATATGCAGCAGAGCATTCCTAGCGTAGTCGCCACTTCGCTTTGTGTCTACCTCTTCCGCTCAAGCTCTGTTAAGCCGATAGTTGTAAACCATTACACAACAGTATTAAATTTCACATTTGTATTTCTAAACGTTACAAATATTCAGTGCCTGTTACTTCACGAAGTACACGGCAAGAGCAGGGGTAGCGATCTCTCCACTGCTGCTGTGCTGCAACTCCTTGCCTGAATTCTTAGGTCGACAAAAAATGAAGAAAAATCGTCAAATATGGCTTATGAGCTTCATCCAAAGGTTCAATTCTTCCTTCTTGTGGTGTGCGAGTCTTGTTACACTGTAGGGCCTAGCCCAGTCTCGTAGCTAGCAGTGACACTACTCACATTGTTAACGGCACGTAAATTGCAGCTTCACTCGTGAGCACTTTTTTCACCTAAACGGTTCTAGTGTGCTCACTGAAGCAGTACGAAAGAATCGCGCTAAGTAATTATCCGTACGGTAAAGGGCAACTACAAGAGGGCTGTGACTGCGGGGCCGTCATGCCACTTGCCAAGCAACTGGTATTTTCACTGTTTACTTGGACTTTTAATATGACGCCGGAATCGAGTGATCATAAGAAACATTGTCTGGTGGCTCAGTACGCCCCGCTTCTTTGCTGTTGAAGGGCCTGTCTGCATTTCGCGAGGGTCCCGTGCTTGATCACTCCCGCCATGTAAGTCCCCAGTATTTTTTTCGTGCGAAATAGGTCCCATCACGCTTCCATCATAAGTAGGGTTTACAGTTCTTCCAGCATTCTGCCGAGGCAGAGGGGTTTCCAGCTTTCGCCGCCTTTTGGCAGAGTACGTCAGTCCCAGCAAGCAAGGCTCTCAACAGCTGCGCCACCAGCGGATCCTTTCTCCGCTTGAGAGCTTCAAGTGTCAAACAACTGAAGAGATTTTCTGGTGGCCCTTTGATCCTGCGGGAACGGTTGGCCGACTCAGTTGTTGCCGACTTCAGCTGCTTTCGGTGCGAAAATGATGAAAAAGTTCGGACCCGAAGAAATTTCCAACAAGACGATTATGAAATCGTCCATGCAAAGAGCTGTGCGGACACAGGTGAGTGTAGTGGGTTTCTCTACGACTAAGGTGAGTGGTGAGGTCTTTTCGGGCTAGGTGTGTGACGTTGCTGCGCATTGCTTTTGGTATTCCAGATTTTGGAAGAATATCCACGGCTGGAGCCGGTTATGGAGCAAATCTGGCCTAAAAAAGCTTCACCCGTGCTTCTGAAATGGTAACAAGCTCCAGCCGATAGCGTTTCTTGCTTGTTGTGCCCTCGTGTCCTGGCCAACACCAGCTGCTGCGCGGCTAGCAGTTCACTGGGATGTATTCGCGAATGGCCCTGCGCAGCTCAGATGACTAAATGTTCGTTTCTTTTTTCAGCCAAAATCGCATCTCATTGGTCGTTTTAGACGGGAAGCCCCTCTTTTTCCAGCACCGAGATAAGCAATGGGTGCCAACGCTGCGACTTCTGCATGAATGTAAGTGCAGCAGTTCCTCTGTGCACATTGTGATTCCCTCAATTATTCTCCAGTAGTTCCAAGCATTTTCGCGTTAACAAAAATTTTTAGTTCCTACCCTTGTGTACTTGAGTGACTCGCAACTTCGAATTCCTGAACTACGTTTGCTGTGCGCTGCGTGATTGACACACCCCAGCAGCTACTCTTTCCCTAGACCTCATAAGATGCAAACATTGAGTTTGGCTTCGCCGCTTTGATTCGTGTTACAGACCCATCCATGATGCCTAAAATGCAAGTGGACAGGGGTGCCGTAAAGTTCGTCCTTAGGGGCTCAAACGTGATGTGCCAAGGCTTGACATCGCCGGGTGGAAGAATGGAGGAAGTGCCCGCAAACACTGTCGTGGTAAGTGCGATTGTGGGCTGAGTAAAGAGCATTCACGGTAGGGCTTGCTTTACAGTGCCACTCAGGAAGGGATTTAGAAGTAAGGGTTCGAACCGAAAAAACAGTGAGCAGGCTTCTGTGTTGTAAAATGGTGCTAGCTTCACTTCGTTAAATTGGACACTTTTTGCCTGTTTGTTTTCAGCAAATCGCAGTGGAGGGAAAGGAGCTGAGTTGCGCTATTGGGATCACGACGATGTCCACAGAGGAAATGTAAGGCTGTCAGCATTTCATTGTGTAGCGGGCCTCCAGTTCCCATCCGCCGTGGACAGACTACGTCTAAAGCTTCATTGATGGAGGCTTCTGAATTTTTCTGGTGAATTTGGGCGTTGCAATGTGTGCGTTCCACGAAAAGGTGGGCCTTGTGCATTGCATGTTGTTGAGCATTTAGATGACATCCATATACGCAATTTGTGTTTGTATCTGCAGTCGCCGTGAGAACAAGGGTCCGTGCATCGAGACGCTGACGTCTCTGAATGACGGTTTGTGGAGTTTTGAGTGTGTTGGCCGTGCATGAACTCCCAATCATTTATTCTTGTCCAAGGTGAGATGCCTGTGAGGAGCAAGACGACGCTGTTGGGCTCCCACCCTATGTTTGATGCGGCCATTTTAGCTCCCTTGGAGCAATTAATGGGTCGCTGCGGGCGCTGATGGGCACATAGTGTGTGGTTGCTAGACTACTAAGCTGCAGCAACCCCTAGGAAAACTTATCAGTTGGAGGACAGACGGTCTTGAAGGTTTGCTGCATGTGGTGGGACGAGTGGAAAGGGCGGAGGCTTTCTTGCTAAAGAATGCGGCGGCCTTGCTAAAGAATGCATGTTGAGTGGCGGGCTTCCCGCGCAGTAATAATTTACCCGTCAAGTATAATAGCCTTATTATATGCTACGTGTGTGGATATTTTCCCGTCAAAGTTTATACAGACTTTGACGGACGAATAGGCTGCGGCACTGCTCTGCTCTACGTAGACGCCCCCTGAACAGCTAACGGCAAACCAATGTCAAAGTGAAACCGTTTAAATTGGAAAAGTGTATTATTAGTTGTGACGGCGATCAATGTCTTCTTCGGGCTGCTCTGAGCAGTATAACGACTCTGGTGGTTGAGACAACCTGTGTAGTGCTACGCAGTACAGTGGAGGGAGAACAAAAGCTGCTGTAGGGGGCGGAATAAATTGCTGCAGCGTGTCAATGCAGTAATGCGAAGCAAAGGCATGGCGTAAATTAGAGGGTGCTTAATTCAGGCCTCCTTGTTCCTTATTACCTGTATCCCCATGCTGGCGAACTGGGACGAAATGCAAGTTCCCTGAGAATCTCACGGTAAATCTAAAAGAGGGGCGCATTGGGCGCATTAGACTCGAATGCAGGGGACTTCAAGTCGCGAACTTTCTTCGCCATGCACGTCCCTGAGGCGTGCGCTCTACGGGGTCGCTCCCAGCTGTAGACGCCAGCATTGCAGTAGAGCGGTGGTAGTGGGGACCGATCTAAGACGGTGTTCCCGCGGGACTGCGCGCGGGCCTATTGGTATATATTTTAGCCGGAACATCTGTTTCGTTTTTATCTGATCTTTTGCCTTACGTTGAACTTGAAGCTTCCGTTTCCAAATGCAGCTAGATTACCTTCTCTCCCAAATGACCCGCCGTCCCGTCTGTGTAGGCGACTCTCGAGGAGAGACTCCTACGAATGCATCAAACAGCGATTCTATACATATTTCTTACCAAGATATAATATACAGGAACTTGTGAGCGACTGAACCCGGTGGGTGCACAAGCGAGCACTGAGGCATCTAGTTTCGAAGCTGTAGACTGGTGGCCAGTAGGGGTAGGTGAGCAATGATACCCAGTATGATTTGTTCCCCGATAATGGATACGCAAATCTGAGAGCTTTGCAGCATTAGGCATCTTGAAGCTCTATGCAAACGCTGGCTGCGAATAGGGTCATCGTGCCTGACAGGGTCACCCACTTCACGCTTCCGTTCGTTCCGGGTTTGGTGGAAACCCTGCCAAGCTAGAATAGTTAGGGTTATGAATTCGTGTGGGGCATGAGAATTCGGGACGGGATGTCCCTAACTCAGACAACCGTTATGGGGGCTACCCCAGTACCTCGGTAGCTTGACCTAGTACTACACAAAAAAATGAAGCCGAGCGTGGATTTGGAAGACTATGTAAGGCGGAATGAGCCAGCCCAAGCCAAGAATAATTCATATTTTACTTAAATCTTGGAGTTCTGAGGGCTAATCCTTGCAGACTCTGCGGGCAGATATTGTTGAGGGTAACACGTGATCAGCATGCGCTGGGTCACGATCATATTATAGCACGGTGACCCACCGCATGCTGAAAAATCAACATTGAGAAACTGAATTCAATTCTTGGAATATATTCGAGAGCATTTGCCCTTCAGAAATGAAATGAAATGTTGTCCTCTATCGAATACTTAAACATTTTCTGCATGATGTTGGAGGCGTCTGTAGCACAAAAGTGACAAGCGAAGTGTGGCTCATACAAGTAGAGCGTGCTGGAGGATCTGCGAGCTTTCCCGCACCCCACACCTTTCACACGCAGCTCACAATTAGTACAAAGTCGTTGGCACCGAAAGAGCGTTTGTCGTTGAAATGGGTTATGCATCTCGGCAGCCCACTGTTAATAATTGTATTCGGTGAGCCTCTAATGGGGACACAAGACAAAACGGGCACCCAGCGGGATCTTCGCAAACCAAGGAACGGAACAGCGACAAACTGAACTGGTAGAGCTACAGAGGATGCCCAGGGGAAGATACCACAGGCTGCACCGCCGGTTTTGAAGGAACGCAGCACCGCTGGATATCACACGCACGCGTTCGGCAACTGATCACCGAGAAGGAATTCCTGCGGGGATTTTTAGAGAAATACTGCTCGAGAAAGGCATTGATGCTCGTCAAAAAAACCCTGGAGCGCGTAAACGGAAGCAACTTGAAGCCCCATACAGCGTGTGGAGGTATGCTTTGAACATACGCGCATGAACAGCCGGGGATGGGTACGTGAGCTGGTTGGGTACCTGACGGGCCGTCATGCACAAAATGTGTCAATAGTACAATGTGTAAGCTGATAATTACCGAAGCCAGGGCTCAATAATGGTTTCTGTACACTACTAAGAATTGAAATGATGCAAAAACCAGGCTAAATCGTTTCGAAGGAAGACTACAACAAGTGCAGCCCACAATCCGAGGCCCTGCCAGAGTGAGGTGTAGCGATGAGAGAAGATAAAGTGTCAAGCCACTACTGTGCAGAACTGCCTAGTGCAGTAAGGGGAGCGCCAAGGGAAACTGCAGAGCCATGAGTGGAAGAATACAGCAGAATCCTTGGCTTCTATTTGCCGGCCCTGTCTCACCCTAACTGAGAGGTGGCTTCAATGCCATCCCCTGTCGGAAGTGCGAATAGAAGCAATGGCAGAGAGAGAGAGTATGTTACGAAACCGTGACGTGAGCAAGGGTTTAAAAAGGAGGCTCCTGTTCACTGCCAGCGCAAGGGGCAAAACACCGAGCAAATGAACGCAACAGCAGATGCGGACAAGGACATCCCTTAGAGCTAAAAGAGTTGGTATGGAAAGAGGGACTATGAATGTGACTGCTGTAAGCCTGGTAGACCTTGCGTGCAGCTACATCGAAGGGTAGCGCTCCTACTGGCACCTGGTGGCGAAGCTTAATATTTGAATGTACGTGCGTCGTTGGCCATGAGGGAGACAATTAAACAATAGCCGGGGCGTGCTAAAAGACTGTTGCGCGCCGTCATGATTGCGCCAAACGCCGCCGAAGCCACCTCTAACTAAAGGAAGAAAATAAATACTCTAGAATAAAGCCGGTCAATCGGATGAGGCTGCAGAGGGGCTTGCCAAGCCCGAACTTAGAAATGCAGTAGCACGGATACCAGAAACATTATAAGCGTTGAAGCGAAAGTTGGGGACACAGAGCGGGCTAGGCAAAAACTAGGGGTCTGCGTGCCCACGAGAGTAGGTATTGAGCCGCAGTGATGACTCAAGATGTCTGGTGAACTGCGTACTGTGGGTATGCGGAGACCTTATTCAATTTGATGCCGTTTGCCGCATTTCTCGGCTAAGGTGCTCGCACAGCTTTAAGTTCCAGACAGCTCGTGAGCAACTAATCGCAGGAAACGAACGCGTATTCTTAGGGGATGTCCGCGAGCAGCTGTCTGCCGTGGCGTACTAACTGGGCAAACGCTATGTTGCGGTTGTGCATATTTCTTCTGGTGCTTTCGAGTGGGATCTGTTCCCCTACGATATGGCTGTGGGACTTGACTGACTTAGTCCGCATGTGGCAGCCTGGAATTCCATGACAAGCTGACCTGACTTTAAAGATGATGCGCACCTCCCTGTTGACCTCATCCGGAACAATATAATCTTTTTTGGTAGTAGATGACACTTCGAAGCTATTCAACGTAAACACACACGCCGTTGATTATGCGATGTGTGCGTTCGTTGAGCAGAAACAATGACGAAGTGGTTCCCTAAACAAATTCATGTGAGACAATCAGCAGAAATAGTCGACTGATGATCAGTGGTTCCTAGCCTGAGTCACAGCTCTGTACATGTGGCGCCGCTAGTCACTCTCTGCATCGGTTACACCATACACCAGCCGTGACGCTCTAACACACCTGCAACCAGAAAACACTTCCAAGCTCGTAAGCAGTGGACTAGCCTCATGAAGCGAATTCCTAGCAGAGTTTCAAGGCTTCATTGTGGACGTGCTTAAGAGGAGTGGGAGAAGGGAGCCGACGAGCTGTCCAGGCATCAGAGCCGAGCAGACTGTCAAGTACTGCGGTCACTTTCCAAGCAGCACTTGCTTGCTTGTGTATCATCCGCCTCTGAGGAGCCTTAACAGGTTTTCAGCAGTCAAGGACTCCGGAAGCACTATAAAATGATTGCGCACATACATTTGCATGTGCCACCATTGATTCACGCATCACTGCTTACGCTTCCAGATGATTCCTTGAACAAGAACCAACTCATTAACACCCTCTTATCCAAAGTCCCCTTAAGGAAAAGGGCCCACCCTTAGTTGGCCTCACTGACACCTCACATGGTTCCTATTACCATGACAGCAACAACCAACTCGCCCAAGGCAGATTATCACTTTCGCCCGTTAGCTTGGCTTTAACCTAGCTAAAGTGCTCAGTACTTTTCGAGCTCCTTACTGCGAAAAGCAGAGCAAGCTCATGAACCGGTGGGTTTTGAACTACGTAGTCGCCAAGTTGCCTTTCTTTTCAGGTTTCTTTTTCTGCTTGTCTGCATCCAAGGCGTCTGGATCATCTGAGTGCCGCAGTGTCCTGAGTTGAAAAGGCACATAGCTCACATTATGGACAAGTGGCCGTCGGCAACGTGATGCAAAGGAAGACTTTCTTTGGTGCCACACAATGATACTGTGGGTCGGGAATGCAGTCAAATGCCATGAAATATTTTAAAGCCTTGTTTGTAGTGCAGAGTAAGACACCTGAAAAAGAAGCCTGCGGGTCCCCTCCATTTTCTCATCATCCGCTGAGGGCACCGGTGTCTTGTGTATCTAAATTTTATTATTGACGCCCTCCTCACGGCTTCCATTCTAATGCTTGACAACATTCTCAGCAAGGTGGCAAGCTTGATTGAGGGGAACAACTACAGCAGCATACACTGTCAGACTCCTCGCCGATCGCGTCCGTAACTACTACAATTTCACCAAAGTGCTAATTTGTGTCCGTAACAATTGTCTTCAGTCGGATCTGCGGCAGCATCTTAACGCCCACTTTAATTTCAAGAGTGCCACTTCATCTGCCTGCTTTCTTCTGTTGACAGACCAAACGTGTTAACCGCAATATGCTATGTATACTCCGGAGTCATACTGAACAAGGCGGAAGGAAATGAGACCGTGTACTTTCTGCTGTCGAGTTCGCACACAACAAGGAAAGCCACTCTTCCTCCGAGCGTTCCCTTTGAGGTGAAGCTTAGTCATCACGCCTTTCCTGCAACAGAACTTATTACTGCTGGTAAACTGAATGTAATTCCTAAACCTACAGAGCACAGAGCTGTTCAACCAGCTCTGCGATCCAGTGCAAAGTCACAACTCACGAGATAGGCAGCAAGTGCCATACCCAAGCTCAACCTGGCTTGAAATTTAGTACGCTCTTGTAACCAAAGTACCACTTAGTAGCAAGAATTCACTGTCTTTCAATGGAAAGCTTTGATTAGACTTATTTCACAACGGCCCCCTCGTCGCAGAAAGCATCGGCAAAGCTGAATGCCAATTGATGCTGTCTCCCTTATTATTGTCATGGCTTTTTTGGCATATCGCACCTCATTCTGCACTACTACATAACTCTCACGTGGACACTAAGTAATCCCTCATAAGTTAAATTCTTGTACTCAATACCGACCGGTAGATCTGCAAAGCAGTACTAGGTCGCTTGTACCCTGGACCAGAGGCCCAATGGAGAGATATATATATTGTGGAACGAAGAGGTGCCCCCCAGGACTGGGCTTGGCACCTCACACTACGGGTTGTTTACTGTGAACTTGGAGGCGCCGCCCTTACAAGTGTTAATGGGTCTCAACCTGCAGCATCGACCGTATCTGCTCCCGTTCAACTGTGTACCGCTAAGAAAACGACCAAACGGAGGAATGATACAGATGCACAGAACAAAACAACAACGTGACTACACAATAAGTAAGGAAATCAAGGGGGAAAACAAAGTGCAGTTACAAATTTTCGCGCGTGAGTGTACCGAAAAGCTTGCGCAAAATAGGAATTACACAAGCTGAAACAGATCGCATGCAAGCATGCGCTGAACACAAAATATTCCAACAAAAATATAATATCAAGCTTACTGAGGTAAAATATAGCAAGGTAAGCAGACATGCCACAAAGATAAGAGATTTTAGCGAGAGTCTGTAAACAAAAACAACCCTTAGTGAGTGTGGAGGAGCAGCTGCAGCAATGGACGCAGCAGCGGCATTGACAGAAACGAAAGAAGTATGAGCAGCAGAAGCGGCAACTATATCAAGAGCAATTGAAAGAACAACGAAAACTGCAGCTGCAGTGGCAAAAGCAAATGCAGACGCAGCATGAAGAACCGCAATGAGAACAGATGGCAAGAACTGCAACTCCAGGAGCAAAAAGCCCATGCGGCTGTAGTTACTGCTGATGCGTCTGCCACTGAATTATCAGTTGCAGTTGCATGCGCTGTTGCTTTGTGCGCAAAGTAGCAACAGCCACAGCAGGCCTAACTCAGCTGACCGCATTAGGATGTGTGGCAACCGCTGTTCAGCGAGGCCGAGCGCACGTGACGCAAAACCAGTTTGACTAGGTTTCGGAGAGAAAGACGGCTGGGATCTACACAAGTGCACGTAACGCAAAGCCACTCTGAACAAGTTCCGGAGACAAAGACGGTTGGGATCTACACAAGACACAGAAACCAAAGACTTCTAGAGAGCCCAGCTGAGGACAGGGAAATCTCGACCAAAGCCTTGCGGGGAGGCGACGAAGCACTGAAGGGGAGGGGGGCATTGTAGCGCTGCACCCTCAAATGTAACACGAACATGAACTTGAGAGGCCGCTTCAATTTAAATGCACAAAAGGTAAAAGCAAGCTCTACAATATGTGAAAACTCAGCTCTTCAAGAGATCAGATCGTAGTGCTCTGTAGCCGGGCAGAAATCAATCAAGATTTCCCGCGAGTTCCTTGATGATGTACATCGCTGCAAACCAGCTAAAGGTAGAAACACAGGCTCATAAGACATTTCCACCAGTGTCGTGCTATTTAGTCAACTAAGTTGTGAGCAAGAGCACAGGTGACGCATTCACCGTGATCAGCTCCAGTTTCAGTGCCCTGCGGAAGTATCCAGCATATTCTTAAAATTGAATTCCACCACGCGCAAGTTGCACCACACCCTACTTTCCAAAGCCATTTTGCCACTGTGTGGAGGAATGCATCCACTGGGCTTTCTGCTTGGAATCTGCTGGGACTTGCTCTTGCTGCCTTTACTTCTACCAGATCTATACGTAGCTCAGTGTGTTCTAGGATCAGTTTTTACCTCGTGGAATTCTGATCTGTATTTGATGAGCAGTGAGTATTTTCTCTGGAGCTGAATGTTGCCCATGAAGACTGCCGCTAGGTGCATTGCTCTTGGGTTTATCTGTTTATTCACTACGCCTATCTAGCTCTTTGCCAGGAACAAAACCTCCTCAATATGACTTCCGTGACATCAGAAGTCTCATATGCAGGTCTCTGTGGTGACCCTAAGACGCGTCCGCCTCTCATCCGTGTAGCCCAAGTGACTCTTCTTCTTTCTGTATGTGGTCTGTCGAAGTAAGAAAGAGGATTTGTTTGCATATTTTGGATTGAGAGAGCGAAGGATGCCCCGGAGGAGTCGCCATAAGTAGCGAGCTGAGCGCCAAGGGAGCTACTAAATATACGCGGATCGAATCACCAATAGGTGCCACCCTATCCTAGCTGCCAAAATCCACTTTGGACGCATATAAAACCAAAATGTCTTAATTGATTCATTCCACAGTTCCCGAATAAATAGAACTATTCATTGTGTGTGCTGCCGCACTATGCACACGCTTATTGCCTTGGCCAGCCCCAATCCCTGCTTGGAGCCTTGTTCCAAGTAGCTACTGATGACACAAATAGTGCTAAACTCCACACCCTGTCCTTATGTCACCCTTCTACTTATAATGCTTGTTGTTTCCTTCAATCTGTTTCCACTAGCTGTAGGCTCATTGTGGTGCGGGGCACTACAACACATGATTCGCCTGTTTGTTATCACTGGCCCTTCGTCTTTACTCAGGACAAGCTGAGCACCTCTAAGATTGCCTGTTTAGTAAAACGATTCATTCGGGGGTTCAAGAACTTTAGGGACAATCAGACGGCGGAAGCAAAGGTGCAGAGTCAACGGGAGCGGCAACAGAAGGGAGAGCGACTACAGGAAGACCAGAGACCGTCTAGGGTGCTGCATTGGTCAATACGCAGGAGCACAATGGGAATTGTGTCTTGTCCCAGTGATTCTGCTGACTCCACAGCTGCGGCAGCAGTGGAAACAGGACCAGCTGCTGCCTCGACAGCTGCGGAAACAGCAAACACATCTGTCCCATCGGGTGCTACTGACTTCGACCTTACAGAGGGCTCCGTCCAGCGCCACGCCTCGGATGATGAGCAGCAGAACTCTACTTATGGTAATTCCGGTAGGGAGCAGCAGCAGCCGTTAGCACCAGTAAGCGCCGACAGTCCGGATACATTCACGTACGAATGTGCCACTGGAGGCGAGGAGCAGCAGCAACAGCAGCAGCAGCAACAGCCTCTGCACCAGCGAACAAGGAATACTGATTGTCATGAGGATGCGACGTCTCCTTGTGCTGAATGTGGCAAGGATCAGCCAAATACCAGCAGCTTCCGGGAGAGAGGCTCAGGGAAGTGTGATACTTGCAGCAGCAACACCACTATCAACAGCAAGCCCCAGCAGAGAAATATGCCTGACGAAGTACAGGAAGCTGAGGCACTAGCAGAGAGCCACCAAGTAGGCTCTTACGCAGCGTCAGCTGCGCTCGAAGACAATGGAACCAATCAGGGGCGGGACGGCCCAACGGAGGCCGCGGATGATGCAGCAGCAAGAGCTTCAGGGACGGCCCGCAGTAGCAGCAGCAGTGGATGCGGGGCGAGCACAGGATCAGGCCGTGCCAGAGGAACAGCTGGCGCGGTCCACACAGCCACAGCGGCAGCTACAGCAACAGCAGTGACGGCGACCACTACAGGCAGTCGTAAATGCACGGACGAGGGCTCTGTGAGGCGGCATGAGGTGCCAGTGGGCCCTCGCCATCAAGTACCGTGCCTGCCTCCTTTTTTCCTTGAAGCTGGGGGTTTTGGTTGCTGCTGCTGCGACCCCACTCCCACGCTGGATCCGAGCCTAACGGCCAAGCTCGTGTACTCCCCCTCATCTTTAGAGCGTGTGAGGCAACGCCGGCTTGCTGAGGGTCTGGCTGATCGGGCAATTTGCTCAGAGGGCGACATGGAAGCCTACATGCAGCAGTGCGCGAAAAACTGGAAAGGTAACAAACCGGGGTGGCAGCCCTTCAGCCCGGAGTTCGCGTTTAAGCTGCTGCACTACGCTGGGTACGACCCTTCAAAGGCTCTGCAGCTAATGGAAGACCCTCAATTTTCATTCCAGCTCGTGTGCGATGGCCCTGTAAGAAGATACGACAACAAGTGGAGGCCGAAGGATAGAAGAGGCGTCATCTCCCCAACACCCTATCCACCTCCGGTCTTCCTAAGAGGCTACCTGTCCCGCAGACACTACAGAGATAGCACCGGATACTCTCTCCGCTGATGATGAGGGCCTCCTGCACAGCTCCGAGCGTCAGCGTGTCAGCTGAGTCGCTGGTGAAGCTCTCAACTCGTGCTGGAGGTTCTACCGCGAGGCCCAACCTAACAAGCGTAACAGCTCCATATCGCCGAAGGGGCCATGCCCAATACCGGCCAGATGTGGCGAGGCCTTATTTTAGCGGTGTAATTGCCGTGGCGTGGCGAATGAGAGGTGCGCAGACAAGGTACAGAGACAGCCGCCACGGGGCGCCACACCGAATAATAGATGGAGGGAATAACTGCTCGACGAAACACAGAAGCGTGCACAGAAATTGGGGCATCAGCTGAAGGGGGAAAGCTCCCTTGTAAGCCCCTAAAGGAAACCTATGCTACGGTTGAATTCCGACGGGCCCACCGGCTGTTTGGTGGCTTTTTGCAAGACCAGACACTACCTATGGTGTTTTCGCCTTCTGGGAGCACTCAGACGTCGGCTGTTTATCATAAGCACTAAAGCGTGGTGCTGAAATGCTGGAAAGAAACGTGGCAGTGTAGCAGAATTGGAGGTCCGGAGCCCCTGAATGATCATGCGGTAAATGCTACAGTGTACGTCCCACACAATGCGCTTTATGGGTAGCGTGCTTGCTTCATAGTTTACTGCTAAGCAGTACTTGTCAACAACCAGCCATACTGAATGGGGAAGTGCGGCTGCTGCGCGCTCGTGGGTACAGGCTCGCTGCGTAGCCCATAAGTAACAAAAAACTACTCCCGTCCATTTGTTATGTCCGGCTGATGCTTTAAGTCTATTGCGTTCATAGGGGAGACGATGGCGAAATGCCTCGGACAGTGTATCTGCAAGCGGATGCGGTGCATGTGTCCATTTGCTGAAATGCTTTGCATTTAAAGCCGTGACTAGGCATACAAATAGCTTAGGCGAAGGGAAAAAGTGTTAACTTTCAGCATGCAGACGGGCAGTTTGCAGCAACTCCAAAAAAGCATTGCCTGCAGATGCAGCAGGCGAGCTAGACAGTCCCGCGTGTTGAAGGAGGAGCAGATACACCAGAAAATGACTATAAAATGTTAAAAGTGCGGAGAGGTATACAAAAGAATTATGGATCAATGGGAAAACTCAAATTCGAAGGAAATGCCAGAAGGCGTCGGTGGTGCTTCCCGTGTGGCGCCCACGCAGACGACTCGGCGGTTTGAAAAGACCACAGGTGCGCCCAAACTTCTGCATTAAGGAGTGGTGGATCCATAATTCTCAGGTTTTAAGGAAGCTGAATATTTCTGTAGAGCTTGAATTTGAAAATTCTTGGAGGTGTTGCTGTGTATGGCACCAACAGATCCCCAAAGCTTGAATGCTCTTGGAGGCCGCAGCAACACATGGTGGCGTATCTGTTGCTCATCTTTCTGTCTTTTCTTCTTCATACTCAAATCAAGCTCGTAAGACAAAAAGATAAGTATTTTGAGCCACTGGCTTCCCCTGTTGGTAAGACTTCGCTACGGCTGGCTATGCGGCGGGTCGAGCCTATCGACCAGTGCGAAGCAGGCGGAGCTGAACTACATTGGAAATGAGCTAAATTGCGCATTTCCAGGTTACTTATTGAGGTGATTTCCAAAAGGGAGGAAAAAGGCTTTGATGACACGCTACGAGTTGCCAGCCTGACAGGCCGACACCACGGTCACTCTGGCCGGTTTTCACGCACAGCCCATCTCGAGTTCCGGACGTTACGCTGCAGAATCTCAAAGGAACTTCTTCGGAGCTTGCGGGAATTGGGGGGAGAAACTTTCAAGAGTCCGTGAGACTCTTCTTAGCAGCTGCCGCGTTTCCGCAGCAACGGAGAGCTCATGACTCTCCAACCCGTTCATGTCAGACGCATCTAGCTCCCTGAATATGTCTGGCTTGGGATATGACAGCAGGCTACTGACCTAAATGAGCATGGCATTGCACATGCATAACAGGAGTTTACAGAGGACCGCAAGTTCCTGTAGGTGAAGATGCTGAAGAAGCTCTCTTCGTTGGCGGCTGGAAGTCACAGCTACCACAGCTCTAGTGGTCCCCTTCAGATTAGCCGGAAGTGCCTTGACGAGGAAAGGCAAAGACGACACAGCCGTAGCAGCCACAGTAACGACTCAGGAAAAGATGGTACGAAGGCAGTTTTGCACATATGAACACTTGGGCCGGCAGGTCACACTTGAGCCCCAATGCTTCGGGCTTGGACATGAGCCTGGACATGAACCTGCATATTGAAACTGTGTGTACAACTTGTCAATGCGGTTTAGGCTCACAAACGGAAGCAGATGGCCTCAGGTAGGCGTCGGCCAGGTGGCTCACTGCGTGGTGCTCCTCTGATCAGTGATGGACAACTTTCGCATCGTTTTGCAATAGTGTGCTCCATATGCTGCTTGCTTCTTGCTGAGTACATGGAGCTCTTCGAAGCATTGATGGCTGGCGTTTGCTGAGGCATGCAGGAACACAATGGAAATGCTGATTGCCGAAAATGAGCACTTGAAGAGGCTTATCCAGGAGAGAGACGCTCGCACCAGCTCTGTAAACACAACAGAAGAAAGGTTAGGAAAGGCTCTGGCTCGAAGAGTTTCTAGTCCCTGTCATCAGCCAATAGGTGGAGTGCCTACGATGAGAGATAAGTCTGTTAGCTGTGCTGTCTTCAGAGAGGAGCTCGACGCACTGCGGGCGGAAAGAGATGAAGCTCAAGTAAACATGCTTTACCTGAATTGGAATTTTCAACCACTTGGCAACGTTTCCCTGTGTAAATGGTTCCTCTTTAATATATTACCTAACGTTTTTGATATCGTGACATGCGCATACCGCGTATGACGCCTTGTAAAGAGTACACAGGGACTAGATTGTGGTGAAATTTTGCTTCAGAAAGAGGTGGCCCGGCTTCGGCTGGAGGTGGAGTCGAAGGAGGCACTCATTGAGTCCATGAAACGTGATGGGTCAGCTGCGACGCTAGTCAAATCTTGTACAGAGCTTGTGGCGGAAGCAACAGAGAGTCGTGTGACCGGGACTGGTATCTAGAGACTTTTAGAGGTCATTGTCTTTTTTTTCCGTGTATGGCCACTAGATTCTTAAAGAACAACGAGGAGACGCAAGAACTTACTAGGAAAATAGGTTTATTGGAGGCGCAACTCGAGTTCGAGTGCAAGAATCACGCTGATGAGATTGAGGAGAAGTGAGAACACTGAGCATCTGGAGCAGGCGGGAGCACAAAGCTGCGTCACCGCTACCTGTTCTTCTCTTGGTGGTAGACACTTTGCCATGCTTAGCCGTATTCTGCTATCTCCACCAGGCTATACTTTGGTTGAGGCAGTGCACATCTGTATGTCTGTTCTTGCAGGGAAGCAAGACTAGCAGAGCTTGAAATGCAGCTTGTGGACGCTCAGCAAAAGCCATCCGTTGAGTCATCGATGCCTCAGGAAAGCCCGTAAGGTCTTTCAGGGCCGCTGATGGGTAGAACTGACGCTGAATTAGCATCGTTGTGAATTAGCATTGTTGCTGCAGTCCGGTCATCTTCTTGCACGTGTCGTTCCTCCATGCATGCAGGCCTTCAAGGGAAAAGCAAAGGATTGTCGAACTGGAAAGAAAGCTAGAGGCACAGGCAGCAGAGCTCTCTCGGTCAGTCGAATCCCCACTTTTTGTTCGCCTATTTCTTAGAGCACTTAGAGCAACCAGAAAAGCTTTGTGGCAACATGGTTTCATCTCTACTGTATTGTGGTACATTCATGCACCTGTGGTGGCTGGAAACGCTGACCAATACGCACTTTACGAATCGAACTTGTGTATGCATTAATTATGGCCCTTTGCTTAAGGAAAGAGGCTGAAGTGACTAAGCTAAAGGCCGAGCTCGAGTGCACTCGCACGATGTTGGCAGGAAAGAAGGAAGAGCAATCAGTGTCTTCTGAAGATGAGCAGCGCGCTCGGGACCTTAGCCGCCGCATGTAAGCTGAACATAGCACTTTGGTGACTGTCTCCTCCACTTACATCCTGTGGCGCAATAGGGCGGCTTGCCAACAGATACGCTGCTGCGAACTCGCCGGTACTTCTAAAGATCTTGGCCATCGCTGTTTGCGCTGCTGTAGAGCTATTTTGGAGGCAAAACTGGGCGAAGAGGAAACAAGACGAATTGAAGCAGAGCAGTGCGTTTCTGTCGCGTACCGGCTTGTGTGCACATGGGCGTTGCACGGGCTGTAGTCCGTTAAATCCCGCGCGGCTTGCTTACTGTAGGTCCCACGCATCCGTCTTGCCTTCTCAGAGCTCTCGCCCGACGGCAGGTCACTCCAGAAGATCCCGTAGAAAACTGCAAGGATTTAGAAGAGTTGCGAAGAGAAATTGAGGAAAAGGACACAGCACTACAAGGGATGAGCAAGCAACTATTAGAGGTCTCTGCAGAAAAAGACGAGCTTGAGCAGGTCGGCATACAAATTTAACAGCACAGCCTAACCCGATCTTTGCAGCCTTAGTGCCTTTCGCTACTATGCTTATCTGGTTCCCCCCTGCCTTCTACAGCCATCTGCCACTTCCGCTCGCACCGACCTGCTATTAGAGGGCAGGTGGAGCAGTTTCAGAACGCCTGTTTTCTCGCTGCTTTCTGTGCATTTCACATCGTCTAGCGCCATTAGCCAAAGGTGCGTGCCTGATTTCCCTTACATGCTTGATCCTCAGCAATTGCAAAAGCTCCGGGAGGCGCCGTCAACGCCGGAAACACCTCGCGCACTGACGAGCAGACGCAGCTTTTTCGGTCGTAGCAAATCAACAGCGCTAGAGAGGGATGCCCTTGCTGCTCAGGTTCACAATCTTGAAGAGCAGCTGCAGAAACTGACCGACAAACGGGTGGAACTTGAGAGAGCGAAAGTCAAACTCGAAAGACAGCTTACTGAGGCTGTGCAAGAAGTCCGCTCGGCTAGGAGCGAGAAAGACGCTATTGAGAAGAGAGTAGGCCGTGATATTTTGGCATTAAGGTGCATTGCAGCTTGCCAGGCATAAGCTATTGACGAGTTCGTGAGGCAGTCCTTGCGAATCATAGGGTTGTTTTTATTTGCATTGTTTTTGTCTCTTCACTGAGTTGTTCATCTTGTTTATTCCTCTCTCCCGTTTGCAGCTGAAGGAGAGGGAAGCTACTCTTGAGTCCCTTCGCTCCGCTCACGTAAGCCTTGTGGTCAGCCCACCCAAGCGTGGTTCTTTTGTCATGCATTTTTTCGAGGTGTTTATTCCCTGAAGTATACTGCTTCTGTCTCAGGAGAACGTGGAAAAGGCTCTCGACGTCTCGCAGAACATTTCTCTGCCGCTTCCCAAAGGTGATACTGCGTTTACTTTGTTAATGTGCCTCTCCTAGCATTGTTTCGACTGTTTTTTTAATAAATACCTGGGAGGCATCAGGTTATAGGGGGATTAAATGATCGGTGACGTAGGTTAATTGTTCTCTAGATACTTGTCATCCCTGCTGCAGGCCGCCATGATACAGAATTCGACACAAGGGCACAGTTGATGCTCAAGGATGAAGTAATCAAAACTCTTAGTAGCCGAATAGCATACCTGCAATTCGCTTTGAAGGAGGTCACAGCAGAGAAACAGAAATTGTTGTCGGAGCCAGCAACCATCGCGCTTCAACAAGTAAGGAACTGATGACTGTATTATCTGCCCGTCCTACCGGTGGCGTAGCTGACTACAAGTATCCATGTTTTACATGCCCATCGTATGCTGTCACTGCGGTGTGATTGAATAATTCAGCAATTGAAAGAAGCGAAAAATGAACTATCAGAAATTTCATCGAAGTACAGGGGTATTGTTGCACAGCGCGCGGAGCTCAGGGTAAAATGATGCTTCCACTGCCACTGCAGCTCAAGACCAAGTTCTCCCAGCTGCTGTCCAGTGGGATGCTTTCATCACAGGGTTGAGTGTGCACATGATGCAAAGTCTAGGGGAGTGAGAAAGAAATCCACGAATGCTCTTCGCATGTTTCCCGTGTGCGCTTAATCTCAGCGGCAGGTTGAGGCACTAACTGGGAAGCTAAATGATTCACAGCGGGACATAGAGAAACTGAGGGCTGCCCTCGAAGAGTCGCAGACAAGGCTTAATACAACGGCTGACAAGTTCAAAGAACAGAGCGACAGGTACATTGCCAAAGCCCTCAAGAGCAATTTTTCGCTTTAAGCAGCTGATGCTTTCGATGTTTGATTTCTTTGTTGCTTTCACAGCGCTTTTATCATCATTGTGCCAGTTTAATCGAATAAGGCATTGTGCCGGGATACAGAAATGTTTACGTGGCGCCAACTGGAGATTCAGACTTCGACCTTTTTCTACTGCGCACGGCTGTTGTTTTTCTACTACGCACGGTTGTTGTTTTCCAGGTACCGAAATTTATTATCGACATCCTTGACAAAAATAGATGAATTACAGGAGGAAGTTTCGAGGGAAAGAAACAGGTTGGCGCTTGTTTGGATGCTTTTCTGTCAATTTGACAATTCGTCCGATCGGTTGCCATGTAGCAGTTCTCATAGCGAGAAGTGCAGTCAAGGTGACCTGGTTGCATGCTGTCCGCGAAGCTGTGTATGTATTTGCATGCACAGCACAGGCGCTCGTGGAGTCTCGCACAATCTAACTTACTTTCTGTGATAGAGTGTTTTTAAACGCACCTACTCGCGGTTGAATTTATTATTCGTGCTGCTTGGTGCTTTCCTGGAAGCCGTTGTTGCCTCATGCATTTCGCTTGTGCTTGCTACAGCAAAATTTTAGTGGGTAAAGTTTACCGGCAGGAAATGCTGGAACTGAGGAAAGCAGCAGTGCAAACGGGCAGTGTAAGGGGAGACCCTATCAGGCCGCTGTCTCTTCGAGAGCCCCAACTGCTCGAGAAGGCGCAGCAGCCGACGCAGCCATCTCAGGGCCTTTCAAAAGGGCAGTCCTTGTTATCTAGAAAACAAGCAGAGGCGCGGAAATCAACCATAACTTCGACGCTGCAGACGGTGGGCAGCAAAGCAGAACGCGGTTGTCCGTTTAGTCACGGGTGGCCAGTTAATCTTGGTGAACCCGACGTACCCGAAGACTTTGCGGTCATTCCTCTGTGCTACCCTTTGGAAGCGACTCCAGGAACAAGCAAGGAAGCCAGGATGCAGCCTGTTGGATCTACTGAGACGAGCCTCACTGTTGAACAGCGACGCGCAGCAGGAGCTCTGCACGCGTGTGTAGCTGAAGAGCCAAACGACAGCGTCTGCCAAAAGAAAGGGCTGCTTAAGCCACAGTCAACATCCAGCTGCGCTCTCTCTGGAGGGTTAGTGTTTGCTGATGCCGAGGTCCCAACGAGGCTCCAAGTAATGAACAGTAGGCAACAGCCTGAGAGGCGAGCAGAGCATTCACTGGCGCAGCCGCACATGGAGAGAGAAACGCTCGATGATCAGCAGCTGCCATCTACACAGCATGCACAGGATGGATCAAACGGGCAGTTAACACAAGAGCCAAAGCATTACGAGCAGCAAGAGACCGCAGGTATCCCGAAGGCGCATGCCCTTTGTTCAGAAAATGAGGGAGATACGGAAAGGCTAGCTCATCCAACATACACACATGAAGGCCTTCCTGCTCAGCAGCAGGTGCAAACTGATCCAGCTCTCCCTACTGCAGCGGCACAATCCGCCAGAAGCAGCAGCAGCACCGCTTTTGCAGCTGCCTGCAACCGAATATCCACTGACAGTGATGCAGATGCTCCCTTTCCATTAAGAGCAGACGTCGTAGATTCCGCCGGCCCATCAACAATCGATGGAGTGACTGTCCTTCGAGACTTGCAACTGCTTCAGAATAAGAAGAAGGTGCTCTTCTCACCAGGTTTAGGCCGCCGAGGATCTCCAGAAGAGGGGGATTTCTCTGAGCTCGAAGAGGATAACAGTGTTGATTTATCTTGAACGGATGACGGCTACCGAGGATACCTTCATGTGTCTTAGTAACAACAGCCAGTGGTCATACAGATCACGCTAAGTACCAACAATGCAGCATGGAAATACGTAGCTAGGTTTTGTGCCGCAGAAATTGAGCTGGATCATTCTCGCGGGCTTGCTTTGCAAGCAAGAACAATCGTCGAGTCATGGTGCACTGGTAAGAAGTCGTGTTCTTAATCTCTACTGCCGCGGTTGGTAGGGTCATCCGTGCCTGCTGATTCCCGTGCCCAGGCGCCAGCTTTGTTTCGTTTGCGTGCACCCATTCTGGGTTTGGCTACAATTGAAGGCCGAAGTGACTGTTCGGTACTGTTGCAAGGTTCGCGTGTCCGGATACTTACAGTGTCGCGCGTGCGTTTGTAAGACAGGAAAATCGTAGCAGCGCCGTCTAATGACGTCATCAGTGTGACAATAGTGTTACTTGTTGATTTAGGCAGTAGACTTCGACTCCGCTCGCCCTTGTGACAAGGTCACGAGAAGATATTTTGCTCGGTGTGGAATTGTGAGCTCATACCACTACTTGCTCTCTTTGGTGGTACACCACCAAAGAGAGCAGTCCTATGAGCTCAAACTTTGAAACAATACGCTGATTCGCTTTGTCTTCCTACTGGGATGTGCATTACGCAGTCCTGACGTGGGGACTGTGTTGTGTGTGAGCAACTCGCCCAACTATTCGAGTCTGAAAACCGCAGGAGCGTTAACATTTCGTGCTTCACAAAGTGTGTTTACTTGAGTTCCACAAATTTTAGCGCCTCAAGCGCAATTGCCAGCCTCTTCAAGCCCTCAGTTCCTCCCCATGTCTGTCCCTGCGTTGCTGTATCGCTACACGATTCTCTCGTGCTGCCGTTATACGAAGCAGGCTGGCGGAGGGCGGCGATAGCGGCAGACGCGAAGGACTCAACAGCCTTCTTAGAGCCAGGTGGCAAGGATACCTGTCTGCCGCAGCGACTGAGTACCTCTGCTGCAGCAGCTAGCAACGGGAGAGAGTCACAAATCTGCTCGCCATGCCGAACCACAATCCCGCTGAATATGGATAGCAATTCTTGCACCACGTGACGAAACTCCCTGGAAGCTGTCACCAAAGGTACATGTGCAGCGGGGGTGCTTTGATCCATAAAGCCTTCAGAGAAGCCGTCCGATGAGTGGCAATGTGCATGGAGCAAAGCTGCGAAGTCGCTGGTTGCCAAAAGAAGCAACTGCACTTGTGCTGCAGTTTTAGGTGAATCGACGGGGAGACCCGCAATAATCTGTGAGTGTCGCAATAGCGCTGCCGCTGCAGCGAAGAGGAAGGCTGGCGCTCCACGTAGCAGTCGTAAAATGCTGTTGTTACTGTTAGACTGGCCAGCATATTGATGTCCAGCTTCTGCTGGTGGCAGATTAGATAGCTTGAAATCATTTGACAAGGTCGGAGAAATATCAAGGCCTTTTACACCAACATTTTCCTTAGTGACCTGTTCCGAATCCTCCATGGCTGCGCGGGCACTAGCGGCCAACGGCCGCAAAAGATGAAACAGCTGCAACAGCCCGCACTCCGCAGTCAACAGAGGGGCGTGAAGAATCCCGGACCTGCAAGCAGCAACATCAGGCAAAGCTGCACAGAGTGGGTCAGGGAGGAGCAAGGATCAAACTGTGGCCCTGCAAGAGCCTCAACAGACTAATCTAAGCAGATTCCTCTGCAATAGGAGCTGTCCCAATTCACAATCAGCAACAGCATAGATTGCCCGATTCCTCTTCAAGCTGTATGTAACCCACAGGATGTAATGCCGCGTGATTGCCTTGCATGAGGAATAAAAGCTAAGCAACAGCCCTAGAGACACTCCGGCAGTTGCGAGCCAGTTTAAGGAAGGCTTTTCTGACGGTGGTAGAGATACAGGAGGCCTAGCGATGTTTCGAGCTTCCAGACAAAACGACTTCACTGTACTCAGCACAGCTTGGGGCCCATAGTCGGGGGGCAAGGCCTGCCTACGAGCAGCCAGTGTGCTTTCGGCGGGAGTTGCACAAGCGACGGATTGTGTTCGGGATTCTCCGTCATCAGAAACACATGATCCAGAGGCCCGTGGGCCTTCTCGTTGAAGGAGATGATCGTTTGCTGCCCTGAGGGTTGCCTCGGCGTAGACTGCCAGCTTGTCAGCAAATCCTCCCGGGCGTCTGATGATTTGTGCAGCTAAGTGCGACGCTTCCTGTAGAGTCAGGCTCTTGCGGTTCTGGTGAGCTCCCCATAAAGGGGAGTTGCGTGTCGCACTTCCAGCCGACTCGTTCACTCCTGCGGCAAGCCTAGCCGCTTCATTGGTCCCTATTGCTACAGGAGCGCCAAAGCCTCCTTCAACCCGGCTCAAGGCCCACAGAAATGACCCTACTTCCCTCATACCCGCTAGGCGAATCCTATTCCGGTTCCGAGCAAGTGGAATGCTCGCCGTGGCTGCTTTTGTTACTGCAGTTGTTTCTAGTGAATTTGCAGTTGTGGTTGTTGAATCGTGATGAAACTGTCCTGCTGGCGCAGAGAGCTGTTGCCGACACCACGCGTCCACGGAATCTGGGAAAGAAACACTTTTGTCAATAGCCTCGACCACATGGAGCAGCAACTGGGAAGCAGCTGCTTCTGCTTCGCTGCTGAGCTGTTGCTGTTGCTGCTCCGTTGTGAAAACAGCGCCCACTGCAGGACCCACACCGGGAGCAGCTGCTTCTGCGGCAGCTGAGTCAGATGTGGCCCGGACGGTATCAATTCCCGTACCTTGGCGGAGACGAAGCATGTTGTATGCTAGGAGGAACAAAATTGGCGAAGGCCACGCCGCTAAATCAGGTCCCCTTTTCTCGCAAAGTTCCGAAAGGTAAAACTGAAGGCAAAAGCAGTCACAAGAGCAGGAATGCAGATCCAGTCGCAGTAAGACCCCCTGGCACACTAACGCTGGAGCAAGCAAAACAAGTAAGCTGGAAGAGATCAGATGATGGGCATACTTCGACAGCAGCAGGCGCCACGTAACGACCTGAAGAAATACCCGAGCTCGAGGCAAATGCATTTGAACCTTTTAGGCTGCTAACCAAGGATGAGACTGTTAGTCCCCTTTCCACAGGACCTCGTTGACGCTGCTGATTCGTCTGTGGCTCCTCTGAGTCAACAGCAGCAGTTCCTGCAGCTGCAGAACGGATAGTCTGAACGTTTTGTTCAGTATGTACTGGTGAAGCCCCCGCGCTCGTCTCCTGGATCCAAAATGGAATGAGTGAAAAAGTAAGAAGAGCGACGTCTTCTGGTTGGTGCCCTTCGAAGCCGCTGACTGCTGCCCACAATGTGGCAGCAGACGCGAGGCTACATAGGGAATCCTGCAGCTCAGACGCCTCCAAGTCAGAATCTGGGGAAAGGGGTCGTGGCTGTTTTCCATCTCCCTTTGGAGGACTCCCCCTCATGCTCGAGGACCTCTGAAGCAGCGAAAGGGTTTTTCCCACGAGCTCAGCAGCACTTCTGTCCTGTGTTTCTGCTGGTGCTGAAGCTGCTGTCGCGAAGCTTCCAATCTGTGTGCTACTAACACCATTACTCTCGTTTCGGGCGGAAGTGTGCGAGCGCAACAAGCGCTGCAGCGTCAGAGTGTCCAAGCGGTATCGCAGGACCTTAAGGCCCTGAGTCACGAGAGCCCATTCACCGATCCAACTGCACGCAAAGAGCAATCGCTGGAGCACCTTCAGCGAGAGGCGCTGCGCACAGATTACTGCTGCCGCGGCGGTAGAGGTACTAAACGCCTCCTCCTGCGTCTGCCATTCTGTGGATAGGAGAGAGTCTAGTTCGCTCTCTGACGGCAGACAGGCTGCAACGCCGCTGGTAAGCGATCGGTCTTTAGCCCCGAGAGTGACTAGTGAACAGAAAAAACGTATTCTTCTTTCGGCTTCTCTGAGATCTCGAGGAGGCTCATGCGTGTGCAGTAAGGGTCTAAAAAACGCCAGCGGTGTCAGTCGTGCGGATGCAGATGCTGGTCCAGTCTTTGCGGAGGCAGAAGCCTGATGTGCAAGGAAGCGATCAAATGACACAGCAGCTGCAGCAAATTGTCCAGTACCTTTAAGAGGCCTCAGCGAATGGAGCCGCGCCAGAGCAATGCATAACTGCTGCACTTCACCGTATAGCATCCGCCCTACGGCAGCCCACGTACTGCAGCGCTTTTCGTCATTTGCTGCACTGCCCCGTTGGGCCTGCTGTTCGGATATAAACAGCTCAATAAGGCGGGCCCCCTGAGCAGCCGCAACTTCTGCCAGCTGCTGTACGGCAGGCAGCCAAATGCCCCCACCTAGTCTCATGAGAAGGTAGTACACGGGAAGCCAAGAGGCCAGTGCTGCCACCAGCAGACGCACTTCATAAGCAGTTGTTTGCGACGGTGGTGACTTCTTTCCAGTGTTTGGCTGCTGCACATTCAAACGCTGGTGCAGCGTCTGCTGCTGCTGTGAATAGACTTTGTGCGACCAGTCCTTTAGCGGATGCAGTCGAGGGGGTGAATCTACACCGCCATGTGCTTCCAGGAGCGGTGCAAAAACTTTTAGTCCGCGTGCTGCAGCCACTGCAGAGGCTTCTACCATAGTCGCTATTGCCTCCAAAATTCCCCGAGGCAGCATGAGAGCTCCGCTGCGCTGCAGGGCTACGGCAAGAGCAGTAGCGGCCGTGCCATTAGGAATCCCACCACGATGGCCTTCGAAATCCTCCTCCGGAAAGTGGCCAATTGCATCTCCACTTCCCCCTAGCAGCAGCAGTGGCGTGAATCTCTCAGTCTGAGTGGAAGGGAAGTTCTTACTCCATTCAGACAGCAAGTTATACACTGTCGACACTCTTTGCACTGTCTCTCCAGAGGGCAAGCTTGGGGCCTCTGCCGCAGCACGCTGTAGCACTTCCTGCAGCAGGTCTAGCAGCGCCTGTGCCAGGGCCTGCACTTCTTGAGAAGGCTTTGAAGGCGAGCGTGCCAGTCGGATTTCCCGACCGATGACGAAGAGAGGAGCTATGAGTTGAGTGACAGCCGCTTGTGGAAGCCTGCAAACGCCCGCAAAGAAGGGAAAAATAGCGGCACCTAAATATAAGGTAGCTAAATTTTCTTCTGCCACTACGCCTATGGTCTTCTCCTTTCCTTTAAATTCCCGCAGCAAAGCATGCATTCACAACCAAGCAGTGGCCGACCAGAGCTGCCGAGGAAGAGTTTGTCAAGATGTCAAAAACAGAAGGAAATGTTTCCTTAACCACTGGGCTCCTAAAAAATATGAAAATCAGAAGCAGCCCTGGGCCGTACCTGGGGACGAATTTTCGGAGTGAGTTCAAGAACCATGTAAGAGCCCTCACAGATACAGTTTCAGCAGAACATGGACTAGAAGGCGTTCCACATAGCAGAAGCCAATCATCTCGCCGTCTTTGCTGCTGTTTCGAGGAAAACTCAAGACCTCCAGCGCCAGAATCGCCTTGGCAGGGCCCCTGGGACCACTTGCTGGCAGGTTCAAGGCTCAAGCCCCATTGGTGAGACACAGCACAAGCAGCGAGAAACATAACACCGTCTAGGGCTTCTGACAAGCTTGGTACTGCTGGCGGTTGCTGCTGATACGGCAGGTGCTGTTGTTGCTGTTTAAGCTGCCGTAGCGGCGCAGGAGGAGACACAAACGCAGCTAGGAATGAGAAGAAGGACTTGATTTCTGCTCGAGAAGGGCTATCCGTGAGACTTGCGACATGCTGGGGCCTACATAGCAAATACAGATGCAAAAGCCCAAAGCCCCTAGCAATTCAGGATACAGGCAATAGCGAAGCTTCTTTTTATCCCGCCATCTCGTGCTGATGCCAACTTTGGGGTTGGAGAAATATTTGCGAGGGTGCATGCCGACAAACAAGTATATTTGGACACGAACATGAAATTTTAATCTAAAACTATTCAAGTGGAGCGCACATACGCTGACGGAGCAAATCTGGTCAAGACTCTACGCCTACCCGCTTGGGTGTTTCTCTAAGCTGCACTGAAAATTTTTTGCAGCGCCATCAAGGCCTTTCGCTGTGCGTGGATCAGTCACAGAGGGGCGCCGTTTCTGCCCTTCATGGAAGTTTTCCTCGACTATCTCAGGTAAGCCTTCGCCGCCTCGGCCTGAAGAAATCCTGTTAACAGCACGCCATAGCTTCCGTCGGCATGTTGCTCTACTGCGTCCAACCGATTGGGGGGTCTCCACTCCGGGAAAGAGTGCTAACTGGCCGGAGCTTCGAAAAGTCGGGCTCGAAAAAGAAGAAGCAACGTAGCATCTGTCCTTAAAAGAGAAGGCCGCTACGAGGTGTGGCGCCCTATGCACTAGTGATAGAAGAAACAGAATAATACACAGGCGTTTGAGCGTCCTCAGCTTCCTCGGCACTCCCCACACGGTCTTTCGGTAAGCTAAGATGCGGTGAAATCTAGCCCCTAACAGCATGAAATGAGCCGATTTTAAGTGGTACGGCAGGCCAGATTGTCTACCGCCTCCATGCATCGTCAAGCCGAAGGATAAAGGGGCGGCGCATTCGATTCAGGATGAGACGGTGAGGTAAACGCACGTTCGACAGAGGATCACAGCTTCGAGGAAGACGGGCATTGGCATACGCTCAGCACTCTCAGCCATCTCACTGACCGTATTATCAACGAATGGTGCTCCCAAACAAAGGGACTCGGCGCCCAAAACACTCCAGGAGATTCCAATTTGAACTGTGTCGGCCGGTTGTGCGCTAAATGGCGACACAGTTGAGCAGTCCCGCAGCTCTGATGCATTCCTCAGGTGCATGCCTGCCACCTTGAATGATGCTGAGGTGAAGGCGTGCTGATGTTCACAAAGGCATTGAGCTTACTCCGGCTGAGGCAGTTGGTCTCCGCTCACTTCAGGGGCCGCGCCTCCAAAAAGTATGAAGAGCAGGAGAAAAATTCGTATCCCAATGAATATAAATGCAAATTGTACCTGCCCTCGTTGCAGATCCTCAAGTGTGAAGGGGTCAGTGGAAGTGCTCGTTCTAGGACTGGCCCTATTTTGGCAGAAGGGGGCCCCTCACTGCAGCCGACTTCGTCCACCCACTGCGCCAGGTTGCACTGTGCTCTCAACGGTTTACAACTTTCCAGGATCTTTTTAACATCGTATTATGCGTTTATTGCTGCAGAGATCTCCTCACGACGAAGCGCTGAGCAGCAACAACTCTTGTCGAGCTGCGCCGAGGGCACAAACAGGGAACGAAGTCTTTTTTATTGTCCCTAGATGCGGACACAAGCAGACCTTTTGTGTTCCTCAAATACATATGAGGATTTGGATGTAATGAAAACGTTTGGGCTTTCCTGTAGGGGTCACATCTGGGCGTTCGCCAGTCACAATTGATGGCGCTTTTTTGTTAAGGTCACTATGGCTGTCGTGGTGCTCTTGTTGCACTGGATCAGCATTTCCATGTCATATGCCGTCCTCCACTTTGCGCCTGCCCATTCCATGAGCGTCAAAAGTCGAATACCGTCCAACTCTCGAATTGGGAGGCCTGGAGTTGCTGCAGCTGGTAACAGTTGCCCTTCATTTCTTGCTCGGGGGGTCTGTACCAACTCCTGCGGAGCCTGCATAGGCTGCTGGGTTCCAAATTTTTGTTTAAATGCTCCGCTTCCCACCACTCAGAGAGGTTTTGTCGGCAGAACCCATATATTTGCATGTAGACCTCGACCTAAGAAGGAAAAGGCGCGAAGAAACTACCAAATTGCGAAGCAGCAAAAGCAAGTAAGGCAGGAGCGTTTAATCCAACGCCGACAGCAGCTGGAGCTTTTTAGAGCGCAACAGCGACTGCTTTCGCTTTCGGAAACGAACACGGAATCAAAGGATCTCGACGAAACTCAAGTACAAACTAGTGAAACTGGAGGCTCGTTTAGTTCAGATGGGTTCGTAGCCACAGCAGGGCCAGCAAAGCGTGAAGTTCCTGGCGGAATCAACTCCCCTCTCCCTGCCCGCATCAACTACCGTCTTGTTGGTGGGACCTGGAGAAGAGCACGCGGGCAAAGTAAGTTTGTGAGGCTCTCGGGGGCACAAATGGCAGCAGCTATTTTTCAGGGTCTCCCTGAAGACGAAGTTGCAGCTGCAGTGGCGAAGGCGAAACGCCAAGATGAGGGTTTTATGGACTTAGAGGCTTATGATGACTCGGACTCGCAGTATGCAACTCTGGAGGGGATGAACTAATGGGACGAGTTGTCGTTCGAGGGAGGAAAACGCCGATTTTTGTAGGCGTAGCATTGGAAAAACGAAACTAGGACTATATAGTCTATGAGGTGCTGAAGCCGAGCAGACATTGTCTACTTGTTCCCGAAATCCGCACAAGCCGTCCAGAGTTTCCCCGAAGTTTCGCCGACAGTACACGGTCACTAAGCCTGCTAGCTCCTTCAACGCACCTGCACTCAGTAGTCCCTCATATTTGCCCGCAAACAGCGCACAACTCTCAGAGCCACACATGATTTAGCCGTGATTCCTGAAATGCTGAAAGAGTTCCATCAAGGCATAGTAACCGTAATTAGACATTGTGAGTCAGTGCTGACGGAAGCTTTTACATGCTTTTGTGGTTTTGATGCATGTAACGAGCTTATTGCCGATGTATCAGTCTTCGGGGTTTCCCGAACCTTAACGTACGCCAAGTGCACATCATTTGTGCGACAGCGGCGCTCTTGCTGACGTATCAACAACCGCTCTGATGTGTTAGCGTGTCAGCATCGGCCCCAGGACCGAATTTCGGTTGATCCCGTTCTAGAAACACGAACATATGCCTACTGCCTCTGCGTAGGCTAAGTGCGTTCGCCTCTGTACGTGAATGATTGTTTGGCTTCGAAGTGCATTTGCTTCAGTAGGTCCACAGGAGAAGACAGGACACTCGGCAGCTGCGATTTTCATCTGTTCCCCTTTGCTCTGGCTTTAAAAGCGGTGGTGCAAACGTTGGCAGACGCGCTCAGAAGATACGGCCAACGGTCGACTTTGGTCATAACAGCGTCACAATAGCTCAGACAACTTGTTGCTGAAAAGGCAGGGATCCAGCACGACAGTGCTCGCATTCCACCTAGTTCGTTCCACCAGCCTCACGGACAGAACACAGAATAGAAACGATCCTATGAGCGGAAGACTCCAGAGCCAGGCAGCAGGGTTGTCCTACGATATAAGGGATTAGCAGCTTCAGTTGCAGCAACATTAGCCACCGAGACTCCAAAAGCCGCGGAGCCTGTGGCAAAATAAGACGCTTTCTTCCGCACATGCCCTGCAGATGCATTCCGCTTGTGACGGCAGCTCAGCGTACGTTAACTGCCACAATTGTTCTAGTATATTCTAGTGCTCCATATTGTTGTTCTACTCATTGTCTTGAACCAGGCTAAACCACTATGGCAGAAATGAATGCGATGTCACTATATGGGCTTTTTCGTAGAAACGAGCCATAGATCATTCCAACAGAAGTGGAACTTGCTTGGTGTGTGTGTGCTACGAGCAGCCTAGCACTTCACCATTGATGAGTGCCGGGAATACTCGTCAGCCTTCGTCGGGCGGAACTATACATCTAAGAAAGGCATTAGCAGATCATAATGAGTAACACAGTGGCTATGAAGTTCTCGCGAGTTCCTTATCTCCCTCCTGCCGCCATGCCAAGTAATGCATGCTTCCTCCCGTGGCATACGGTGCGGCTGTTGACAATTTGTCCACCGCCGCGTTCGAAAACAATTCCTTCTCAAATTTAACTGTAATTTGAGGATGTGAATGGAATGAATCGTTAGGGACAGCCCCTTATGTGGAAACCGAGGACGTAAGTGACGTGGCCCAAAGGTCACCTCGACGAGCAAGAATCATTGTCGACGGAATCTTCTGTGGTCACACTTGCAAAATATTTTAAGCCAGCCACGAAATTTTTAGTTTTCTGCTGAAGCATATAGCGCTGAAGAGGGAACGAACCTGATGCCTTAATACGTTGAAGAAGCTGCAAACATAAACCAGGCACATCCCAGAAGGGAGCCTCTTAATCTGTTATCACAGTTGTGGAATTTATCAAGGGTGGCACATCACCACAGCGTGCAGGTTTCAGGCAAGCTTCTTAACCCACCACTGCGCTGGTAAAGAGGTGAAGCTCAGGGGCCTCTACCTGGCATTGAACTTGCCTGAGTAGCTCATGCTACACATACCTCGGAACCATTTGTCGCTCTAGAAGCTACTACAGCAAACAGGGCCTAGACGGCAGCTTCTGCTAAAATTTGAATGGGAATAGCAAATGTCTACAGGAGGCATCTTTCCTGATCATCACGGAGCGTATGGTGCGGACCCATATTATCAAGATGCAGAAGACATTGATACATTCACCCCGCAAGAGGTCTTGCAAGCTACGAGGCTCATTAGACTGCTGAAACAGTCCATTCGGAATAGTCAGTCTCGGCAGCGGCCTCGACAACACAAGTAAGCGATGTCACAATTCCAACCATTCCAGCTCAAGCAGCCTTCATTAATTCGTGCTGCTGAGAACCGAAATTTGAGATAAAAGATGAAGCGGGGAGGCAAGCATCATATCGTATATCTGGTGTCGGTGCTGAGGGTGACGGCCTGCCTAGTCCTGATCTGAAAATGCAGTGCTCTGGGTGGAGTGAACAGACCAAATGAAGCAAGCCTACCAGCGGAAAAGGCCTTCTTTGGGCCCAATGGTGAGCTAAGCCTCCCTTGTGTGTAGAGTCCCTGTGTTGTCTTACGCTAGGGGCCTAACTGGTTATTAAGTGTAAAATGCAGTGCAGCAATCCCGTTCGCCGTTTTTCCAAAACAGGAGTGGACTCGCAGCCACGCCTTAACGGCGGCCTTGAAAATTCTCCAAAGAGAGGGGACGCTTTCGGCTGGTCCCAGGACTTGCAGCTCCCAGCATCGTGGGAACAAGGACAGTTCGAGGCACTGATAGCTGGCATGAAGGCAGTACATGGAGCTAATGGAGCTCTGCGGCAGGCAAACAACACCGTTGCTCGCGTGTCCAGCCCGCGCACGCATGGCCAGATGACGCCTTGCAGAGAGCAAAGCTTAGCTACTAAGCAGCCGTCAGACAGTCTAGGAATAGCAGCGGGGATTAGGCTTGGCATGAATATCTCCAAAGAAGCAAAACATGCAGTGGCTAGCTATCCACAACCACGCAACGGGGCCGGCGAGGCTGCGGATTTCTCGGCAAGCCGTGGTACGTTCGAGCAACCCATGCCTCAAAAAACCCCGTCAGTCGAAAAGCTTCTTGCGGAAAGTCAAGGGAGCCTGGGTGCATCTCTCCCTGTTCAAGCGAACGGTGGTGACGAGCCTCAAGAAATACAGGAAGTCGGCAAGAATATATCAACTCGGCTTGAGCCCGTCTATCGCTTTCTTTTATGCGCTGTCTTTAGTCAGAGCAGTATGTCTGCCGTAAAATTGTAGCACCGAAAGGTCTACAAGGCTACCATTGTGCGACACAAGTGCCTGCTCCATACGGTCCCGTGCGGCTGTACGATTTGCTTCAGTGCCCTTACTGTCACCGCACGTTTACCGGCAAGTCCTTTGAAAAACATGTAAACGTTTGTGTAAAGGCAAGTCCGTTTGCTTGGTTCTGCCATTAATTGATGTAGCACCAACCTACCGCGGTCTCAAATACTCTTCCTTCCTCCACACGAGACAACTTACACAACGACTTGGCCTTTGTTGCAGACAACAAGCCGGCACTGCATAGGAAGAAGCAATAGAGCATACAGTCACACGCTGCTCCTTTTGCTAGTATGCTTTATATGAAAAGGTATTTTTTACACGACGCAAGCAGTACGATATGACGCGGAAACGCCTGGCAAACGTAATGGAGGAGACAGGACTACCTGTATACTCAACCTTGCAGAAGCTTCGAGGAGCCGTGTCATCAAAACCGTAGGCTTCAGACGGAAGCCCACAACTACAGCATATTCACTTTTACGCAAATAGTCCTGCGACAATTCACTTCCCCCTCATATGCCTGTCTTGATCCGCACTCTCACCGTCTTGCGGCTCAGGTTAGAAAGGCCAACAGAGAAGAAATGGCAACGTGAGGTGGGCGCAACGTGGCTGAAAAAGCTAGATATGCCATTCGTCCAGTTTTACTAAGGATAAGGCCACGGCCAGGAATTGCACCAGGTGCATGCTGTGCAGAACTTCCTCGGCCTGCATCTGCATGTACTGAACAGAGCGCGCAATTTCGAGCGGCGATGAGGATGGCAAGAGCGTGTGATCCGAGGGAGATAGCAGAAGCTCAGGCAAGTCCTCAAGCGGACAATGCCAAACACATGCTTGATAAAGTTCTTTTGCAGAAGCTTGTCACGGAAATTTTTGCGTTGTTCTTCTTGCCCATTATTTTCGCTGATTGCAGGCTATTTTTGCCAAGTGTAGTGATATGGGAGCCAATAAACAGTGTCAACATTGTGGCCGAACCTTCGGCCGTGATGAAGCCTTAGAAAAGCACGAAGGCGTGTGCCAGCGAATGTTTAAAAATGGTGGGGGGGTCCTCAGAAAAGGCGGTGGTCTTTGTGCAGCGCAAGGGGCTGCTTGCCGCGTGATGCGGAATGCTGTACTAAAGAAGAGAGGGCAAAGCTGCATGGACTTTCCTGCTCCAAGGAGGAACATTGATCCGTCCAGCTGGGGCTATCAACAGCGAAGTACTTCGCATAATAGCGGCCGATTTACATCTCATCCTTCCTTGATGGCAAATAGCAAAAAGAATAATGCCCACAGACTAAAGCATCACAGTTAGCCACGCCGATTTTGGTGTTTGTCTTCGTCAACTGGGTGCTAGCTGCAGAGCACCTGTTTGTGAGGCTTTGCCAGGAAGAGCTGAGGCGGCTTGTGGGAATACAGGGTTACGTCACATGCAACGTCGCCTAGACAATTCACAACTCTCAATCACGGGGAACTGGCCACAGGCGTGCTATATTTGTCACCAAGGCGCCCAAAACACTGAACAGTTAAAGTGACCTTTGTTGTGAACAGCTTAGTGAGATTGTGGAGCCTGTGCCAGCACAGGCACGTACCAGCAATTAATGAACCATTTGATAGCTTGGTGCTGACTTGCTTTAGGAGTTATAATAGCAGCTACTATAGGACTACCTGCATTAAATTTGCACCCGTTTGTTCATGTGGTCGAACTTTTATCAGCTATGCTTGATTCATTGCTTGCGCCATTGTTAACGGAAACGTTCATTTGACTTAACCGGGAAGACGGCGGCGGATTTTGCTTTGGCAATGGCTTGTTTGTGGGATAGCGTTGCTGTGCGTTCTGCACGTGATTTGCTTCAGCGGCGAGTGTGACATCTCACGCTGCATGACGCCCTCAGTGCTCTCGGGTAACAGCAGTTTTATTTCTCGTTTGCTTCGCCATAATCGCATCTGCAAGCCTGTCATTATCCTGATAGCTTGCTGATGGCTTCCACTTTCTCTTGGGCGTCCAGCCCTCAAGAAGCACCGCAAGGACCCCACACTGGAGCTCCGCTTTTCACCAGCCTTGTGCTTAGTTTTAGTTAGCCTTGTGCTGTGATAGTAATGCGTTGTCCGAAAGTGCAGATTCTTGGGTACGAGGTCTTTTCTAGCAATATGTGCTGTTTGTGATATATCAAGGAAGGAGGTGCGGCAGCTGATGAGAGCCCGCATGCGTTGGGATAGACGTTCAAGCATGAGGATGTTGAGCTGAGGAAGGCGCTTGTGCCTGGGACGCTGTGAAATGTTTCAGTTGCTAGGCAAAAGAGGTTCGGGAATGACCCGCAGAAAGCTATATTACGTTGAAGCGCCACAAAGTCTGGCCCCTTTGGTAGAAGGGCCAACAGTCCCCTGACACATAGCCACTAGCCGGCCTGCAGGCACTGTTCTTGTCTAAAAGAGATGCGTTTGAATGGGGCACTGATGGACTTTTGATTTTGATGGCTCAGAGTGAAGGGCTGTGCAAGCACTGTCTCGTGTAATTTAGGACTGTGATATGCACCCTAAGACCGACGTGGGACCCTATGCAAGGTCTGTGCATGCCTTACGACGAAGAAAAGAGCGATTGTCGTAGTCCGCAAATGGCCTTATTTATGCGAAATCATGCAGTCGGGCATTGAATTGCAAAGAGGATCCTGCTTTGTTGCAGTATTCTCGTAACGTTGTTGCTTGGGCGAGTTGACGCAACTCCAAGGTGTCCCCGTTTGTTCATTACTTCAGAGGTCGAGGCCGTCAGAGGTCGCCTCCTTCGGCCTCCCCACCCTGCTGAGACAGCTTGCCGTGACTCTCAGGCGACTACCTTTTGAAGAGAAGCATAAATATTTTCCTAATGCGCCTCAGTGTAGCGGCCCTTGCGGCATGCTACTGCGTAACTAGTGCACAACATCATGCTTCAGTACTTTCTCTCCCCTTCATTTGCAATTTACTCAGCAAATCGCTCCATTTCGGGTAAAAACTAAGTAAGCTTCCCCTTCTCTTGTAATTTGCTGCAGCAAATTATTGGATTTTGTTTAAGCCCGTTGCAAAAGGAAGCTCATATGGGCATGACATTTTGCATTTGCTACACACGAAATTGTGCTGACCCACCAGCGCCACATCCCATTTACTGGAATAGAGCACATTTTCGAACTCAGCTTTAGGTATCCTTCGTAGCTTTTAGCGTTTCCCCTCAAAAAGAAGAGGAACTGCCTGCGGGGAACAAAGGTGGCCAGCGAAGGATCTTACAACATTTTTTCTTTGCAGTCTCGTTATACGTTGACGCTGCCGAAGCAGTACTACTCTCCTTCGTGGGCTGCCACGGGCCTTCAAGCTTCAATGCAGCTCTCCCAAAGAGACCCAGTCTTATAGAACGATTGTTTAGCAGCTCCTCGGGAGAAGGTGCCTTGGCAGCTATGATTAGGCAGGCGGATGAATGAGTTGATATTGAGCAGATTGCTTGCTCGCCGATGGCTTTAAAAATGGCCAGAATTCGAATAGGCCAGATTCGTAGGAACAAATTCTGCACTTTCGAAAAACGCATGGTTTTGAAAGCATATTAGCATCAAGCTAACTTGCATAGGCCGTGTACCGCTTTTCACCGTCAATGTAATGCGCGTTTCATCCAGTCGTGCTCCTCTTCCCCAACTTTCCCAAGAATTATAATTGTCATCGTGCCTATTTCTTGTTCTAACAGGATTTTTGAAGTCTATTCACGACGAACTAGCTTGGAAAGCCCTTATATGCGGACATTATTGGTCAGAGGCACTGTGCGCAAGGCTGGAAAGCACGCTTTTCTTTTTAAAAAGTCCTGCGATATGCAGACGATGTACAGTCGTTCTGTGCCTTTATATTATGCTAAAATGATTTAATAGGCAGAAGGCAACCACAGAACGGACGTGCGTGTCGGCCGCAGCGCCGACACAGTAGGGCTCAGCTCTGCGGCGACGAATCCACCAAGCCGCTACACTCTCTCTATAACTTTGGGGGCATCATGAATCACAACCATACGCAATAATGCGAATTTTCAAAGGTCTCTTTAGTTCTCATCTTCGCCGTCTGAGTGCTCCGCACCTTCCATTGCCAATTGGATCGTCCTGGGTACGTTGTTGGTTCCATACCTTGTGTATAATGCAGCAGCTCACATTATAAAGTAAATCAAGTACTTGAAGGTAATTGCTGAGCATTAATAATAATGTTTTGCTGTGCTCAGACTAGAGCCTCTTTCCCATATCCCACACTTTGGCTTGCTGCGGAGCAACAGAGTAAGGTGAACATTGTGGCGTGTTAGTGTCTCAGTAGTCGTATTTTTCTTCACTTTTGTACAAAAAACTTGGGCTCATAGAGTTATAGTTTTGCCTCCAGATATAGCGGACGGGCTGAAAGTGCTCGGGCGATCTAACGCGTAGACCACCAGGAGCTATACTTAGCACAAGAAAACAGCTGTTTTCTCATTTCGTAGACATTTACGTGTTTCTTGCCAGTTGCTTTTTCTACTGTGACGGAAGGAGCTTATCTGAAGATGGCGCCCACAACGTTGTCGTATCCTCATGCGCGTCGAGGGCCCGATGTGGAAGATCATTTCGGCACTCAAGTTGCAGACCCCTATCGGTGTGTGCGGCAATCGTATCACCCTATATATGTTTATGCGGCAATGGATCTTCCCCAGAAACTCCAAGCTTGCTTAGCATCCATTTTAGAATGAGAGGAGGAGACTGCACTTTTTCGGCTGAAAAATAGAAAGCGTCGCATCCAAGGACTGGTAATTCTGTTGTGGAGTTGAGTTGACGGCGGCAGGTGGCTTGAGGACCCTGAGAGTGAGGAAACGAAGGCTTTTGTTGCGTCTGAAAATGAAATCTCCGAGAAGTACTTGAACACGCCTGTGCGAGGCCAGATTTTAAAGGCTCTTAAGAAGTTCCAAGACTACCCCAAGTAAGTAGGATGGCTTTAGCTCACTGCGTGAACATGTTTGTAACAAACAATGTGCAGGGACGTTACCTTCTAATAATTATGAATTTGACCCGACTCCTGTTATTGCGTAGGTTTGGGACCCCTTTTAAGAGCGGAGATTTCTGGTATAGTTGGAGGAACTCTGGTCTGCAGAATCAATCGGTGCTTCACAGACACAAAGACAGACTAGGAGAAGAGAGCGAAGTGTTCCTCGACCCAAATACCTGGACTGAAGATGGCACGGCAACTGTGGGTATGCCATGCGCCATTTTCCTACCATCTCGCATATGTGGATATTGGTAACTGCGTTAAAACAAGTAATCGTGCAGACATCGCTGCGTAGGATTTGGTGAAGAGATCAAGTAGTCCGCATACAACGCCCACCGTACTTCTGGTAATGCGCGGGACAGGCTCATACAAGTTCACTGATGACGGAAGTATGATGGCATTTGCTCGTGGAGATAAGGGGAGTGATTGGCGCACGATTTACATCATGGATGTCGCAAGTGGACGCCTCTTAGATGATCGTCTGCATCACGCAAAGTGAGCAACTAGAGGTGTCGGGATCAAGTTCTAGGTGTTTCGTTTGGACGGTTTCTGAAAAGGTGAGCACAACTATTCTTTCTAAACTTAACATATGCTTCTTGTGACTGGTATGCATATTGTTCTAGGTTCACGAGTTTGCAATGGGTTGGCAACACTCGCCTGTTTTACAACCGTTACGATGTACCAGAGGGCGCAGACGTGAATGGGATGGAGAATACAAAAAACGAGTTTCAAAAGGTAAACAGTGTCCACTGGAGAACTCTTGTAGTTGCTGAATTGGTGGTTGAGGGCCTCCACAGTGCTTTGGCGATTTTTTGAGTGGACTGACAAGTACGGCCAATGTAATACTTGTTCTGGGCTTGACGCGTGCGACCTTTCCTTTTCGCTGGGTGTCCTCCAGCTTTATTGCCACGAATTGGGAACTCCACAAGCTCAGGATATACTGGTGCTGGGATTCCCGTCTGAACCCAAATGGATGGCCAGCGCGACAGTGACAGATGATGAAAAATTCATTGTCGCAGGCATTTCACGAAGCTGCGAGCCTGTGAGTCTAACGTGACAGAGGCCGAAATGAAGTATCTTTACGATGCGTGAAGCATGCAAGCTTCGGAAAGAAAGGCGATTCTTTCCCTAGTCCCTTGGGACGCTCAGATTGCGAACTTTGTTTGGCGCTTACGTCTCGCCCTCTGTTTACTACGTGCAGACCAACAAACTATGGATTGCCGCTCTTCCATCTATCGATGAGCCCACGGAGGCGTACGCACATTTGAAGTGGGTGAAGATCGCCGACACCTTTGAAGCCGGCTATGAATATGTGGCCAACGACGGCAATGTCTTCATGTTTACTACGAACTGTGATGCTCCCAAGAACAAAATAGTTAAAGTGGACATAACGCATCCAGGTATTTGATCAAATGAACTGAAGTAGCCTCAGGCACGTAAATGAATTTGTTGTGTCTAGCGATTATCTCGATTTTCCCTGCGTAAAGACCATACAGTATCGTTGCGTGTGCCAACGCACCCAGTTACCATTGAGCCAGAGTTGTCTCTACGTAGCTCGCAGTAGAAGAGACCGACGAATAGGGAGGCCCAGAGTTTGTTTTATCTTGCATCGGTCTTGAGCGTAGGCACACCAATGGTTGACGTCGTCCCGGAGGCGGACTCCGTGCTTGAAGACGTTCAAGTGATTGCGGGAGATAGAATGGTGCTTCATTATACTGAAGATGTGAAATCGAGACTCTATGTGCACCGCCTAGATGGCGAGCGCATAGCGTCTATAGAAATACCCGTGGGTTCGGTGTTTGAAATGTCGGGGAAGAGAAAATTCAATCACTTCCTCTTCAGCGTAACTAGCTTCGATACGCCTCGCGTGATTTACGAAGTGGACGTTGACAGCGGCAGATACGGCGTCTCTATCATGCGACGCACTACAGTAAGCTGGGCCGTAGCGCGTTGGAGGTACTGCTTCTTTCCGTTGTGACATATTTGGTTGTTCCTCCACCGCTAAACTTTCTGCGTCTGAATCGTTAAGCTTATTGAGGGCCTTAAATGTCTCTAAATGCGGCGCCTTTAACCGTAGGTCGCCCTGCCCTAATATTATTGCCTGCATCTTGTGGTGCAGATAAGTGACCTGCCCCTAGACACCCTCGAAGTCACGCAGGAGTTTTTCACAAGCAAGGATGGGACGCGGATTCCTATGTTTTTGATGAGACAGAAGAATCAAATGAAGAGCGGCCCGCAACCAATGCTCCTCTACGGATATGGCGGGTACACCTGAATTTTCGACAGAACCGGAGGCGTCTCTGCTCTCATCGCCGAATCGCTCCACTGTATTCATGCTGGCATATTCAAACCCACTTTTAAGGCCGCATGAGAGCAGCATGCTGGTTTCTATTGGTATGGGTGTGAGGGTGAACCACAGGTTTAACATTTCGCTCACTCCATACTTCTCTCTTGCATTCGCCCTCTCTGCTCTCTATCTGGGCTTGGGTTTGGCGGTCCCAAACATCAGGGGAGGCGGCGAGTACGGCGTTGGGTGGTACAAAGCGGCGATTAAAGAAAAGAAGCAAGTGTGTAAAACGCACATTATTTCTTCAGAAGTCCCTACATGCCGTTGAGCTACAGCTAGCCCGCAATTTCCCCCATATTTGTTGTGATTATACAGGTTAGCTATGATGACTTTCAGAGTGCAGCGGAGTATTTGTTTAAAAAGGGCTACTCAAGCCCCGATCAGTAAGTAATCAGCTTATGCGCAAGTTTTTCTTACGCATCTGTTACTTCACAATGCTGCCGGTTGTTAGATTCTCATCTGTGATCCGCCAATAGACTTCATGCGGCTGGTTTGCGAATACATTCATGTCCTGTTTTGGCTGTTGAATTTCAGGTTGGCTATTATGGGAGGCTCTAACGGAGGATTGCTTGTAGGAGCCTGCGCTAATCAGCGCCCAGACCTATTTAGAGCGGTAGTCGCCAAGGTTGGCGTCATGGACCTCCTGCGATTTCACAAGTTCACCATTGGTCATGCGTGGTGAGCAGCAGGCTTAAATTATACGCTTCATCTGTGTGTTGATGCGGACTTAATAGTATCACTTCTTAGTGACGTGCGGGCCATTTGTGGTTTTTCAGCTGTATTGGAATTCGAATTCTCATGCTTCGGGGCTAAGAGTTGGCATTCTGTCCCTGACGTATTGCTTAGAGTGTTCCGTAAATTTTGCATTGCTGAATGCAGGGTAAGCGACTACGGAGACCCCGACAAGGAGGAGGACTTTAAGCACATTTACAAGTACGTTCACTTATAAAACAAAGACAGGCGAACAATGAAGCGATGCGGTATAATGTGTCGGGACTGTGCGGCACACATTTTGAATCTCCTTCTTTGCAGTCGCCCGTGTGGAGCACTTCCACTGTGATAGCCCGTGTTGCTTCAATTTCTGAGCTTTCGCCGTTTTCCTGTGCTTTGATAAAATCGAGGCAGGATCTCTCCGCTGCATAACATCAAGCCTGAAGTTGCACAGAGTGACAAGCAGCCTGCCGTGTTGGTTATGACAGCAGATCATGACGACCGCGTTTCCCCGTTTCACAGCTTGAAGTATATAGCAGAGCTTCAAGTACGGCTGGATGTTTGCTGGTTCGAAGTGCGGAACCAGAGACTGTCTTTGTATTGCATCCCCGCATTTGCTTGAGTAGCCAGTGTAGTCTTAGCAGTTCACATGAGCAGCCGCCTGCGTTGCATTTTGCTCATGCGCAGCATGCTGCTGGGTATTCCTCTCCTGTCTCAATTCCTCTGATCGCGCACATTGACACGAAGGCAGGCCATGGTGGAGGGAAGCCTTTAATGAAGGTGGGCTGAAGTGTGCTGCTGGTCTGTAGCCAATTCCGTAGGAAAAAACTACAGTTACTGCTAACTGTTCATCCGTACTGCGCAGGTTCTAGAAGAGCAAGCGGACACTTACGGATTTATAGCATCAGTTCTAGGGCTAAAATGGAGCTGCCCGGAGACTGACAAGGAGGTGTGAGCGTCTGGTCACATCACTTTTTTTCAAAGGAACACAACAGAGGGCAACTACGCCTTGAATAGGGGTCCTCACGACTCGGTCTTTTGCAATATACATGGCGGTTGCAGTATATATGGCGATCAATAGGCAACGTTTCACTTTGTACCAAATTGGCAGTTTTGCTCCAGTTGGCTGATGCATGTCCGCTGCGGTGTGTAGTAGTACGTGAAATCTAATCCAGGGATGCGCCTTACAGAAGGAGTCATATTTCATGGCCCGGTGCAGTTACAAGATGTACGTGTCGTGTCGTGTAGTAAGTGTCATGCCGTGACCTAGTTTTCGCTCTAGACTAAACTGCGCGAGGACTAGCTGAGCAAGCAGTTTTCAGACCATGTTGATTTTGTCTCGATTGAACTAGATCCGGGCCGTCATTAGCCACCTATCAAGTGGGAGCCATCAGTTACCTGTTGTGCGGGAGTCATCAGTTACCTGTTGTGCAGGAGTCATCAGTTATTTACTGTATGGGAGCTACTCAGGGGCGTAGCAAGGATGCATACTCCATTATTGCAAGGCAAGTTGCTCTTGGATCGCCCGTGTCGTCTGCCGAGGCATTCCACCCTCAGCCATACCATTAGTTATCCAGTTTATTAGAAGTATTCGGCTTTTCGGCATTTAGGATGCTACGCAGTAGCAGGCTCCAGTTAAAACACTAGGACTACCATGCCTCTTCTCACTGCTCGGCGCCCTTGGCCATCTTCGACTGCTAGAACTTGAGCACCCGTTATAGAGAGCAGCATATCTTTCAGACTCCATTACGGATTAACGGTTGCTGCACTGGGCTGCGGGTGACCAGACCAGAGCTCCATCACAGTTGCAGCGAGCACGGTGTTAATGGCGACGCGTCGACAGATGAATCTCCTAAACGTGGATAAAACAATGTTATATGAGTGCCTAAAGTTGCAAGTGATTGCCGGTAGCAGCGACTGAGCGGCAATGGAGGCGCGTGAGATGCGTACGTCAGTCCTTGATACATGAGTGCCATAGTATTGAGCGGCTGCAGTGAACAACCCGCGTGCTTTCCAATTATCTCTGAATGGCAAGTCGAGACATTGATTCTACCGAACCACTTAACCGGTCCACCTGCTGTTAATTTACGAAGAGGGCCCGGTAGCAGATCAAAGACGGCAGCGCCAAGCATCTGAATTTGGGTTCGCCTCTACGGAAGGGGTAATTTTTGGAGGCTGGCTAACTGAGCACCAGCATGACCGCTACTTCGAATCGAACATTCCTTTCATAAAAGAAGCCAAGGTCATCTTGCACATATGAAACAACCCCATGGCCACTAGGGATTAGGGTTGGGCGCACTCGCCGAATACTAAACACCTGGCAGTCCTTCGGCCGACACGACCACTATGAACATGGGCTCAGAGTGGCCACGCACAATAACCAATTAAGTGGTGGGTAAGCCAGTCACTACCCTAAAATTGTGAGCTTCGTAGAAGAGATCTTGGCACTTGAAAGCACTGGCAGAACTAGTAGCATTGCCAAACACGAGAATTCGCAGGTACTACTAGGAACGGCATCCCCAGAGGCGCCTGGTACAGGCACGGCAAACATAACAAAAAATTTGGACCCTCCCAATCTTGGGACTTCGCAAGATCAACTGCAAGTTTAGTCTCGTCTTGAGTCTCCCCGTGAGCTTGAAAATGCGACTGCAAACGTTCGACTGGTTCTCAAGTGTATTTTGTATTTATCAAACGCTGCTGCATCGAGACAATTCACTGACCGTGACTTATGCGGGCTACTGCTTCACAGACCATATTTATTAGCCTCTCTTGCGCCTTCATTGTAAACATTCATGCATTCATGGGAGAACCACTGAATTAAAGCCTTCGAAGCGCTCGCCAAGTCCGTTGGCGGCGCCCCAGTCAGCATATTGTGCATTATAAGTTCACACAAATCAAAAGCTGCTGGCAGTCAGTGCATTGTATGAGTTCATACAATCGAAGATATGCTGGCTCAGTGTGCGCGTCTGCACATTCTGTTAATGGCGAAACTTTATCTTGTATGAGACTTTGCTGAGGACGCGCTCCACTCATGCGTTGCCACTTCACGCTCATATGTTTTGGAGTTCTTGTCAGAAGCTAGGCGATTGTTAGCTTAGTGTGCTACTAGCTTTTCGTGTTACTGCCTCAAGCATCACACGACAGTTATCGCTTAGTGTGCTGACAGTTTAGCCCTGTCTCCAAGAACCCGCGTAGACTCACTCAGCGGCTGCTGAACGCTGCCGTTGTCCACTCGCCTCTCTTCAAAGCACCATTTTTTACTACTGCTTATCAACTGCAGCCGCACTGGAAGTATCTGCAGGGATCTTTTCTTCTCGCGGCAAGTATTTATTAATAAAGTCTACAATCTGAGTCGCCATGTACGAATCGTACGCGGGTCCCTACAGTTACAGAAAAAAGCGCAAGCGCAAACATTGCGGTAGCATTACCGTGGAAACCTATGTTGGGATGCATCGTCCACACCAAGGAGTCAGTACAGCTTAGAGGACACAATTTTACTGACTGGTTGTTTTGGTGACACTGTGATGAGACATGGCCACGCACCTCCATTTCGAAGTGTCCGACGTTCGGAAGTACTCGCATTTCCTTCGGATCTTCTGCACTGGAGATGGCATGGAAAGCAATCACACGGGGTTGTGCAGTGACATAATTCAACCACGTTCTCACCTCTATGGCAGTTCCGATTCAGTAGGACTAGTCCCAATCCAGTCAATTAATCGTAAGATTTCCCGCTGCAAGCTGCCCTGGTGCCCACGTCACTTGTACAGCACCTGTGAGCCCTCCACAGGAAACCATGGATGCTAATCAGCTAATAATTGGCAGAAGATAGAGCACTAGCATACCTTTTGAAGTAATTCATAAACGTTGACGTGGATGTGAATCCGTCTCCGTCCCCATGAATAAACAACTTCGGCTTTTGAGACTGAAGAATTTTTTTGTAGTGGCCGCTGCAGAGTTAAACGAATGGGCCATCGGATGTCCAGACAACGCGTTTGTCCCAATGTTCTCAACTGCTTTGGTTTTTCATTCTTTCGTGGTCGTAACAAGCAGTAAGTAGACTAAAAAGTGCTGGATTAGCCTACCCAAACAGAAGTGAGGCAAGGCTTCCAAAGACATAGCCTATTCCAACGTATCCTCGGATTTCCGGGAGCTGGTCAACAGCACTGCCTGTAGCAACAGCCAAAACCAAACACCCTCACTCTCATAAGCAACCCATTCTGACATACGCACTCACAAATCCAGAGCACTGGAAAAGCACAATCCTACCGATAATCAGTTCTTACCACCTATAGGAGCCCCAGCAGATGATCCCACAATGACAATGTTTTGTGCTTGGAGATTCTTCACACACCATGAGCATACATCTACAACATCTTGAGTCTCTTTGTGGCCCGTCAAAGTTTTCCTGCAGCATTCACCGTGCGACGCGTCTCACAGGCCACTGCTGACTTTGCAGAGACGAATGCTGAGCCACCTGCGCTAGCAGCTAAGCCACTCGTCTCCACTCTGCCGCAAGCTAGTGGCTGAAAAGCCTTTCTGTCTCCAATGAATATGGTGCTGGTGTTGCTAACGGTTGCGACCACAGTGAAGAGCGGATTAGAACAGCAACGAAGGACAACACAGGAAATCAAATTGGTGTGCAGGACCATCCCGAAGAATTGTTGACGCCTCGGAGGTCAAAGGTTACCGCCGGGAAACCCCTCTGCGTCACAAGGCTCGCCATACCGCTCATTAAGGAGCTGCACAGCACAGCAGCCCACGGGTAGAGTACACAGAAAGCAGCACCAGAGATTCTATATTGCCGTGGGGGATTGTGTTACAAAAAGGTTTAGGGATAGCTAGTCAAGAAAGTTTAGTTCAAGTAAGCTGAAACATGAAATGAAGAAAAGAATGCAGACGCCCTCAAATCTGCTTCCTGGATGGCTGCTGCAGTGGGGTTTGCAGAGTAATCATTGAAACAAGTGACCAGATGCACTCGCTGTCCAGTCCTTCACGGCCACTGGTATTTGCTGATGAGTGCGTTACCAATGAAGGGGTATGCAAGCTCACCTTGAGCCGCCCATAATTGAGTACTGATGGACAAATACAACCACTGGGTTGGCGCTAACAAGGCCGTGCGGGTTTCCATGGTGCTGTTCAGCCCTTTCCACATTTATTGAGCCAGAATGCAAGGAGACGCAACCTTCGTTTGATTCTGTGGGCATCTGCGTGGAGCCCAAGTGTCGTGCCGAATTCCTAAGAGCTGCAGGCCACCACAAGTCCCCATGTAGCTTCCCTCCATCCAGGCGGGTTATTATTATTCGGTGTCGCAAGGAGCGGCGTGGAAGAAGTCCTTCAGTTCTTGCTGAGCCGCAAGCATCCCAGCCAAAAATGCGAGGTTGGAATTCGTTAGTTTACAGCAACAATACCGTGGCATACAAGCCGCTGAAGAACTCGGGGGAGTTTTCGCACTGTCGTCAGATGCTTACTGCCAAGTAAGAAGCATATCACAATGTGCCCTCGATGCACTGCTACACAGGTGCTGTCAACGCGTACAAAGCCGCCATTTCCATTTCTGCTTGCGTGCAACCAGCAAGCAACGCAGCGCAGAAGGTACCTACTTGCCAGCATGCGTTGACCGGAACTCACCCATTTTCAGCCATGGTAAATGAACGATAACGAGTTTCAAACTGTACACAGATGAAGACGTTCTCTTTAGGGTGCTGCAGCATTTAACTACTGCTTAACGGAGTCCGGCGGTTCCGTCCCCGCGGTGGGTAAGACGGTGATACGCTAAAGCGCCAAGACTGATAAAAGGCATTGCGAAAAAATTGAACTATCAACAGTAATTTCTCATGCGCCATTCGGCGGTATGAAGCTCGAAAGCCCATCTCAATGCACATGCGGCGCTGCCGACTGGCAGCTCTACGCTCCTCCACGCGCACAGCGTCTCTCAGCGTAAGACGCAGAACCGTTATCTCCACACTTTTTCTAGTGCATACAGTTTGATCGCTTCTAGATTTATGGACTGGACAATCCGCTTCTAGCCAGCCAGAGCTACTCTAGTGTCCCCACTGTTCCCAAGCTCCTTGTGACATATGCCATTGTCAACAGCTGCAACTACATTGCAGCGCCAGAACTTCACGCGCAAACCGGCTGGTATGAAGCCTTCACTTATGTAATCGCGCCGACCTCGACAGATCACTGGCATCGGCACCGTTACAGTGGCCCTGGCGGATAGGTCGTCGGAATGAAGAAGGCCGATAGCAACAACACCACAGCATGGCGCTTTGATACGCAGCCGCATATAGTGGGCCGAGATACGATAACACAGTGAAAAGTTTGTGGACCGTGGCGAAGGTCGACGCCCTACGTCTTCTGCGATGTCAGGTCACTACATTGTTTACTCTTAGCTAGCTCCCTGTGTTAATGTGACTTTGATAAAATCACTAGAGCGGCAAACGCATATCGGGGTGCCGTCCCTACAGTCCCCCATTCGGATTCAAGGAAGCGACACAACCACATACTGTGGTCACGCGTACTCCGGCGGTTCCTGGCAGTTGGGGAGGATCATCTGCCCTTAAAAATGTACATGGTAGGGAAGACGCTAGATGCGCTCCAGCGCTACTAATTTGGGGTAAGGGGAAGAATGATGTAGGAAATGATTAGGCGATGTGTATGGGCTTGTCGAAACAAGCCATGCAAGCTTCCTTCAAAGCTTCACTCTGCGTCGGATGGGCGTGGCAAACACGACCAAGGTCCTCACTGGACGCGCCATACTCCATAGCCAGCACAGCCTCGGCAATTAGTTCGCCTGAAGCAGAGTCCACCAACCACATTTTTATATTCGTCGTGCGCAGAGCTATTGGGGCTTTTTGGCCTTGTAGCAGACAGGCGATCGTTAACGTCCCGCTAACTTAACCAGCTGTTCCTGTGTCTAAGAGTCAATTTTGCGCATGGGTCGCTGCTCTACACGACTGCGATCCCGCTTCCAGGTCGTCGGTAACTGCAGAGGAAAGGGCTCACGTACCTGCATTGGGACCGAGGATCCACACGCCTAAGATCTTATCGGTTTCCTTGCACGTCAGTACCTTCACCAAACCTACGAAATGCATGCTCACAAACAATTCTTACGTGCCTGAAGGCGAGTTTAAACAGGCCAGCCACACACGCGTGTACAAGAAAAAAATAAGGCACTCACAAGCATCTGAACTGCCATCCAAGCACACAGATGTTCATAGCATATATTGCATGTGCAAAAGGCATCAGCCCGTAAGAACGCAACGATCTTGCACTCAATTCGAGCTGCGAACTACTTCCGATCCCCACAGATCCTTCTCCCCATCTGCATACAATGGCGCTAGAATACATTCATTCAGCAGCAGCAGCAGCAGTGGGTTGAAAAGGCCTACCATCAGAGTCGCCTGTTGCGCGCGCCCTACTGTTAGCAGCAAAAGGGAAGGCTCCACGCTTGTACACCACGCCCTCAGCTTTCAGCTGCGAGTCCTCACACACACCTAAGCAATCACGTGGATTGATTCCTCTAAACGAGTTTAAAGTGTGTTCTGGGCGGACTGCAACAAACAGTATTTCCGCCAGGCGACTAGAGCTGTACCTGCTCTTCAGTCTTCCCTACTCCTGCTAGTTCCGGATGAGTGTAAATGACCGACGGGATAGTGTCATGGCGGACAGTACCATCACCTTTCCCGGCCAGTCGCTCCACGCATGCAATACCTTCTTCCTCCGCCTTGTGGGCCAGCATGGGCTGCTCGACATCACACAACCGGACCACGGGCAGCCAAAAAAGATGTGGACGGCAGCTTTCGCTAAACATGCGCAGCTACATTACTAAGCATCGGGCTGAGCTTGAAAAGAAGGCGGCGTGAGCAGCGTTCGCTTGTACACGTGAAACACTTGAATGCTAGCTTTCCGTACTCCTTGAATGAGGTCGCCTATTGCCATGATGTTTGGGTAGTTAGGCACTTGCATCTGCTCGTTTACCACAACACGCCCCCTCTGCACAGTTACACATCGTCACACCTCTCACACCAGCTGTTACGCTCAAAATCTGACGCAAATGCTGCGATGTTTCCATGCCTCGTAGTTCTCTAAGCAGGCAAAAGCGGCGCATAAAGAAACAGATAAAACATATCGCTTTCTCAAAGTATGGGACTGGCAGTGCGGTAGTCACGTTGTCGAGATTGATGCCCAGCTCCTCCAGGCCCAAGTTCTTTGTGTACGGTCTGCGTCCCACTGCCACGAGGACTACATCACATTGTACCTAAGTCAAACAAACTAGCAGAAAGATTGGAAACCAATGGCCTCTAGCCTTTAACAGCAAGCATAACACCAAATGGGTCTCGAAGCCTCAACGGATACGAAGAGAACGCCAAGAATTCCGGCACCTTTCAAATTACGCGCAAACGCGAAATGCGTGGATGCGTTCTGCTTACTGCCTCAACGCAATACATGTACAAAACTTACACGAACACTAGGCACAGAAGCAAATGGAAAGTGAAGACGCCACAAAAGCCCACCTCCGACGCATCTCCGCTTTTGACATTCTCTGCAATGCCCAGAAAACAAAGCAAAAAACTTCAACAGCCTTTTCCGTCAGTCACTACAAACAGGGCGAAACAAAGCTCGGTGAACGCAGTAGAAGCTAACACACTTTGCAGGAAAGCAGCATATACCGAACACACAACCATGGAGAAAAACACTTCTCCATTTGGCTTCCCTTGTACTTTAGCATGCACATCACCACAAAAATAATGTCATACAGGAGCTATACTGGAAGATCCTCAAACACATATTCCCATAGTCAAGCCTTACCAAGCGACAGCGTCACTCCGCCATCCGTTTTCTGCGATCCAACAACTTTCGTGCCGAACATGAACTTGATGCCCTGCCTTTCAAGTAGCTTTTGGAAAGCTCTCCCGATCTCCGCGTCCTACATACAGCCTAGTATTGAGCCTCAACTAGATCGTACTGTGCAAGTGACACAAACTAGTTCGGAGAGACAGAGGAAAGCGAGACTGAGGTGCAGGGAATGCCATTACGTGACGCCCTGCGGAGCTCCGCAGCCACGTGTAGCTTGAGAGGCTTTATATTTCAGTAGCAGCAACTACACCGAAGAGAGCGGCTGGGAAGAGGTGAAAAAAAAGGGTAAACGATGATTACCAGGGCGGGTATGATCTTGTCACAAAACTCAACGACGGTCACTTCAGCTCCTAAATTTCGCCAGACGCTGCCAAGTTCAAGGCCAATTACGCCTCCTCCAACAACAACTAGATGCTTCGGCACTCTAGGCAGAGCCAAGGCCCCTGTGGAGCTGACAATCGTCTCCTCATCAACCTAAGCATCAGCATAAGAATGCACACAGGGCACGACACCATTGACTTTCCTGGCTACGGCGCTTACTAGCCAAATGCCAGTCACACGTAGAGAAGAAAGTAAGCTCTCGTTTAATGTCGATGAATCTGTGGAACTGCGATACGGATGAGGCGACTTAGCAAACGCGAACTGAGGAACACCGAAAGCCACTAACTCGGCGCAGTGAACAAACCTCTAGAGCACCCCCAACGAGAGGCGCCGGTTCAGAGCCAGTTGCAAGGATGACATTTTTTGCCGTCAATATCTGGGGGTCTCCAGCGTCAATTGGATGAACCTGTACGGCGTGAGGACCGGCAAGCCTCCCCGTGCCCTGAGGTAGCCAGCAAACAAACATCCACATGTTTGTAACTGCTATGTCTTCAGCTGTCTCCACAGCACGCTGCAGCGCCATGTAGTAAACTCACACAAACAGAAACATACGCTTCCAATAAGTTCCCACATCTCAGCTAACGGCGTTAATTACTTTGAGATAGGCGACTTTGTTTCGCTTGAAAAGGCCTTCAATGCCCTGCGTGAGGCCCAAGACGATCTTATCCTTGTAGTTCTGCATCGACGATATGTCCACAGAAACATCTGAGACTCGTATACCGAATCTACTGAAATCGGACGAGGCTTCCTAAGACGAAGAGAACAAAAGGCCACCACAATACTCAACGCTTGGGACAGCGTACCCACAGTTAAACTCCAAACCTGCAGTTTCCTAGAAGCATCTAAAATATGAGTCTACACACTAGAAAATAACTTCTTATGACGGGGAAACAATCGCACCTTATACTTGTGGCTCATGTTCAGCAATGCCTTCGAAGGGATACATCCAACATTCAAGCACGTGCCTCCTAGAGCTCCCCTCTTTTCCACACAGGCCGTCTTCAGACCTAGCTGTGCAGCCTTGATCGCCGCCACATATCCCCCTGGTCCGCCACCGATAACAACTAGGTCATATTCACCTTGACTAGAGAATGACCTCTGGTGGGTTCTCCGAAACAGAGCAGACAAATGTACAGTAGGTACCGTCAAAGGCCTTACGGCCAAACGGTGCAACTGCATCTCTACAGCCTTGCACTTTAGCCGCAAGTGCGGACCTAAACGGGCACAAAACACACGGACCTTTGCTGATGAGCGTTCCCAATACGATGGACTGGGGTGCGTAAATGGCTCAGCTCGCACACTTCAAAGCTGGAGTTGGCCCCTACGTCTCCGCCGTGTGTCATCTGCTTATCTGATAAAGGCTCATGCGACCTATGTTTTCATTCGAAACAATGGTCACTCGTAGGTCGCTAGGGTTAGCTCCAGGAGAGCACGGCTGCACTGTGTCAAGCGTGGGTGTTTGGCCACCGTTGGGCTATGGTGAGCCTCAAGCGGATAGTGTGATGCGCAAAAAGCTTAACATTAGCTTACACAAAGAGTAGAGTCTTACGTTTACGTCAGTTGAAGCGGAGACGCAGAAGTGATGGCACTTTACCTTCTGCAAGGATGAGGGGGACGCAGACGGGAGAGGCGGGAACTAAAAAAGAAGGACCAAGAGCTAATCGCGCGTCCTCCTGCTGATAATACTTGCTCGTTGAGAATGACGCACTGTGGCTGTTCGGAAAAAATTGCAGCAGCATAAGCTCGTTGCCAGCCCCATGTCCCTCACTGCACGCAGTCTTATGCTCGGCTGTCCCAATTCAGACATGATCCCTGGAATAGTACGTGACCTCGCGTAATTACCAATATAGAATAAGTTAGTTCTACTCCCATTCCTTCAAAAGCGCCAGCAGGTTGGCAATTTCTTGCAACGGCCGGCGAGTGGCGGGGCGGGGCCCCCAACTTGCGAAGCGTCGAGAAGATCAAGGTTTTGAATTTAGCTCATAGTCTCTGAAATGTTTCTTTCCAGCGCCTACCTCTGTCGCTCCGCTATTTCCAGGGGGCTCTACAGTGGCCTTTTCTCTCCAGCCTCTTGCGCGACCACCGGAACTTCACTGGCTCTACCCCAACAACAAAAACGCTTTCTTGGAAATGAAGTTCGGGGTCCAGACTTCGACCCTCTCAATGTCAATACTTGGAAGGTCGGTACAAAACTCGAGATGATTCCGTCATAATTTTTCATTCGGTTCTCCCCACCGACCGCTGTAACCCTGAGCACTTCAAGCAAGGTAGATATGTGAAACAGAATAGGCAGCCGCAACTCCCGTTTAGACTGCCTGGTCTTTCGGTTTTTGCCTCCGATTTTGGCTGCTTACGGTGGCCTGAGCAAGAGACTCTGAAAGGCGGCTGTACATCACTCTGAGATTTGCTTAGATCATCTGCTGTCCTTTTTCGCAGCTGAAGCCCCACATGGCTGTCGTATCATCGGGAATCTACGGCCGAGCACAGAGCTACGGGGAGTTTAAGCAGTTTTGTGAAAGTCTGCGGTTGCTTATGTTTGTGTTTGGCTCCGCCGTATTGGCAGCCGACATGCTCCTGATCCATCCCACCCGTTCCGTTTACTGGCGCTCCCTCTCGCCGCTGAGGTGGCCTGGCCTTCTCGTGTGTTCATTCTTCGGCTGCAAAGACACGAAAGGTGTCTTTGACTATGAACAGGAGGGGTGCACCACCAGCCCAGACGGCACAATTCGAACTGCAGCGTACGCTGCATTCGAGAGGATGATGAGGTAGCCGCAGCGTGTCTCCCTGGAATTGTAAGCGCTTCGCAGCACTGGATGTACGATCGCAAAGTATAGCTGCAACGGTCTCCTTTGGGTGAAAAGTACTACATACAGATTGGTCTCCCCGCGTCCAGGAGCTGCGGAGAGAGGAGTGCCTGAGGCGGGCCTCGGCGTCGTTTGACATTGCTTTTGTAAGACGGCTACGTCTATTTCCTCCATATAGACTTGCCGAGTCAAAGGGTTATGGTAGACAGCGGAGTGACGACACAACGTGGGGAGGTTGCTGGACACCACTTAATCCAGTTGTTTGAAGCTCTACATAACTTAGCTGAGCCAGTGACTGCAAACTGCAAATTTGGTACACTAAAGGGTCGATGAAAGCCGTATACAATTGTGCTGCGAGAGACCCAAAGCAACGAAGGAACTGTACTGAAGAACGGTACTAAAATTTACTGCAATTAACCAGTTTCATCTGTTTCCCACCGAGCCCTAGACCCAAATGCACTGCAAACTCGCCCTACGGTATGCCCTTCTAAATCTGCGGAGGCCTAAGCTAATCCTCGGTTTCCTTTCAAATGGGAAAGGCCTGGAAGCTCTTTCATTCCATAGATCACTCAGGGATGATGCGTTGTTCAGTGTAAGGCCCACAAGGTTGTGGACTCTAAGGAATGTAAAGAGACCCCCTTCATCCTTGTCTATCTGTATCAGCTAGCTGACGCATTCAGAGGGTGACGAGCCATGTTGCCTTTTGTTGGGAGACAAGCTAGCATCCAGAGCAGCGTCTGCGGCTGCGGAGGCGCAATGTCTGTAGCCCTCATCAATAAACATCCGGAAAACTGCACGCACGAACCCCAGTGCAGGCTTCTAACGGTTACAGCTCCAGATTAACTGTGGAACACTTCAACGTGGAACAGAAGAGCATGGACGCTCCTACTATACAGGGCAAAATCTCGTCTTACCGCCTGTCGAAAGTGTTGTCACGACAGGGACTGTTGTTGCGCCCCGTGGCTGCACCCAACAGAAGAGCTGACGCGGCATCGCGCAAAGACCTAAGGCGCTGCTGCGCACCGCTGAGCTCCTGCACAAGGTAGCGCGCTTCTTCTGTCTTTGCAGCAAGACTCTGCTGCAACGTCTGCAAAAAATAACTGTCAGGAAGGCAATAATGCTTTATACCAGCGCCACTAGTACAACTGCGCACTGGGAATCAAAACAATTGAAAGGAAAACTATGCGGGCTGTTCGCAGTAAACAAACAAACATCCGCATACATATGCACTCATCAGCCTATGTACATGGGTTCGATGTACTGCAATACTGATTCTACAAGAAACCTCAAGCTCAAAAGAACAATGCAGGGCAATGTTTGTGTTTATTTTCGTCCCAATGCTACTAATTCCTTTTAGCCCACCTGCAACTTTTCGTGTTGGGCCTTGACCGCTCTGGCGAGAAGCAGTTTGTCGTTCTGCAGCAACTCCACTCTCTTCGCAAGCTCTTGCCCTACAGCGTGCGCCCCACACAAAGGCAAATAACGATACCATAAAGCATGTGTAAACTGAACTAATCGCAAGACTATAAAACGACCCACTGAGCCCGATCACCTACTTTCCGCTTCTTTGGCGAGTTCGGCTTGAGACGGCTCGTCCCGTTGAGCATGCGCCAGCTGCTGCGCGTGCTCCTTCAGCAGCGCTGCTGCCTTAGCCTTCGCGTCATCCCCACTGGCTGCTGTCACTATGGCCCACAGAAGCCTTTCGGCCACTTCATCGCACCATGACTCGGGCAGTAGCTCTCTACCCAAAACTACAGGTGCGCGGTGCACCCCTCCCCCGGTTCCCTTGCTTGATGACGAGTCAGATCCTGTTGCTGACGGAGCTGCCCCGGTAACACTAGTAGTCGAAGGTGCTACCCCAGCTGGGTGTGGCTGCGAATGCAGAGCCTGCTGCTGATCCGACACTGCAAATGCGCCACTGGGGGTACCCTCAGCAATGTCCATACCACCAGAGCCTCTGCGGCTGCTTCCAGTGTTTAATGGCCCCTCAAGGACGTCAAAGCAGTCTGAAAGCAGTGGAACCGAAGAAAATTTGTGTATATATGATTTTCGAGAACTACTTGGGCATACCCATAGCGATACACCCATGTGCATCCAAGTGTTATGTAAGCATGAATGCAAAAGTGGCCCATGCACATCGAGCAAACCACATAATTCATTAAGTTATTTCATTCCACATATCGAATCCAAATAGCTAAGACTCACCATCTGGCCATCGTTTCCGCTTGGCCATGGGGCCTCCACTTTTGGGATTGTAGAGGCCCGTGTTTGTGTCGCTTACTACCCGCACAAGGGCGTGGGCTCTCTGCAGATCGTTATCTGCTGTCTCCAGCAGCGATACAATCAGCTGAAACAAACGAGACACGCAGCGTAAAGGCCTCGCAAACTGATGGACTGCTGAACTCTATCTACTGCACGGCGCAGCACCATACACAGGAAAAAAGTCACATGCTCACGCTGAAACGTGGGACATGCTCAGAAGAGCAGCGCACATTCCTGAAGTGCACTCCATTAAAAAAACAATCGGCGAGAAGAACGCTAATTCAGGAAAAACACAGCAAAAACTAACCCCTTGGTGTACAGAGGGGAAGGCCTTGCAGAGGTCCGCCAGGTTGGCTGCGAATGTTGGAGGCCTCCTGGGTCCTTCAAAACACACTATTTTGCTTCCGCTGTTGCTTCCATTGTGACAAGGGCAGCTACAGGTGAGACAACAATCATCTCCAGCCGCTCTTGGCTGACCTGCTGCAGCAGGTGCCTCTGCTGCTTCGGCCGGGGCCGCTGCAGCGGGAGAAGCCTTATTCTCAGGCTCCCTCAAGGGAGAATGCGAGCCACCTAGTTCCCCTGTTAGGAGCCCCGATGGTGTCTTGTCGGCCGTACAGCGCGACGGTCCCTCTGTCGTCTGAGGTGACTTGCACAGGCTGCAGCACGAAGGGCCTGTGCGTGTTCGCTTTGTGTCTACATGCAGTTGTTCCTTTAAATCAAAAGAGAGCTGACGCATTTGATGCCCCATGGATCTGTCAGGAGATACAGGACGGAAGGAGTCGCCGGCAGTGGATAGTGAAGGGACGCATGACGCTTGAGGGCGCTCGCCAACGGGATTGGCCGCAACGCTTGAGCACCCTGGGCTGCGTTCCGTGTAGCATACAGCCATTTCCGGGGCCTTCCCACCTGTCACGCGCTGCTGGCTTCGAGGAGATAGTTCGCACACCGTTATACGAGGGCGAGGAGAGTGTTCCTCCTGTTGGCTGGGGCTACACAGAAAAGGCTGTGTTTCTGGCACGTTCTCGGAACTATTGCCTGGCTCTTCTAAAGAAAATACTGCAAACTTTGGTCGGGCTTCAAAGGGAGGACCCTGAAGCATTGTGTTCGCGTCAGCCTTGCAGAAACTCTGACGGCGTTGTCCCAGTGCGCAGACAACCCCGGGCCCGCCGCTTGCAAAGCCTGCAGATATGAAGAGACAGCTGCGGCAACTTACACTGTTCGAGAGACCCCTCGTAAATGCATGAAACCCAGCCAGACAGCGTCGTCGTCCCCCTGTGGGCTACCAATAAGGCTATCTGCCATATCCGCCGAAGCCCCCGTGGGTGTGCCTGGGGAAGACCCAAGGCTGCAAGGCATGCTAAACAAGTGTAATGACAGCCTTTGAGACCAATAAGCAAAAGCAAGAGCCGCAGTAATCAAAAAGAGGGGAGGCAGTGCGGCTCCCGTCGCATGCAAAAGAAGGCGAATGGCAGCAGCGCCAAAACGAGACAAAACGCAAAATGAAGGGAAAAAACAAACTATCACGGCAATTGATGACACGCTCAGCATCGATGAAAAGGAAATAAAGAATGAATTTTGTAACGTGAGCTGCTGCTCAGACCCTGCTCGGTGCTTGCAGGTGCCCTCAGAGCGGTGCCTTTCTGGGGCCTACTGGGCCCCGGGCCTCATGCTGCGATGAGACGAAGAAAAAGATACCTTCTCCTATCCGTCTATTTGCTTCAGTAGTTAGCGAACTCCTCAAAAGAAAAGCAGCTGAATAAGTACACAAAACAGTCTTTCTAACACTCATGCATGTGACGGCGTCGAATGAGCCCATGCAGTCAGCCGTAGTGGCCCAAATTACTGAGGCCCAATTTTCAAGGGCCGTGTCCATGATACATGCAGCTGAAGACAATCAATGACTTTTTAGTAGGCAGAAGCCAGCCTGCTTTCAGTTCTTGGACGCCAATTGCTACTTAACGCGCTGTGAAACCAATACGAGACTGAAACGTCTCTTGAAGCCACTTCTTCTCAGGTGTATGGATGTTTGGGTTTACATATCTTCTTTGCGCATAAAAATGCCAAATATCATGGGCTTATGGGACGGTTGGTCCTTGGATATCTGCCATTCACTGGAGGATATTTAGCACGGGGAGTTTGAGTGGTCTACTCGCGGCCCAGCCGTAAGTACTTTACATATATTTGCGTTCCTGCTTTTGTATGTACCTACTATACGAGCACATGCGTCTATGGGGGCATCGGCGTATTTCCCCAGACGCACCGTCACTTCAGACCCGCGTGACACAGCCAGTAACCTGCTGAGCAGGTTTACCTCTTATCTTTCCAGAAACTTATGTCGGCGTCTCTTCTCCATGGGTCATCTTCCGCCTTCCTAGTACAACAGCTGTGAATTCTGCAGGCATGACGGCTGCGGTGGACTCCTTGTGCAGCCCCTGCCCCGCCCAGCAGCTTGGGCCGTCTCTCCTTACCGCGCTTTCTCTCAGCTCATCTTGCTCAGTGCTTGAAAATGGCAGTCCGTGCGGTCCAGTACACCATAAAGGTGGAAGTGATCGAAGTCCGGGGCCTCTCTTTCAAGGAATCTGCTGGGGAGAAGGAAATAGTGCCTAACCCCTATGTCGACGTGACAGTGGGTGGCACCACAAAGAGCACTGTGCAGAAAAATCAAGTCGTATCGGCCACGTTCAATGCGTCGTTTAATTTTCAAGCCACACTCACTCCTGAAGAGTTCCAGCGGAGCTATGTGGAGCTGGCGGTCATGCATCGCTACACACTGTTGGGGGGGGTGGGTCTGCAGAGCGCTTTGATCGGTAAGTACGTCTTTAGCTTTGCATGTGTTTACTCAAAAAGCCAACATTGGATGTACCGACAATGGATCAAACTCAACAACTTCGAGCAACTCGTCTCAGACCCCGTAAGCGCCCCATTTTCTAGTACAGTTTACTTCCCCAGATTTTACGACTTCTTGGCGATTTCTCATGAGCTTCCCATGGTTTACAGCTGAGAGGCATTGTGTTCGCAGTGTGAACGTCAGTGTGTTCAAAGTTTGTGCTCTCTGGGAAACTGCGGCTGTTGTTATGCGCACCTCGTTTGGAATGAAGCACTTGATGAAAAACAAAAATGCTTTTTTGTTCTAGAATGCTCGCGTACCGTACTCTATACGCTTTTGGTTTTGACCATTTACTGAGTGACGAGTTATTTGGTCGTGGAGTCTTTATCGTGATTCCAACATGGCATTTGTACTTGAAAGAATGCATATCATCTTACGCGTTTTGCTGTTGGCGGTGTTACTGTCAGGGCATGATGTTGCTGACTGTAGGGGTGTTCGGGCCTGGTGACCCCTTGCCTGTAATAGACGAGACTGTGGCATACGTGAACGAAGACGGGGACCGCGTGACGAAAGAGGTCGACGTAAAATCGACATACTACAACCTCACAGTTAATATATTCAAAGGCCAAGACATCAGTGAAGTTGTTGGGCAGATCACAACCACATGCGAGCCGTTCATTAAGGTAGGGCAGCAGATGAATCCCTCAGTGATCGTTGACAGTCTTTGGGGTTGATTGCGATGATTGGCGAGTCATTTTCTCTGCAGTTCTAGTGGTCCTGTTTTTGTTGAGTGTGGGGTTTACCATTTTTCAATTCATCTTTTGAGGGTTTTAGGACTCTCGGCTCCTAATCACAGGCGGCAAATGTTGATCCCGAAACACTAAGGCCTTTAATCATTTGTTTTTTATATGCATGTAGGTGAGACACGGGGGAGCAGAACTGCAAACGCGATCTTTGCCGGAACATAGTCCGGAGTGGCAAGCTTCCATCAGCCTCCCTGCCTCAGTGCCTTGCCACGATGACACCGTGCTGGTTGAGCTGTGGAACGGCGGTAGTAGTGCTGTGTTGATGGCAACCATGGTATTAGACTTTTTCGAATTGATTAAGAACGAAACGCCGACTAGATGGTTTAATTTTTACTGGAGACCGCCGACGGAAGGTAATGGAATGAAATGCCACACAACTGGCCCGCCTTCACATTCACTTCCCTTACTTTCCCATGGCTTTCGATTACCTCTCAGATTTCTGTTCGCAGCATCAATGCACTTGTAGACTACTTCACTTTTTTCACACAAAAATCCAGCTCAGTCTTAGGCATAGGAAGTCTAGGCACGGTGGTATAGCGAATCAAAGTAAGCTGTGAGAAAACGTTTCCAAGTTTGGTATGTAGCGCCTCCGAGACTCCACAAATTCCCTGGTGTGTCCACGTCTGTAATCAGGCCTGCTGGGAGCTGTGCATGACATGCTGACTAACGCGGAGTTGCGCCAAGCGAACGCATACGCAGGCCGCATTCTGTTAAACGCCTCCTGCGTTAAAGTTCAGGCGCCGCTACCTATGGGGGTGCGGCCGATCCGCGCTGTGCACGAGCCCCCCCAAGTTGAGTATGTGCTTTGGGTGGACGTCTACGAGGTTTCGTGCAATGCGCTTTTAAGCAACGAACTACAGGTGGAGGTATCGTTCGGCCCTCATGTGCTCAAATCGCCACCTGTGATGATAGAGGAGGCTGGATCCTACACCCTTGAAGCAGAACAAGGCCGTATGGAAGAGCTTAAGGTTTACTTGCCAGGTGCGGTTAAAATCGCAGTGCAAGTGACCACCTCAGAGGGCACTCTGATGCCATGCAGCTTTTTAGGAAGTCATGCACGCGCTTCAGTACACTCTGGACAACGTTTCATGCGTGCATATATATTCTGCATTTGTATGTGTATACATATTGTATGCAGCTGACGACGCCCAGACTTGGGCATTTTTTTTGTACATCAGCAGCATATCGTCCGCCAGTGCTGCTGCTAACGTGGCGGCAAATGTGATGAACTGGTTTGGAGGCCTTGCGGGGGTTGCAGAGACGGACCAAAATGCAGAACCGGCGGTCAGGACGAGTCGCCTTGCCTGGGCCATGATTCCTTTTAACACCAAAGCTCTCCAAGACGGCAAACCCATGTGGTATTCTCTGCGCGCTGCAGACGGCTCAGGCACCGACCCATTTTCAGTACTTGTTTCCATCACATGCAGGCCAGCCAGAACCATGGGAGAACGGCCAGCAAGACTGCAATACAACTTGCAGCGGTAAGATCCGTATAAAGGGCAATAGAAGGCATTGGGCATTCACCGGGCATGCACCTCTTACGGTCTACACCGGTTGCAGCTAGAGGCTACCATACTGGCAAGGTGGCCTGGACACTTGGCAGTTTACCTTGTAGGCATTGAGTCATTCCCATTGTCCCACTGCACGGCTCAGATACTACTTCCGAGCCCTCATCTACGAAGGACTGCATCTTCCCGCTGTGGGATACGACCAGTTCCCCAATCCGTACATAAAGGTGAGACAAATGCGGCGGCCTGGAGACAACGCGCTGATAGTCTGTTGTTCTGCAAATTTGAATAAAATCATTTTCAGCTTTACCTGTAGCAGGAGAATCGCCAAGGAAGTGTGCTTCCGTGGGTATGCAGATAGTGCTTGGCAGTCAGCAGCTGAAGACCCTTACATTTCGACAAACGCTGAACCCGTCGTACTATGAGGCCATGGAGATGGAAGTCATTTTGCCTGAGATGATGCAGTTGGCTCCAGACATAGTGGTGAGACCTTTATTGTATCCTGTGGAACGGCTGTCACTGATGAATCGCGCCGCATTATGTGGCCTTACTCCAAAATTATCCACCAGCAAGGCTGCATTGTCAGAATCAGAACCGCCCAGCAAGTACTTTTTAAGCTTAATAATATGTTAAAAGAAGTTCATGCTATGTAGTCTTTGCTCTTACTTTTCGAGGACACACCGAATGTGACGCATATTGGCTAGGGGAATGATTTACCTAAAATTACATGTACTCAAGTTTATATACCCGTGAACGGCTTGCTCTCTTTCTTGGATATCAGTCTCCACTGATATCCAAAAATCGAAAAGCAAGCCGTTCATGGGTATGGCAACTTGAGCAGCAGATGCGTATATCTAACCAGCCTAACTCCTTTTGCGCATGTTGCGACATGCAAGCCGCGAGACCGGCCAGGAATTGCAGCTGGGACGTTCAACTTATATTCGTAGGAGCGCATGCTTCTTTCGAAATAAACAGACGTTTTCTTACGTTGGTATGTAGCATTCCAAACTGGGGTCTTTGGTGTTTGTGATTTCTCTGCAGCTGGAAGTGTGTTCGGAGTCAGATTCCATCATGTCGTCAGATATCGTCCTCGGTTCAACAACGTGAGTTGGCTCGTTCGAATACCTACGTGTGTCTCGATCTTCAGCCTTGCTGCCCGGGTTATGTTCAACCTGGACGCCATGAGTCTGGGTGTTCGTGGGCCTCGCGTTGTTGTGTGGCAGGTACCCGATTCAGAAGGTCCCGAAGGAGTGGAAGAAAGCTCCAGTTTGGCTGATGCTGCAGTCAAAGCAATATCCCAGGTGTAAGGCAAAGGTACTAGTTGCTTTTGAGCTCGTACCAGCAGAGCTTGTCGAGAACGACACTTACCCGTTCTTTGATGATATCCGACCTTCTACGAAGGAAGCAACTGTGTCAATCTTCCTGGTTGGCGTTAGGCTATTCTCCCCTGTCCAAAGGCCATATGTCGAGGTATGCGACCAAGGTCCAGGCTGCGAATTGGGTCAACGGGGCTGGAGAATCTGCCATTCAGTTAGCTTAAATATGACTAAAAGTAAGGTGCCATTACTATCCGCCCGCGACAACTTTATCGGCTGCCGTATCTTTTGACATTCATTTGTTTGCTGCGCAAAGGTCTGCTTTGGCCGTGACGTGGAAGATACAACAAAGCCTCTTTGGTCCGAACGCACGAGCGAGCCACATGTGGGAGAAGGCGGCAACTGGAACTTTTTGCAACACTTCAATGTCGGTGTGTCTTTGCCAAAGAGAATGCAGCATCACTGCTTCATGGAGGTCAAAGTTCTTGATGAAGTTGAAGGGATATCTGGGCGCACGATGAAGGATGTTGGCATGGCCTACATCACTCTCAATCCCCTGTTGCCTTGGTTGGAACAGCGGGAACGTGAAGAGGTGAGTCAGAGATGATCAGACGGATGTAGTGTTTGTCGCAGGCCCGCACATTGGTGGTGCTGCAGAAGCTCCATTGTTGGCTATCAGATCGTGAGCATGCGCTATCGAAATCGCAGTTGCGGAGGTTCTTCTCTGTGATGAAGGCTTGTCCTGCTTGGGGCCTTTTGCGTTGCAGACCAGGGAAATGTTCAAACTCCAAGTCATGGAGGAAGTCATGATAGAGGATGCTGAGAACGCCAGGGTGAGCGACTAGCAGATAGGACACATAGTGGGAAACCTAAGAGAAGATACTGAGGAATTCGCTAGGTACCCAACTAATATGTTAGGCAGACTTTACCGTTTCCCTGAAACGTCCAGCTGCCAGATTTCTCCGTACCTTGCATTTTTTGCAGCGTATTAGTGACGGTGTCGCGGGTCACGCAGGCGAGGCGAAGGCAACTGGTGAAGAAACCGCGTCGGTGCAAGCTCGGCTGGCGATGGCAGCAAAGGTGCATTTGCGCTTTTTGGTTCTGATGAATTTTTTCGGTTCTGTTATCCCTCTTTCATTGCTTGTTGGTTCTCGAATGCGGCGTGTAAGGTTCTCTGTAAATGCTTCAGCTCGACAAGAAAATGGTGGTGCCATACAACGATCCCGATGCGGCAAACTCTCGTCTGGAAGCTACAGATGACTACGTCGCGTTTGGAGCGGCTGCAGCTCCAGTTGCCACTCGGGCCTTCACAGCTTCTCTTGAGAAAAGTGAGACCAAGCCACGTGCGAGAGGAAAAGGCTTTCTTGGAGGCCTAAAGATGAAGAAAAGCAACGGCGGCCAAATTGGCAGTGATGCTGATGGAGCCGACAACGCGAATGAGCTTTATGGGTTTGAGCCTGAAGCTCTGGACTTTGTGCTGACCATGGTAGGTTGCGCTTAAACGCCTGTTTAGCGCTGGTAGGCGACGCCCGGTTGTTTTGCCATAGTGTCATATCTCGTTCCTTCGGTCAATGCGTGCTATTAGCGTAGTACCATCAATGCTGTTGTCAACAGGCGGACGAAGACGAAGTAGAAGAGAATATGCGCGATGAAATTCCATACGAAATGGAAACGGACTTCGGTGTTAATGACCTCCCCTACCTACGGGTTCCCATATTCAGAGTAAGCTGACTATGCATATTCAGGCCCGCACGTAGACATACTCAGATGAGCACTGCGCGTGTGAGTCTCTTCTGCAATAAACAGTGCTGCACCTTATTATGTATGCATATGTTTATTTTTGGCATTGACTCCACATTCATTTGTGTCCCATTTGTCTAGGCTTATGCAAGCGAGTGTATACTTCATACTGCTACGCAGCTTCTGCTTTGCTTAGTCTGCTTTGTTAAGTGGTCCATCCCACTTACTCCGCTTTTGTTCGTGTTGCAGTGCACTGACTGTGGCGTTCCTGAGACAATCGGATACCTAAAGTATATCTGCAGAGTCTACCAGGGAGAAGAATGTGGCAGCGAAATGGAGGAGATGAACAAACTGTGCCAGGATTTGGTACAGAAGTACGAAAGTGCGTTTTCACTCGTATATACATAAAGCGCAAACGATTCCATAGTTCAGAGCGCTGAATGGTCTCATCCAAAGCACGATCTACTTCTCCTCTGTGGGGCTTTGTTTGGAGCAGTTGCTTTCAAGTTCCTCTGTGGACACAAAGTCCAACAATTTTGCTCAATTGCGAGCCCCTTACAGTTTAAATGCGGGAAATCGTTTGCTTTTCCTCCACGGTCTTTCATAGTGATGTGTTGTATCTGAGTTTCAGCAACACGGGAACTCGTTGTGCGAGCATATGTACTGGCCGCTCGAGGTCTCGTGCCTCCCTCAGGGGCGTCCGATATCCAGACGTACGTTTGGATTTACAATTCTTCGAGTACAGCCACTCTTTCGGGGGGGCTAACACACAATTTGAAGGACTCGGGTCATGTTAAAAAGCAGGGCTTCAAACCAGAGTTCAACAGGTGCTATGGCCTGGCATGCTCCCTTCCAGAGCATGCTGTTGTGCAAGTAAGAGGCATGAGACATTTTCCACAAACGAGTGTGTAGACCTGGCATGGAGAACATACCAGTTGCTGAGCATAGCAAAATTGAAAAGGGAGTGCATCTCTGGAAGCGTGTTAGCGCTCGACCGTTTCTCTGATCTGCAGGTGGCCATCATGAATCAAGGAAGAGTGATGGATGAATGTGTTGGCAAGACTTTCATAGATATGGAGGACCGTTTCTTCAACCCAAAGGTGGCGGCCATGGTGGAACAAGAAATAACGCCAATTGAACTAAGGTGCGGCAGCTGGGCAGAAAAGACATATGGCACGAGCTGTACGCTGTGTGAGGCGCGTTGATTAGTGAGCCCACGGGACGAAACGTCTTGGTTTTTTACCTCAGAACTTTGAAAGTGGAAGGCAGCACAGTCTCGCATGGCACTTTAAGAGGCTTTTTCGAGATTATGACGGAGGATTACGCGCAAGAGCATCCTCAGTTTACTCTTGCCAGCGCAGAAGCAGATGACTTCCAGCTTCGGGTACGTATTCTCAACACGAATAGGCACTTTTACATGGTGCCTCCCAAGCATACCTAAGCCCGTGCAGTTGGAGTCACGTCACGCAAACCGTTGCCGCGCCGCAACCGCAAATCACTAAGTGGATGTGTACGCATCTGAAATGTGCAGTGAGACGCACAAAGCGCACTCTGTGGGTATCTAGACTGCTTGATGCATGCTCTAGCTGGCGCCGTTAGTACGTTTTTGCATGGTGTTGTGCCTAATTTGCTGTATGTGGCTTTTCTCAGTTAGTTATATGGCGTGTAAAGGCCGTCCCTTTGGACGACAACTCCTCCGTTTCGATGTTCGTTCGTTCTATATTCACGCTGGAGGAGAACTCGGAGATTGTACACGACACGGACACGCACTACAACAGCAAAGACGGGTCGGGTGTGTTCAACTGGCGATGTGTTTTCGACGTAAAGATCCCCGCACCTATTCCCGTGCTGAAAGTGCAAATATGGAACTATGCAGTGCTCAGTTCTGGAGAGCCCATAGGCGAATGCAACTTCGACCTCACTGCGGACTTCTTCAGAGCTCGAAAACGTGGACAGATCTATCGTCTGCCGCGGTATGGTGTTAGCGTCTGTGGAGGCGCAAATATCAACACCAGCAATAGAATGGCACCGAGATAACTTCCAGTTCTTCGGCATGCTCTTCTTGTGGATAGACCGCCATGTCTCATTGCACTGGATAGACATATTTGTGGCACTTATGTCCCTATATCTTTCCTTTTTTGTGTGAACGTTGCAGGTTCTGGCTTCGCTGTACACATCCTGCTTTCAAGGGGAAGTCACGGGGATCAGTGGAGGTGGAGGCGAGCATTTTGCCCCTGAAAGAGGCTGACTATTCGCCAGTGGGCCAAGGTAGAGAGGAGCCAAATAGAGACCCATTTCTCCCTGCAGTGACACAAAACAGGACTTACGTAGACTGGGAAGCTATTAACGAAACTGTTGGCGCGGCGAGCTCAGCAATTATGTCCGGACTGAAATGGACCGGTGTTTGGATGGCCGTAGCAGGCGTCGTCGCGATTGTAATTTTCATTATGTTCCTTCTTAAGTGATAAAAGGGGGCCCCTCTTGGGTCTGCCACTAATGCAAATTAGGGGGTTGCAATCGGAAAAGAACTAGCTTATTACTAAGTGCATCCCTACATGCTGAAAACGGGCCCGGGAAAGCAACTAACGACGCAGCAAAAGATGCCTTTCTATCTCGTACGGTGCAGCACCTTGTGAATTTTATCGCATTTACTCCTGGTGATAGCACTGGTTAGTTTCTCCGTGATTCGCAGCCCATGGTTTCCTCTCAACTATGCACTTGCATTTTCATTAAGAGTTCACTGCAAAACGCTACACATTTTTCATGTCCAGACATGCCGACTATAATTTTGGCCCTACACTGAGCAAGAGACGGACCAGTTTGGGTTCTTTCCGTCACATAGTGAAATATGTCTTACGCAAAGGCCGATGCCCAGGCAAAACGGTGGAGCGCCTTCTTGCCGTTTTGCTTCGCCTTTGAAAAGGCCCAGAAACGTTTCAATGCGTTTTGCTGGGGATTCCGCAGAAATATTCAAACTTTCCTTAGGGACACGAAAAGCGTCCGCAGTATAATACAGCATTAGTTGATGTCTGCCAGATAATCAGAGCTGCAGACCGGGAATAAATATTTGTTATAGCTGAGCTTGCCGCTTCAGGGCGAGACTAAAGCAGCTAACACCACCCATAGGCGTGAGGAGGTTTCCTGGGCACAAGAGACAGGAGATCATCTGGGAGAGGGTCTGTTGGGCATTTGTAATAGTGGTATTCAACGGCTAAAGTGCGCGCCTCCTCCAGACCGAACTTATTCACAGGAAAACCCATTGTTCTTGCCTTCCCGTTTTCCTTCCAGCAAGTGCGCACAAGGTTACGATGAGGATCGTACCACACGCCTCTTGCTTTGGGGTATTTATTAAACTGCGCTGGAGTGGGGTGAGTTAACAAACCCACTTTATTTTGCGGTTCCGGCAAGAAATGATGTACGTGAAACTGCCTGTATGGGAAGGTTCGGTGACCACCACCCTTTGACCGCCGGGGCGGTCCCCCGTCGTTAGTTGAAAGCCCTTCTTCTCTGGTTGCTGCGTTTTCCTCTGATCCTCGAAATATTGCCTCCTCGCCTGACGAGGAAGTCAATTCGGCTGTATCTCCGTCTTGGCATTTCTTGCGCGAATGTGAAGCGGGCACCTGCAGGTTTTGTCCGCCTCCGTTACGAATGTTCCACATGGAGTTGCATTTTCGTCTTTGGCGCGTGGTTTCAGACACCCTGTCGTATCTCTGGCTGCAGTTATGCTCAAAGGCAGATCTCCGCAAGTTGTACTGTTCCAGTAGCTGCTGGAGGTGGTCGCCTTTATCCATTAGTACACACACGCCTTCCCCGCCGTGCGCTTCTTTGGCCTTTACCGGATTTTCGCAAGAGCCAGCAGCACCAATTTGCGCGGGCTTTTGACTGCCTATTTGACTGTAACTGGCACCAACGAACTTGGGGGACGCTGCTGCAGTGCAGCTAGATTTGGGGGTACCGTTGCCGCTGTTCTCTTCAGGCCCAGCAGGAGTTAGCGTTATTTGTATGGTCTGGCTTTCTGGGCACTCAGAATGGTCCAAAGATCTACCGCCACTCTTTTTCAGAGCATGGGTGGAGTAGAGCTGCTCTTCACGGACTGTTGTTGAGTCGCATTCATGGCGGCTTTGCGGTAGGGATTTCTTGTCAGGCAGTGGCGTGCCTAGACACCTTGTGCGCCGCGCAGTAGCGTCGGAGCTCTCGCCTGAGCTCGGCGTTTGGGGGGCTGTTGTTGGCGTGTTATCTTCGTCGCTTCCCTCCGCGTTGCATATGTTCCCACAGAGGCATTTCTTTGGCGCTTTTGGTGGAAGAGGCAACACGCCACATGCAGCGCTGGGGCGATGGGTGCAAAGCCCCGTCTCAGCCATCTCTACAGCGGCCTGTACAACAAAGGGAGCTCTTGAACAACGCGACTGCCGCTGAGACAAGATTGAGCTGTCTGTACACCCATATAATTTAAACGGGCCCTTGCAGCCTGTCGCAGCAGGTGGTAAGGTGCACTTCAGCACTTCAAAGGAGCATGCATAAACGAAAACACGCTTCACTCTTTTGCTCGAAGAAATCTCCTTGTCCTATATCTCCCTTCTCTGGCCCATGCATGCGCACAGCGGGGGGTTTAACAAACCGCCTTCCCCTTGGGTACGGACGCTCCAAATACAGCAGGGTAACGCACAGAGGAGGTGGCACTAAAGGATGCAGTTGCCTTATATATATATGCAGACGTATATGTACTTGCGCCGCGTACAAATAAGGTGGAATCAGTGGCGGCGGATACGCCAACGCAGTAGCTCAACGGAGCAGCAGCAGCAAAGCCGTCGAAAAAGACAAAGGTGGTAGGCAGCGCGACTCAGCAGATGGCCTGTGTCTCAGCACTCGCCATACCTAAGGATCAACGAATATACACTTCGTTTGCTCAGAACACGGAAGGTCTGCTGTGTTCGCCATTGAGCGCTACTGAAAACAAGGGAATGAAAAAGGCAAACGCCAGACGGAGGACCGATTTAGGAACCCACCCGTCAGCATAAAATACAAAGAAGTCTCAAATACGAGCAAGCAGAGCAGAGACAAAACGAGAAACACTGCAGAATAGCTAAACTCTAAACGGGCAACGAGCCACTTGGGAGGACCGGTGGATCAATGGAGGGGTGCGGCGCCAAATCCCCCTTAAGAGAGCCTTGAAAGGCCAAAATCATATTCAACAGGCACTTGTGAATGGAAGATGTTCACGTATATGTGTACAAAGTGCAAACTTTGTCGTTCTGTCCCCATTTTCTTCAGGAGCAGTACAGGCGGAAGCCACTGAGCGACGACCGTGGACCGGGCTGCTGCCCCGCAGAGTCTGCTGCGCCGACCCAACAAAGGCATGCGATTTTTCCTACAGAAGAATATTTAAATGCATACAAATTAAGATGAAGCAAATGTGCGTTATTCCAGTTTTCTGTAGGGGAGGAGCCTCTTCAAAACCAGCAAACCTACATGGAATCCACCTCCAACATCGAGCGTTCATCTCATCGCCGGATCATACTAAACTTCAACCGCAAAAGCAGAAAATGAACTTAAGCCAGTAGAAAGCGGCAGAGATAGACCGTGATGCGATCAGTTCAATTTATCTTGTTTTTGTCAGCCCACCCCATAACTTCAGACGGAGCCACATTACATGCACAGTCCAGGAGGCCTTGTCAAACCAGGGAGCTTGCAGACGCCCCGACACAACAACAATTATGAACATCCATAAGCGTACTATCACAACAGTGTACGCTGCAACTATATAGCGCCGCGCCCCCAGTACTGTTATCCCTACTCGTGCTTCAGTAATATCAATCCCGTGGCGCACAGTTCGAAACATGGAACCTACTGCGCCATCCGCCCATAAATGCCATCTTGTTTCGTACAGCCCCAGTTGCAACATTTGAGCAAAATAACTATCAAAGGTATCTAAAAACGGCCCCACCGCCGCGTCCAAAGAAGGTGTACAGACGCCTCACACGCACAGGCTAACGGCTGCATGTGAGGTGTCTCTGCACCGGCTTTTCGAAACAGCAGTGGGGATCCACACCTTTGGAAGTTTACCTTCCTAAATGTTGCAGCTGGAACCGTGTGCGAAAACCTACCATTTATGGATGCAAGGTGGTCATTTCGCACGTAAATGCCCCAGTCAATAGAGCAAGGGCATTGCTGCTGTAGATGAAATTCGGCTGGTGCACCTCAAGCAGTCCACTGTTCAGCTGCTCCGCAAGCTTAAACACGCAAGAGTCTTCAACTAATGCAGCGGCAATACTAAGTACGTTCTACTTGGAGTCCACATACACAGCGCAGCTAGCTACCTGATTACCAAATTCAGACAACGACTGTAACACCTAAACAAAGACAAGGCAGTAAATGCAAAAATAATTCTTCTTTCTGGAAATGGCTATACCGGTATTGTTAAACCCTTCACCCTGGAATCAAGGGACCTTTAATATACATCGCACCGAAAAACCCATACCATTTCAGTTTTGTGGTCTATGAAGTACCTAATCCGGAAGACCAGCCCACGCTGCGTTTGTTTTAATACCTCCAAGAAGTCTTGGCCATCCAACAGCATGGCGTGGGTGCCTTTTCTGACACCACCCGAGTAAGGAACGACTGCTACTGCGACAGCTTGGCAGGCATGCTCTGGGACTGCAGCTCATATGCGATGTCTACGGGGTCAACGATACCTCAAAAGCACCAAAGGCAAATGCATGCGGCACTGATCAAGCATCTACAGAATAGTAACTCTCTGAGGGCCATGCCTGTTTTCCTGTAGTCGCTCGTAGGTGTAGAGTCTTTGGACTCATTAAGTACTCCATCTAATTGCTGAGCTGCAGCAGATCTCGCACTGGGAGAACAAGGCAACCCACTGAGAGAGAGGAGGCAATATCCAGTGGCAGGGACTGGAGAATAGGGGCAAGTGTGATGCGATCGGCCATAGCAGCCGAGTCCGTGGGATTCTGGATATTAATCGAGAGAATCTTTCTAATTGAGTGGAACTGGCAGCTAGCTCGTGCCATATTTACGCTCTGCGCAACAGCAACGTTGAGCATAACCAGCATGTGGGCGTACACATGGAAGCGGAAGAGGTGCGGCTGACTCTGCGTGTGTGAAAAGACTAAAACATCACAATTTGAAACTTTATTAAGCTGAGGATTCGGTACAGGGCCCCAAACCAGCTGTATCGACCCTGCATGTCGAGCTGCGGCGGCCGCGCGCCCTCACCACCGAGGCAGTCTGTGCAGGTTGGCTGCAGCTGCTGCGTCGCGTGTGGTGTTCACTGTGGCTCTTAGTTAGGCCGTTTTAGTGTCTGACGATTTACCCAGACATTGTCTACCCATTTAACCGCAAGATGTCGGCCTATGCTGTCCCCCCTACAGCTGCGGGCGCTCACAGCCCCCACACTGGCTTCGTACACCCTGGAGCAGGTGCACATGCCCAGCCTGCCACCAGCGCATCCGTGTACACTGCGAACTCGGCTCCCTTTTCAAGCCCCTTTGCAGACCCTGCCAAGCCCGCCGCCTTCACCCATCCCCAGCAGTATGACACTGCACCAGGGGTGCCGCAGGCCTACCAGCAGCTCAGCGCCTACACCACAGCCGATGTCTATGCTCACCCAGCCGCAGTAGGCACTGCTGCAGCAGCGCCGCAGCAACAGAAGCAGCAGCAGGCTGGCTCTTTCCCCCATGCCGTGGTCAGTCGACCTCACTAGCCCCTGAGCAGCTGCTGCTCATGTTGCTGTTATTGATGCCCAAGTAGCAGTAGGCAGCCGACACAAGCGGGCGCCCTGTGCGTCTTTGCCCACTCTAGTGCTCGTTCTCCTCCGTAGGTTTGTGCGGGGCATATCTGAGGGCCTTGGCATGACTGAAGTCTGCGCAGTGCATGCATGCATGGTCCGAGGTTGGTGACAGTAGTTGGCGCAATTGCCGCTCTTTTTGTGTGCTGTGGTTGAATCTCTGCAGCCTCCCAACAGCTCCGCTTCGGCCCATGGCTCCTCATTGCACGGGTCGTCGGTGCCCACGCACCAGCAGCAGCCACAGCAGCAGCAGCCACAACAGCAGCAGCAGCAAATCGCAGCATCGGAGGAAGAAGCAATGGTCTGTACGCAGGAAATAGCTCACGCCTTCGTTTACCAGTACTACCTCATGCTGCACGAGAACCCGAGAGACATCTACCGGTTCTACGACCAAGATTCCAAGGTAAGCAAGCCGGATGCGAAGTGCTCACATAGCAGAGGCAGAGGGCTTCACATGGCGTACGTACATTGGGCTCTTCTCAACGGCGCCTGTTCATACGTAGAGGCTGCCTTGAGTGTCCTGGGGTGCATGCGCACCTCAGGGCATGAATAAGGCACACGCGTAGCAGAGGAATACAATATAAAATTCGTTGGGTCTGGTGCCGCGCGCACGTCACTGTGGTTACTGTCGCTAGCAACGATAGCAGCAGCAAAAGTTGCTCCAGGAACGGCGGCGCATCTTGGTCCTTGGTTTGCTTTTGTTGCTGCTGTTGTATTGACATTAAGATGGCTGGGTGCTGCAGGTGCGCCTCCATAGTTGAGGTGGGTTAATGTGGTTTTGACAAGCAACCCGAGCTGAGGCTGTTTCGTTTGGTTCCTCCTTCTGCATATTTTCAGATGCACCGCATATCTGACCGTGCGTCCTCGGACGTGGACTCAGGATCTGCATCGGAGCCTCCGTGCATACGGGCTAGCGGACTGCAGGGAATCACTGCGGCTTTTGAACAGCTCAAGTTCGACAGAGCAACATGCCGCATCCGCAACATCGAGGCTCAAGAGATTGACAACGGAGGCATTCTGGTGCTCGTCACAGGCTGTCTCAAGCACTCCAAAGACGCTCCAGGCAGAGAGTTCGCTCAGACAGTCCTGCTCGCGAGGATGAAGCCGCCCAGAGCTGTGAGTGCATGCGCCAGAATATGAGGGAGTGAGAGCCTATGGTTAAGGGTTTACAGCGTAGGAGTCAAGGGTCTGGAGTATGCCGCGGCGTGTGGCACCAGGGCTTTGCACACAGGAGAGTGTGTGTGTACACTGGGTTGTGGGGTTAGCGCTAGTACGGAGAGCAGTTGCGGGATAGTCACGGTTCTGAGCTGAAGTGTCACTACACCTAGGGTGCTGCTACCGCTGCTCAGGGGTGGTATGTGCACACGGAGATGTTCATCTATTTAGATGCGATGGTCGGAGCGGCGGCAGAAAAAGCAGCGGCAGAGGCCAGGAAGGAACAGAAAGAGGAGATGCAGCAGCGGCAGAGGCAGCTGGAGAGGCAGCAGCAGCAACAGCAGCAGCAACAGCAGCAGCAGGAACTGCAAAGGGAACACTTTGAACAGCAACAGCAACAACTCAACCAACAACAGCAAGAGCAGCAGCAACAGCAGCAGCAGCCAACACATACCGACGGAGCTTTGGGGGTTGCGCCCCGTGCGGAAGTAGATTCATCCTCGAGCGGGCCTGTGGCGGAGAAGGAGCCAGCACCAGCAGCATCAGCAACACCAGCGACAGAAGCGGTGCAACAGATATCGGCGGCTGGGGAGAGCCCAGATGAGACTCCGCAAGGAGCAATAGCAGATGGAGAGAAATGCCAGGATGTGCAGGTAGCCGAAGGACAGGCGCCAGCCGCCCCTAAAGCTGCGCAGCCAACTCGCAGCCGGTGGCAAAGACACGAAACCCCGCATACTACAGAAGAGGCTTCGCCGCGTAAGTTTTCGTTTCTTTCTCTGCACACACTTATCTGTACTTCCTGTTGTATTGTGCTTGATTTATGTTCGACTATATCTTCATCTGACGTTAGTCGCGCATGTAGAGTGATGAGCTGTAGGCGCACGCATAATACAAGCTGCTTCAACGCAAGCAGCAGCATCCATGGTTTTCTTCTAGGTCTGTGTTCACAGAGTGGCCAAAACCTGGCCAAACACCACAGAAGCCGCCAGCCTCGGAAGAACAGCATTCACGGGGAGGCAAGCAACAGCAGCAGCAGCAACACAATTATGACCCGCAGAGTTTTGCGTACAAAGTACTGCAGAACGTCCGCCCTGTTGCTCAGGTGAGGCGTCACAGAGACCATGTCCTGAACGTACACCTGGGGACTGCTGCCGCGCTGTTCGGTTTGTTGCACTTCTGCTTTTATTTTCAGCGTCATTTGTGTCTGCTTATTTGCCCATTAAGGGTTGGGATAACTGCGGCTATGATGCATGCAGAGAGGCTTCGCTATCCCGGCCGTTCCCAACGCGGCTGCTGACGGCTCTGGCGAGGACCGGCCAAACGGAAGAGGCTCTCAAGGAGAGCATCAGCAACCTACAGTCCCCCACCAGCAACAGCAGCAACAGCAACCTCCCCACCGCCGCCTCATAATCTTAGCTGAGGTTCCCGCTACCTTGAGCGCTGATGAGCTGAAGGGCTCCATAAATGAAGCTCTAGCTGCTTTCAACAACGGGCAATGCACGGACCTCCGGAGGCCAACCGGCGGCCGCACTTTTGGGATCGTTTTTGAGGTCGACAGCCTGCAGAGCGCACAATACCTTGTAGAGCATGGACTTGCAATCAACGGCAGACAGGTGAGGAGTTCTGTCATTCCGCGTAAATCCTGCAGCATTCTCATCGTTTCTCATATTCATGGTCAGATATTTCGGCTTGCGTAATTGAAGGAGTAGGCATGGACAAGTAGGGCCGGATAGAATTAAACAGTTGCAGATGTGACTGCATAGAATGTTGGGCCGGCCATCATTCTCAACAATCAATGAGTATTTCTTTTCTGTTTACATGCAGTGTGTAATTGTTCTTTTTTCTCCTGTACTTTTACGCTTTCCGCTGTTTTCATTTGCTGCTGCTGCTGTTTGTTGGTGACTGCACTCAGGCGCGAATCGACTTCGTGCGCCCGAGGGGCAGCGGTGGGCCGGGGCGTGGCGGTCGCGGCGGTCTGAGCCAACGCGGAATGGGTGTTGAGGGCAGGAGGTCGTCCGGAGAGCTGCGGCGAGGTGGCCGTGGAGGTGGCCCCAGCGGCGGGGCTCCTTTTGGGGGCCCGAGCGGGGAGAGAGCGGGCGGTGAGGGAGATGAGGAGGAGGCTGAAGGTCAATGGATCGATCCCGCAGCCAGACGCCGACAGAGGGCCCCTAGAGGCGGCTGGGGAGGCGGTGTTGGGATCGGAGGGGGCCCTGTGGGCTCCCAGCGGGGCAAAGGAAGCAGCAGCGGCTACAGAGGAGGCCAGCTGAGAGCTGCGGCGCAAGAATAGGATAAGGGGGAGCTTCCGCACTCGGAATTGTTTGCTTGGAATTAAGTTGAATAGTTGATTTAAGTTTTTTTTCAAACTTAAATCGAAGTATTCAGTTTAAATGTGACAGTTGCCTGCATGGTTTCGAAAAAGCTTGTGGAACGGAGGGCAGAAGGGCGCCGAGACGGAAACGCTGCATGCACATGGCTTACTATGTCTTACCTGCACATTCGTTCAATTTACATATCTCCCTCATCACACGCCCCTATCTCAAAACGGATCCTGCGTTAAGTTGCATGCAGGAAGGGCCGGCCAGGGTGTATCCACACGTGCGTATCTTGTTACATGAACAGACGTAAGACATAGCTTACTTGAGGTTCTGTATGCACATCGAGAGCTGTTGCGAACAAGCCTGCATGCACCCATTTATGCGTGCATGTGGTGCACGCGGTGTGGTCTACGCATGTACATGCATCCCAGCGGGTGGATCTCGCATTTGGGGCTTCCTCTGTGTTTCATTTGACAGTTTTGAATGACGCATGGCTCCCCAAGAGATATGGTGCGGCGCTTAGGGCAGGCGGACGCCGCTTTATGTACAGGGCTGTTGTAGGAGATAGTGTGCTCGTTTGTGTGTGTGTACTGTTTTACGCAAGTGCGCAGATATATATGTATGCATGCATGCATATTTATGCGTGCTCGTATACACGTGCACTTACATATACATAGAGGAACGCGTGCGTGTATGTACAGACGCCTGTTAGCGTTCATATGTGCCATTACTATGCATACATGCATACGGTCATGCGGAGGATTACACACATAATGTATACTTGGTTCCTACGAGGATAATCTGTAGAGGTGTGCGTACTGTGACATGCGTGTCGCTGCTGTGGGAGAGCACTGCTGCCGAGCGCATGCAAACGCATGCGGGCCGGCTTGCAGTTGTCTGTACTGCTGCAGCAGCAGCGGCAGCAGGAGAGGGAGGAGTTTCAGTTTATATTTAGGCCTTGCAGCTACGCGTTCCGCCTGCCCTTGTGGCTGTTCTGCAGCTTAACTTTAAATGTTTAAGTAGCATTTACGTCAGAACTGCACCAACTAGGAAGTTGGCGCAGTAGGCCCAGTTGTGGGCTAGACTCACAGACCCTTCAAAAGTAACACCGCTGCCGAACTCGTTGATTGTCTAAAGCCTCGGAAGCTATCAACTTCGCAACTTCAGGCCCTCGACTTTCCTGCGTACTTTTGTAAACCCTGTCAGCATCGCTAGGTTCACTTGCAGCAAAAGCGGACGGATTTAAAGGTGGAGGTCCAGCAAGCAAACGCTGAGCGGGCACGCTGTGGCAAAGTGTACTGGCTCCATATATACACAATATACAGAAACGAGACCCCCTGCTGCCTACTCTTCAACCAGAGTTGTATGCATTGGCCCGCTTAAGCAGTTTACTTGGAAGCAGAAATGGCACGGGCTCTCCCTCCACCCCAAGCGGCCACCCACAATGCTTCACTGGTGGTGCAGCGCTTAACACGAGCCTGCATCGGCCGCCCCAAAAGGAGTTCGTCTAGAGTGGGCAGCTGCAGCAGCAGTAGCTGCTGCAGAAGCAACATCCGCCTCACTTGTTGCCGGCCTGTTACGTCTGCGCTAGTGGGTGTTCCTGCAACTGCATCAGGATGCAACATACCCTGTGCGCCCCCAAATGGCTGCGCCGTCGCGCCTATCGTTGGTGGTGCTGCTGAAGCGGTTCAGCGCTGCAGTCTGGCTGTTGGACGCCCTCCTGTTTGCTGTTGTTGCTCTTCTACTAACACTGTTCGACTTCTGGAGCTTACTTCTATCCCGTGCAGCTGTTGCTGCTGCTGCTCTTGCCGGTGGCAGTGTCCCCGGAAAGGTTGACGCCTTTCGGAAGTCATAGGCCTCAGTGCCTCTCCTGATTTTAGCTTCCGACGCTTGCCTCTGGATCATGTCAAAAACTTTCGAGCGAGATGAGTGGCGTAGTTCCTTTGAAGGCAAAGACGCCAGTGCGTCATACATAAAGCTGCTGGTGCTGGTGCTGCTGGCAGAGGTGGGTTGTTCAGCAAAAGTTGCACTATTGTAGCTGGGATCTGTATGCTGATGAGGCCCTCCTGGGTTAGTACGGGGGGGAGCTCTCTGAATGCAGTGGGAACAGTGGCAGACGGTGCTGCTGCTGCTACACGTTTTTGTCGTTTGGCTGCACTGGGGCGTGCTTACGCCTCTACTTCCCTCTTCACTGGCACACTCTTCATCCTTACTGCCTGCGGATGGCTGCGCAGCAGAGGATCCCCACGCCAGCTCGCTCCCTCCAGCCTCACTGACAACTTCTCTGGCATCTGTACATTTCATGTTGGTGTGTGCGGGCATGAAGCCTGCATGACTTTCACTTCTGAGCTGTTCCAATTCATGTTCCCCCTTGATGCTGTCTATTCCGTGCTCATATTCGTCGGCAAGGCCCTGTTGCTGCTGCTGCGTGCATTGCGTCGAATCAAGAGAGGAGGTGTCGCTCGGTTTCACTGTTGCTGGCTTGGATACATTTGAGAAGTTAGGAATCGGCGGCGTCGTGGTGTCCGTATCTTTGCTCGCTTTTACGACTTTCGTTTTGCTTTTCTTCAAGACGCTCTTGAGACTGCTGCCCTCTGAATGTGCAGCATTCGCCTTTGTTTTTATGGCTTTGGAACTCGCAGCTGCAGCAGCTGTTGGTGTTGTTGCGACTGTGTTTGCTTTTGGCTTTGGCTGACTTGCTTTCGTGACAAGTGACGCTTTTGCCTCTTTTCTACTCCCCGTTTGATCACTTCCGCTGGCCGGCGTGTCTGTCTTGGCTCTCTTTGCTTTTTGCTCCTTCCTAATTGCTTTTGCCCTGCCGGTAGCTGCTGCTGCTTTCCTGGGCCTCGCTGACTTGCTAGCAGAGTCGGCAGGTACTGCAAGCGTCGCCGGCTGGCTAACTTCATGACCTTCGTCTTGCATTTCATACACCAGAGATTGTCCCAGTGGAACTGCTTTGGAGCCCTCTATGAGGTCCTCTCCAGCAGACCCTCCGGAAGAACCCCTGCTTTCAGTCTGCACTAGACAAGAGTTTCTTATGGCCTCCCGGCTGTCACATCTAGCGCGGAAGATGGCCAGGTCGCCGTATGCTGCAGTGAGGGCTCTGACGGCGCCCACGAGATGGCTGTGCTGCTCCAAAGCAGCAGCAACGGCGTCAGCTGCTGCTTTACGGGAGACATGCTGCTGGTGTGAAGACACCGACTGGACCAGAGCCTCGCATAGACTCAACAAGCGATTAGTTGCCCTCGCTGCCAGCGGTTGCAGGTCTGCTGAAGCAGTGGCGCATCTAGACAGCCGTGAGTCCGCAGTTAGAGTTAGCGGAGGCAACCAACTGACCGAGTGTGACTGAAGAAGGCGGCGCTCCCAAGCCAAACTAGCAATGGCGTTGACCACGTTTTGCCTTTTTAGGACCAAAGACTTCTCAAGCTCTGCTGTACGCGCAGTCAATCCGTCATATTCAGCTCTAGGCATCTCTACCTCGATGCATTCCAACCACGCATCACACTTACCACCAGGCGTTGGTCCTTCTGTTACTGCGGCGGAACCTTCCTCGAAAAAGCTATTTCCGTCGTCCAAACTGCAAGACTCTGAGCGAGCGCCGGCTGCATCTCCTTCAGCTTCATAGGAGGGGTAATATTGCGCTTCCTGAAATGCGAACAGTTCACGGTCTGGCACCCTGGGTTCGACTCCCAGTGGCCGGGCCATTGGACGACCTATGGACCCACCATGCTGCTCTCGATGTAAATTCAACAAGTCGTTCAATAAGGCCAATGCCGCAGATGGGCGACGAGGGATTACCAGCAGGTCCTCCAGTGGCCGTAGACTAGAGGGTCCCAACAACAGCGCGTCGGGAGAGACGGGAGTTAGTACTCCTGTTCGGTGTGGGTTAAGGGGACTCCAAGGCTCCGAAATTGCTGCAAAGAAAGGAGCAAGAATGCCGCCTTCGCTTTCGATGCAGTGGAGCTTGTACAGGCTCCTCCTTACCGCGATTACGCGGTGCTCCCCTATGAAGTCTGCAGACGTCAGTCGGCGGCCGCGGCTCTGGACAGCTGTGTCATCTTCATCTATAATAAGTGTTTCAACCGACAGGCCGCCGCCATAGGGATCTTCGTCTGCGTGTGTCAGCGGACACAGCAGTGTGCAGTTTGCTGCGGCGGCATCGGAAAACAACATAATGTCCAGCGCGGGGACTCAATTGGGGGGCGGGGAGTCCAGAAATATCCAGCCTTAAAGGCGCAGTTAATGACGCCTCCAGGAACTGTCCAACTTTCGTTATCTGCTCGGAAGATGGGCAGGAAACATGAATGAAAGCATGGAGAGCCACAGCCCCGGAGGCACCTGCTGCAGCCAGCCACTGATGAGGGTCTGGCGATCCATAACAAGAGTAGAGAAATACAGAGCCACTCTTTCTGTGGCCTTTCTGTGTGGGGAAGCTGTAGGGTCTTTTGCCACGGATGTGCCCATTGGTCATTCGCCCTCTGCTCAACGATACCATGAAGATGTCTTTGAAGCTCCAGAGAATAAACGTCAGAAGTTGACAAGCATACAGAATAACCTATGCAGCGGGGAAGGGAGAAACAGATTATCTGTCGTCGCGTGCTCACGACTACTCACGTACCACAAACCGGCGACAAAGTTTGCCGCAGCGCTGGTTAGTAGAGAGATAAAAAGAGCATCTTCGAGTGGACAACGAGCCAATACTGAGGTCTTTTAGCTTTCTGAAAACAACGGAAAAGTCCAAATTGGGTTTTGAGCTGTGTTTAAGAGGTTAAACTTGCCCAAGCAAAGCCACTCCGCAACACGTGGCGCTGCTGCTACGGTCTGCCAGCATCGAGCCATTCACTAAAGTTGAGTGCTCCAGCAGCTTCCATCCTAGTTTAAACCATTTAACGTTTCAAGTGCCTGCTTTCCTTTTATATATCTCTCCTTTCCTTTAGTGGCTGCTGTCTTAAACCTACACTCCGGCCACGACGGCAATGCGCTTCGCCAGTCACTGCAATGTATATCGAGCCAGACTTACAAACCTACTTTTTGTCTACTAAATTCTCCCAATTGCTATTTGAGCCAGCTTGCAGCTGTTTCAAGTGGTCTTGAGGCTGGTAATAAGCGGATTTTTGTGGTTGTAGAGGCAACAGCATGCAAGCTGCTGCAGAGTCCGTTTTCTCTATCTACATGCATTGCCCTTCATCATAAAATTACGAGTAATTTTCTTCATGATTAGACGGCTGTCTTTGGTAATGGTAATGCTTCATCTCTTGTGGAGGCAAGAGCATTTCCAAGTGTGAATAGTGTATGGCTGCAGCTTCAGGGCACCTATCTTACAGCAGCTTTCAACTTTGTTGATTTTTATAGATGAGGCCATCCTAGTAACTCATCCAGAGTGGTACGGGGCAATAGATCCGTCGTGGGGCTATGCACAGACTGGTGTGGAGGGATAAAATCTTCATGAAACAAACCAAGTAACAGTGTGAAACAGCTCCACACAGAAAGCATACCCAGGATCGGGGGTACCTCATTGGATAGATATGACTCAAGTACTCCAAACGCTGCTCTGTTACGCGTGCCGTCTCTCTACCCTATACAACGAGTAAAGTGTTCTTTTCCCAATAAGTTTATGAGCAGGTAAGTAAGCATTGTGATATGAACAATAACGGCACACTGAGTCGCCTCACCGTTGCTTGGGGCCAAAAGCTCCACAGTGCCCCGGAACATGTTTAGGTGAAAGCCACATTCTCAATCCTAGGTAGCCAACTGCTACTAATACAAAAATAGCGCCCATTTGAAGGTTGGTGCATGCAGATCCAAAGCAAATGAAATACGTTTTGAGGCTTTCGGCAGAGGCGAACGAATGCGAACGCCAGCTGATGAGCTACAAGTAAAAGTCGCGGATGATGAATGTCAAGGCCAGAACTCAATTCAGGAGCGGTTTATGCGGACCCGATGACATCATCTCCTGACATCCTGGGGTCTTTTATTTGTCGATAAGCTGGGCGTTACAGTCCCGAGCACCTCTTGCCCTTCTTTAGCCTTTGTACTTGCTGCTACCAGTCCTACTGGCCATATAAGCTACTACGAGCCACTCTACGTGGACTTGTAGATGGAGTGTTTTACTTCCAGTTCCAGTTTCAGGAAACCTATGCGCCACAGGCCTGACTGGCAGGGCCCAGCTTGAGAAAGCCTCGTGTTTGCTTGCACCTAAATTTGATGTTAATTTAAGAAAGGCAATTGCTGCTGGATGGCAGCACCAGAGGGGCCTCCAATAGGCATAGTACCTCTTATTGAATATAAGTGTGAGGGTGGTGAGGGTGTGCTTCACTTGAATTTGGGAATCATGGTGAACTGCTGCGGAATGAGCGTAGTACGTATATTTTAAGTGGACATTTTCAAGATTGCCTCGATGATCGGTGGCCTGGGCTAGAAGACGTAGTAAAGATGAACCTAAGCGTTCAGCCTCGGTAAACACATGCAGCTGCAAGCACTAAAACTATCAGACTAACAGTACTCTCTTCAGCACCGTGGGCATCATTAGATGCGCCACATGAAGAACTAGGAAAAATTAGGGCTAGTTTATAAAGAAAATTAACAGATTTCGGCCGGTGACCAGGGTTCCAGCGTGGCCCTCAGACAGCGAGAGTGTTCAAGAGGTTTCGGATGCTCTATCTCCCCGTCAGACATCGCTTTTAGCCACTTATCCGGTTAGTTATACTTCAAAAGTTTTTTCATGGGTACGGTTTGTTCTTAGATCAACATGCGCGAGTCGCGTTCTGGGCCTGAGCGCAGAACGTCCGCTGTTGAACACCTTTACAAGTGCTGCTAGCCCATACAATTATTCCCCACAAATATTGCTTTGCCAATATTTACCTCCAAAAGGGGTGTTTGGGGGACATGTGCAATGGCCTTTCCTCGGTCTCAGTATGGGCTCCTCTTGTTCTTAACACGCGCAATAGGGTGTTGAACCGGGGTCCTTGCTCTACTGTAGACACCGAGCGAGGAATCCTTCAGCCTCCTTTTGTATTTAAAAGGCCTATATTTCATGTCATCGAGGCTTTTGTAGATGAATTTACACGCCCCAAACCGCACGCCGAACTTCTCGTGGGGTGCGGTGGGGTGACCAGAACCTGAAGTGGCCTGAAAAAAACCTTCAATTTTACTTTAAGGCCGTATGATAATACCACTTTCCTGTGGTCGTGCCCACGCAAACAGCTCAACAAGTCTCATCAGTATTGCTGTGTATCAATGCCGGGTCGCTGTTGAGAACACCGGACTTGCTGCATCTCTCTGAGCATCTAGAGTAATATGTGTAATATTTTTGGATCTAGATAGGGCTTTAAAGCGCCACTCAAGTTATTGAATTGCCCGTTTGTTTTCAACGTACATGTCTCTCAGTGTCGTAGCACAGCAGCTGCCGAAGCTCAGCAGGGGTAGCGTACTCTATTCTGGGTCGATCTTATGACTTCAAACACTATGCTTTTTAGTAAATTATTAAACTGGAAGAATTTGAACTAGCGATACACATAACAGCAACTATTTCACTATGGAACGTAGGGACTCGAGCCGTGCTGCTGGGGTTGGCGGGTAAGGATGGTGGCCGCTGCGTGGGTTCTCGCAAGGCGGGAGGGAAGGATCCAACTTAGGTGTTAATCCCTTGACGCGACAAACAGCTATAGTGAACAATTTGAACGGTTACCCTTAAATACATGGAACTACTGTAGGGCTCGCTGGCCACATGGTGAGCGTGCAGACTTGGCCGGCCACCTCGACCTCGTTAATCTTTCCAGAACATCGAGTCTTTCACTTCAGGAACCAATAGGAAGAAGGCTATAAAATCTGCTTCGAGCACTGCGAGGCATCGTCTTCAGGCGCAGATTCGGACCGGCAGGCACCGGTGGACAGACAGTGTGCCTCTGCCTTTTCCGCAGCCTCAGCAGCGTTTCCGTAGTCTGCTTTTAATGTTTGAGTAGGCCACTTAGAGGTCGTCGGCCCCACAGCTTTCCTTTGTGCGGCCCGCCTGTCTGGCACCGTTGGCGGCCAAACTTGGGATTTTGTCCTGCTGCTGCGTTCCTGGCCACTTCTCAGGCGACCCTAGGGCTGGTAGCGGCCAGAGCAGCAGCAAGAGCATCCAAAGCAGCAGCTTGAAAAGCAGCGGTTGAAAGGCGCGCTGTTGGCGCAGCCAAGCCGATGGACACCGCCACAGCAACTCATGGCACCTCATGGCACACTCAAGCGGCCTCGAGCATCGTGGGTTCCCACACAGATGATTTTATTGCGACCTCTTTGGACGATTCTTCCCTGTCGTTTGTGACTGAGAACCATGCTGAAGTGCAGAAGCTCCTCTCGAGCAGGAACCTGAAGAAGAAAGGACTCCCCGTATTGCGTAGGAAGGAGTTCCTCGGCACGTGTGCTTTATTCGTGCTCTGTGCCTTTGCTGCCTACCGCTTGGCGGCCTTCAAAGGACGAGATAGGTTCAAGCTGCAGGCGGATGAGGGTTCGTGGCTCCTTGCCTCGCCAGCAGCAGCCGCTGCGCGGAAAAGCGCTGCACGCAGCGCTGTTGTGGTGGGCATGCCTCTGTACTCGGGACCAGTGGACCTGAGGAAGGTACATGAGGCTGTCCAAAACGTGGATCTGGATGCCCTCACCGATCTCGAGGGAGATGCAGCAGAGCTGACGAGCCAGCTGGGAACCCCCGAGGCTTCTGCTGCCTTCCTGCGGCTGCGGCGGCTGACGAAGCAGGCGCAGGAGAAAGCCAAGCAGATTCAGACATCGAAGTATGACCTAAGGAAAGCCTCGATGGCTGTTGCTGTTGCGCAGACAACGCGCGCGCGGGGGGCCCTAGACGATCTCCGGCTGGTCTATGCTGCAGCAGCAGCAGAAGCCGACCGTTTCTTCTCTCTGTCGCAGCAGACACTGACGGACGCAGCAGCAGAGGCTGAGCGGCTCATCTGCAGCATTCATTCACAGCAGCAGCGGCTAGAGCAGTTGGAGCACGGGCTCAAGGGGATCGTTGCAGGATATACCAGTAACGGCGTCAGCAGCAACCCGTTGGAACCCCACTTGGTCGCTATGCAGCGGCTGCTAGAAGCAGCAGGCAGGGACCAGGAGATTCTGTTGTCTGAGTCCATCAATCTGCACAGAGACAGGGGTGACGGCAGCTCCGTGTCCCTCGTGGAGTCGGTAGAAGCGGTGAGGGTGGTATCGGCTATCCAGCGTCGACTGAGGCGAGCCGCCGCAGAAGCAGACCACTGGTCACAGGAGGCGGAGGAAGTGGCGCGGTCTCAGGCGCAAAACGCCTTCACGGGGTTCTACGCGCATCTTCTGTGGCAGCGGAATCGAGTGGAGGTGAACAAGTTCGCCTGCGCCTACGACCCTTCTCAGGAACGGGACCAGGCGGACCGGCAGCAACTTGAAGCCCTGTCGCGCCGCATGCTAGAGTTGACGGAGCATTTCGGCAGGGAGCAGAAGCTTCTGCAGGGAACAGCTGACGCGCTGCAGATGTTTTCGAGTGTGAGGCAGGCCCGGAACCAGGTGCGGACGGCCAGCGAAGAAGTGAGCAGGGTGGCAACTGTGAGTACGAGCGCAAAAGCCCTTGAGGTCTTACGGGCTGCAGCAGAGAATACACCACCAGACAGCTCCGAAGCCAAGGCCCGTGATGAGGCTGCAAAAGAACTTATCAGTCAACTTGAACAGACCGCCTCCGAGGCAGTAGACGCCGTGCGCTGCCTTTTCGAAAATGGCGTGCGGATTAAGGGGCCGGGAAGGAGCCTTTTAGAGGAGGCCGAAGCTCCCCCAAGGAGCCAACATTCAAGAAACGAGGTGGGCGAGAAACCCCCATCTCACGGTTTGTCTAAGAAGTGGTCGTCTGATGCTGAGGCTGCTACTATTGTGAAACTTGCTGCTGAGAAAACTCTGGAGCAGCTCAAAGAGCCTGACTTGGATGCTTTTAAAGCCATATCAACAGCAGATGAGTGCGCGTACCTTGTGGCTACTGCAATTTCACGCGATGCAAAGGCAACCCGAAAAGCCGCTGAAGTCAACGCTTGGATGAGGCTGGAGACATACGTGGAGGAAGCCACAGCAGCACACAGGCACGCTCTTGCTTCCATGCATGCGCCCAGTGAGAAAATTTTGCAGGAGCACAAGGTTTCTTCTGAGGACGTGGTCCACTTGGCGGCTGAAGTGTACAGGCAGCAGCGGGTTGGGCCAGCGGCAAAGGCGACTGCGGACCTGCAGGAAAAGGCGTGGCAGACTGAAATGCTTGTAGAAAATGCAAGGAGAGCGAAGAGGCACACGAGAGGAAGAAGACCCGTCACAGTGTCGGAGCCTGTGACACTTGCTACTGCGCAGCAAGAGGCGCTACGGCATGCAGGCGATGCATACATTGTAGTAGAGCGCTCAGGAGCTATGCTAGCCGCCCTCACAGAAAGGATGATGCGGTGGCCGACTACAGAAGGAATGCACGCTGTCGAGCAAGCTCACGAAGCAGCCCGAAAAGTCCGAGATACCATTCAAACCGCCAGTGAGGAGTTTAATCGGGGCTGGAAGCTGCTGCAGCATGCCGACACGAAAGCGAAGCTTGTTGCTGCGGTCGTCGCCGTCCTGCAAGCCAAAGAAGCAGCAGTGGAGGCGGTGCGGCAGCTGCATTTCACTTATCAATCAACAGCGCTCACGGTGATCACGCAGCTCCCCGCCGTGATAATGAGAAAGGGCGACGAGAAAGGAAACCGCAACAGTGGCGACAATGTCCTGTCTGAGATAGAGGCGGCGCTACGGCTAGCGAGAGATGCACAGGAAGCCCACATTGAGGTCACTAAGCGGCTCCAGCAGGACCTGCAGAAACTGCCACGGTCGCATGTAGGGTGGAGGGGCGGGGAGGATGACCTGCGGGATGAGGCAATTCTAGTGCAGAGCTTTGTCAGCCGCATTGCGGCGCTCGCAGCGGAGGCGAGGCAGAAAGTGCATGCTGAAGAGTCCGTGGGCCACCTCGCAAGCGAGGCGCGGGAATGTGCGATGGAAGTGGTGCAGGCAGTTGTCAATGCAGACACTCAGGTGTATGACTTGCAGAACAGCCTAGATATGGCTGGTCTGCTTGGATTGGCTCGCGAGGAAATCCAAGAGGTTCTTGTAAGATGAGTTCCACGGGGACGCTGCTTTCAAGGGCCTTGTTTCTTTGCAGCTTCGTGCCTGCCTGGAGGCAGGCCGCTAAGAGCGCCCTCGCTCAGTTTCGCGCCGCAGAGTGCGAGAAAGCAGGTAAAGGCGGAGACTCTATCGGCGGACATGTTTGCCGTGCGATGACGCCGAAAAGTTCATTACAATAACGGGAGGTTTCACATCAGGAATCGATGCATCCCGCGGGAATTGGAGAGGCACAAACAGTGCAACACAGTGCGAGTAAGATCTAAAAAGTGGAAAGACGCTGCTGACTTGTTTTCATCATCATCTTCAAAAGAGTGCGTCGTTCCATTCCGCTCGAGGTGTTGTTGGAAGGCCGAAGCGCTTTTGGTCAGGCCCACTTGCTGGCCGTCCAAAATAGCAGTGGAACTAACAATGCAAACTCTGCTTCAGCAGCCTGGGTAGGCAGAGATGACGTACGCTTGAAATGCCTCAGACGCATCGACAGATGAATCGACAAATGAATAGACAAACAAGTAAGTTGGCCGGGCCTCACAAAAGGCATCTGGATAGGCTTGCAGTTTTCCGATTTCCAGTGCTCCCGCTGAAGCCTGAATGTTTACTTGAAAGTTAGTGGATGGACACATCCCCCATTGACTAATGACCGAAAAAGAAATGCAGCAATGTAAGTAAACACTCGACAAAAGATAAAATGTAATTTACTACTTGGCAACAACACAGCAGCCTCCTCGAATGCAGCGATATATTGGGCTACAGAGCACTCAAGCCCATCAACAAATGCATTCACATGCAGACGTAGTGTTGAAATACTTGTCGTGTCTGTCTGTGCATGCTTGTCCGTTCATCTTTTCTGTCGCTGCATTCTCGGCGGCTTGTGATGTGGCTGCCTCGTAGGAAGTTACCGTGTCCCCACCTACAGTTCGCATGTGTGTTTATGCACATTTTCACCTACGACATGCATGCAGCGTCTGGTGACCGCTGCTGCCACTTGTCAGCTGCTGCGCGCTTCTGCAGCCGTGCGTTTGTTGATACTCTCTTCTGTTGCGGCTGCTTACCTTCGACTGCACGCATACTAAAGGGCTGGCGCCTCCCTTTACCACTCTGCAGTGTCTGTGAACATCAAGTATACGGGCACACGTTATTGACGCCGTTTGCATCCTATGCGTAGCACCCGCGAACTGCTCAAAAGCCGTATGCTCTCGCTGCATGCGTTGCTGTGGACGTTTCGTTTTATTGGAGGTTTCCCAGAGTCAGGCTGTCGACAACGGTAGCTGCTGCTGACCATGCGCAGGGCTATTTAACAGCTACTGACAAGCCGCATGCATCATTGTGCATGCACGCGAATCAAACAAAGGAGAAACACAAAGAAAAAATAGCCCTTGTTAGCTTCCCTCTTTGATGCTGGCTGAGCTGCTGTCACTGTGCAAGCAGTTTGCCGGCACTAGCTGTGTCGCTCTCTTGCTGCTGCTGCTGCGTCTTCCATGCTGCTGTGCCTTCAACCGCTCCAATTCCTGCCTCTGTGGACCGCCTTCGCTCTGTGCCACTTCTCGTGTCTTCCGGCTGGTCCGTTGCTTCCTTTACGCCTGTTTCTGTTTCCGTAGATACCTGCTGCTGTCTTTGCACTGACGTAGAGCCGAAGCTGTTCATGTGTGCGGCCCGCTGCTGCTCAGCAGCAGCAAGAGCAGTTGCCTGAGCAGCAGCAGTTGCTGCTGCTACTGCTTGCTCGTGTTTCTCCGCTTGCGTGCAAGCAACCTGGAAGGCAGCCCTGCCCTCAGCGTTCTCCAACCCCCAAATATCCTGTCTCACTTTCGCTGCCACTGCCTCCTCTGCCATGTTCACTGTCTTGCTTGCTGCAACAAGTGCTGCTTCTGTCTGTTCCTCCATGACCAGTGAATTGAGGGCCCCAGAAAGCCGCTCATACGCGTACACAGCCTTGTTGGCTTCCAGCCGCACTGCTGCCTCACGCTCCTCCTGCTGCTGCAGCCGCCGCTTCTGCTGCTCTCTATAGTCTTCACCAAAGGCAAGCCTTGTGTCTGCTCCTATTGCTGATGCATCCTCTTCTGCACGGATCGCCTCTTCCGTTTCTGCAAAATCAGCCATCTCTTCTGCATGTTTGAAGCTGAGCTCCCCCGACACCCGCCGCGCGATTGCTGATGCTGTCTTCGCCAGAGGCAGCAGCTTGCTGAGCACTGCTTCCGTGTGTCCTGTTCCAGCAGCAGCGGGCGGCTCCGGCATCTGCAGGAGCACCCTCAGCCTAGAAATCGCTTCCATGGCAGTCTGAATCCGATCCAAGTCGTTCCTCATCTGTTCGTACAGCCTAGCCTGTCTCTCGCCTGTTTCCAATAGTCCATATAGAGACAAATGACCTGCGGATATACTCCGTGCTGCTGCTCCCATAGCCAAAAGGCCGTCGCCAACACGGTCTGCGCTTACATAAAACTGCTGCAGCAGCGAAACCAGCTGCTCATTTCGCCTCTGAAAAGGATCCGTTTCAAGATCCTCGACGTCCGGCTGCTGTTTTGCCTCCCCATCCTGCTGCGAAGAGCCCTGCTGCCGCCGCCTTTGCCGCCCGCTGCTCCAGACTTTCCATTCGAGGTCTGCAAGGCGCAACCTTTCCGTCTCTGATATAGCGTAGCAGGAGGCAGCAGCTAGCCAGTACGAACTGGAAGAAAGATATATGCCCGCCCGCATAATTCCGTCGATTTCACTAGTCCATACTTCTGTGGCGTGCCTATACTTGCTTTCGATTTCCCCATAAGACTTCTGAGTTGCTGCTAGCGCCCTCGCTGTGGCAGTCACTGCCCAGAGCGGCCGCTGCAGCTGGTTGAGCATCTTCTGCACCTGCTCCTCCACCTCATGCTGCAGCTTCTCCGGGTCTTGCGTCCCCTGTTTTTCCTGCTGCTGCTGCTGCCCGTGTTCTTGCTGATGCTGCTCCCGCGGCTCCTGCTGCGGCGACTCCTGCGGCCGCTCCTTCTGCTGCACAGAAAGCTTGACCCTCCACTCTGCTGCTGACAGCAACGTAACTGCCTGCATCCGCGCTAGGTCTTGCGTTGCTGCTTGCTGCATCTCCTTAACGCCGTTCAGGTGTACAGACAGTATTAGGTCAGGCACGGGAGAGGCGGCGAATGCCTTGCTGTATAAGGCGGCGAAACGCTGCCCCGCTTGCTGCAGCAGCTGCTGCTCGGAATGCAGCTGCAGCACCAACTCTTCTGCTGCCTGCTGCTGACCCTCTATAGTCTCAGCAGCCATTGTATGCAGCCACTGCGCCTCCGCGAGCGCCGCGTTTACCTGATCTTCCAGTCGTTCTACTGTTGGCACAAGGCCTGCCGTTGCTGCGGCTGCTACTGGTTTGCCCGCTGCTCCGGCCGGCGGCGGTGCAGCAGCAGCAGCAACTGCCTGCTGCAGCTGCTGCAGCTCCGCCATAGCAGCAGAAACAGCAGTACGCATCCGCAAGAAACGCACAAAAGTAGAACTGCCCCCCAAGGTCTTCGCTAGGGCCTCAGTCTCATCCAGCAACGCCTGTAGTGTGTCTTGCTGCAGCAACGGCTTAAATGCTGCTGGCACTGCTGCTGCATTCGGGTCCCATGGCGACTCCTCTGCTGCTAACATTGACGCTGATGCTTCTCCTGCTGACTCCCGTGCAGCTGCTGCTTCTGCTGCTGCTGCTTCTGCTGCTGCTGCTGTCCTTGCCAGCTCTTCCGTTGACTGCTCCGCTTCTGGCGCAGCAGGTGGTTCTGGCTTTCGCTCTGCAGTGGCAGGCCCTGGTGCTGCTGCCGACGTCGCTGGTCTCTTCGCTGCTGCTGCTGCAGGTGCTGCAGCTGCTGCACTCGCTGCAATTTCCGCCGCTTTGGCTGCTGAGCTTTCCGCATCTCTCTCTGCTGCTGCGCCCCTCTGCCTGCGTAAGGGCAGCGGCACCCGCAGCAGCAGCAAAGCAGCTAAAAAGGACAGAAGCAGGAAGCCCTTTGTCAGGCGCGACTGGGGAAACAGGGCTGATCGCTTTGCTGCTACGGGGGGGCTTTCTGCTGCTGCTGCTGCTGCTGCTGCTGCTTTTGCTGAGTCCCATGTCTCCGTCCAAACAATATCAGCGTCCTTAGGCAGGGGATCCCAGCCGCGCGGGGCCGCGTAGCCACTCTTAGCTGGCCCCCGTGAGTTGGGTCTGAAGGGGCCCCTCAGGGGGCCCCTAATGGGGCCCCTCAGGGGCCCCTGAAAATGCAAAAGGTATGGAGAAATCCCTCTGGGGCTCAGATCTGGGCTAGTAGGAGGAGTGCCAGTGGTGAGTGCATCTCCAGCAGCCGTGGGAGCAGCAGCAGCAGCAGAAGCAACAGTGGTGGTGGCGGATATAGCCCCGTTCTCGCCTGCTGCTGCTGAGCCCAGAACCAAGAAACATACTGGTAGACAAAGGGCAAAGAACATAAAACGATAGAGAAACCTGCTGCAGCAACTGCCGCTGCTGCCATTGCTGCTGCTGCTGCTGCTGCTGCGGCTGCCGCCGTCAAAGGCAGCCAGGACCCGCCCACAGCTCCGGGAAGGCTTCATTGGGGTGGCGCTTCTATGAGCCCTTACTCCGCTCTTCTTCTTCCTAAGCTCTAAATCGTAAACCCTAGTTTTAGGCTTACAAAACCTCAGCAGCGCGGCTTAAGTAGGCCAGAGACGAAAACGGCCACTCATCTCCCTAGCCTCAGGGGGGCAGCTGAGCAGCAAAAAACCTTTCACAAACTTTGAAAAGTATAAGGCATAAGCCCTTAAAACTAAATCGGAAGTCGCGAGTCCCGGCCCCGCTTCTGAAATCGATACGTCAAGGCCTAGACCCAAAAGCCTACGCCGCAAGCTCTAAACTCTATCCCGCAGAGCTGAGAAGCGAAAAGAACCTCTGGAATGGCGACTGATGTCATTTATATAAACAATTTCAAACATAAAAAAGCGCCGCCGAAGAAATTAATTCAAAAAGACACAGTTGGGCGAACGCCGCTGCTGGTATCGCGCTGGCAGAAGGGGGAAGGATGCCCGGGACAACTTCTGCTTATTTGCGGGCAATCCATCCAACTAAATTGATCAACTTTACCATTTATAAATTAAGCACAAGAAAACGGAAATGCTGCTGCCCCTGCTTTCGAAACGCACGGGGAAGCTGCTGGCAGCCAACGGCCCAGTACAGTATCGACATGCTTGTGCGCCCATGCTTCTCCTGCCTTCTTAGCCCAGGCTGGAGCGAACAGTCCTTAGAAGTTACTGACAAATTGCAGTATCATATTTAATCAATTTATTTAATGCAAATACCCATCAAATCAGTTCCATTCAGAAGTCCCAAAGTCCTGGTCAGCCCACAATGTGGGAGACCAGTGCCAATGTCTTGTTTGGTGGATACAGCAGCTTGGGCACCCAACTTTCATAATAGTTGCTCTCCTTTTGAGTATTCTCATCTAGAGTTACGGTGCACCATAGATCCTCACTTGCAAGGGACCAGAGGAGTTCAGAAGACACGGCTCCGTGTAGCCGTGCCTCACAAGTCACTAGCCCAAAGTGAGCCTTTCAGAATTCATACAGAAGCTAAGACATTATATCAGACCTACATATAGTGTTCTGTGCTCAGTCTCTCGCCGTGCATCGCAAGAGGGGCCTGGAGTCCCAGCGCCGCTCCAGGGGCCTCGCCATCGCTAGCTGCAGCGGCTGTGGCTAGCTAGGAGGCCATATTTGGCTCTGGCTAGCCACTGCTAGCCAACCCTACGGCAGTGCTCGCTCTGCACATTCCGAATGCATGCAAGGCAACAGCCCTGCTGTCCGTGTTGCTGTTCTTGCTGGGTCCACCGCCACTGCTGCCGACAAGGCTGCCCGTGTTGCTGCGGCTCCTGTTGTTACTGTTGCTGCCGCTGCTGCTGCTGTTGCAGCTGAGGCTGCTGGTGCTTCTGCTGCTGCACTTCAAGCGTACATGTACCAACCTTCTTTTACTAAAGGTTACACCCTGAGCGATACTATCCATCCAAGAGGCAGTGTTCCAAAGAAGACCATCTGTTATCTGTGCATGCTCTCTGTACGTCCTTAGCTAGGGTTTAGAGTTTAGGGTTTGGCTTCAACGATCGTTGAAGTCGCGCTGGGCTGAGCTTCGAGCCCTCACTTGCAACACAACCGCACACTGCGCAGCTGTCTAGCGGCTGGCCTTGGCTAGCTAGCTATGGCTAGCCAGACGCATTTGGCTAAAGCCTAAATCCCTGATTCCAGGGGCAGAGTCACATGCAGCTATTTGATCTGCAGCAGCAGCAACTAGCAGCTGGGGTTCTGGGCTCAGGGTTTGGGCCCTACGGCTCGGACAAAAGGGGGAAAACAGACACGGTGTTTTTGTATATCCTGAGAAATGCAATAAGCCAAAACTCTAGATTGCAAGCCTTAAAGACTAAACCCTAAACCACCGGAGCGCCAGTCAGAAGCCCATCGCATACAGAGGAACACGCCACGAAATAGGGTTTAGGGTTTAAGGTCTAGGGTTCAGGGCTTACTTGCCAGGGCTTAGGGTTAAGGGCCTAGGGTTTAGAGCTTACTGTTCGGCGAAATCCTTCTCTGAGAGGTTGGGGGATACAAGCTGACGGACAACCTCCCCAACAGCGCTGCAAGCAAACCCTTAGCCCTACACTCTTCGCCATTAACCCAGTACCTAAACCCTATTTCCTAAAGCCTAAACCCTAGCAGCTGCAACCAACCAGTCTATCCCTTAAATGCAGCGCCTCAAGCGCTGCACCCTTGGTCCTAAACTCCAGACCCTAAGCCCTCCACCATAAACCCTAAGCCCTAAATCCTAAGTCCAAAACCGTAAGTCCCATCACTTTAAGCCTCTCTCACCTTATGTTGCACGGTTCGTTGCGCCCCTTTACTTGATCGTTTGCCGTCCACTTTTCTGGCTTAACTCCATTGAGCGCCGATTTCTGAACAGCAAACCTTAAACCCTAAACCCTAAATCCTCAGTACTTGCAGCAAAGGGGATTCATCAAACCCATATTTCCCGAACGCCAGACCCTAAAACCCAAACTGTTAACCCTGAACTTACTTGCTTATCACTGAGCAGAGCAAATCCTGCATGCGTTGGCCTCAGTCCGCACCAAGGAGCATCTGCAGCGCATAAACCCCAAACCTCATACCCCAACTCCTAAGAAACCCTAAACCCTTGAAGCATATTCGTGATGAATGAGAACGCGGTCTAAGGTTTAGGGTTTAGGGTCTAGCTTGCCCGTTTCCAAGAGTATGCGAGACAAGGGCAGCTGCCGGACAACTTCCAGGTTTTCTCTCGTCTTCAGTGAACAGCCGTTAATCCCTGAGCGCATGTCAAACCCCAAACCCTAAACCCTAAACCCTAAACCCGAAGCGTTGCACGTTCCGCGTACGCCGGTGTAGTTTCGCAGTGAGAAAGCCTCGAGCAGCTCAGAAACTGGGCTCTGGAGAAACAGCTGGGGGTCTAGGGTTTGAGATCTAGGGTTTACGGGTTTGCACCTATGTATAAGCCCTCATTTAGCAGCTCTTTCGCCTCTTCGGCTGTTCCAGTAAACGAATGGACAACTCCTCCCCTCCCCGCCCACAAACCCTTGCGTCGCCGCAGGATCTCTGCACCAGCAAAACAAACCCTAAACCCTAAAACTTAAAGCCCAAGACCCAGTTTAACCAGCCCGATACCGTTGGCTCGCTGCAACTCCAGCCTAGGGTTAAGGGTCTAGGGTTTACCAGTGAAGTCCGCAGCTGCATTTCTCATGTGCAGGAACAGCGGCAGCTGCAAGGAGTAGCCCAAAGCCAACTGCAGCTCAAAGCACCTAAGCTCAAGCCCACCGGACGCAAACTCTAAATCCTAAACCCCCAAACGGCTCGAAACTGATGCCTTGAGTTAATTTCGAGGGTTCAGGGTTTAGGGCGTGCCTACTGCTTCTGTGTTTCTGCATCGCAAAAGCGGAGCCTGTCGTAGTCCAGGCCAATCTCCCCTACAGCGACGACCCGCTGTCGCTGCTGCTGCTGCTGTTGCTGCTGCTGCTGCTGCAGCTGGTGCAGCTCGAAAAGACGCTCTACATATACTTTCGGGTAGCCACTCAGCCGCAGGCCCCCCTCTTCCACCTTTGATGCAAAGGAGTCGAATTCCTTGCTGCTGCTGCTGTTGCTGCTGTTGCTGCTGTTGTTGCTGCTGCTGCTGCTGCTAGTTTCTGCAGCAGCGAACTCCTCACAACGAGTCGGGTGGATCCCTACAGTCAAGAAGAGGCGTCTGCATTCAGAATCTGCGCGCAAACCCCAAACCCTAAACCCTAGATCCCAAGCCCTCAGCCAACCAACCTGAGGCCGAGCTGGCAAAGCCTAAACCCTAAACCCTAATTTGGCATTTCTAGACCTTGCTGGGGAAACGTTTTCCCATTAAAGCGCCCAGAGTCTAAGCGTGTCATAAGTGCGTGGCAAGGGTCCAGGCACTCTAATGTTTAGGGTTTAGGGTTTAGGGTTTGTGTCACCGTATGTCTGCGCGATTTGGAGGTTTGTGTGGAAGTCCTCAAACGCCCCCGTTGTCAGTATAATTTTGCCGACCCCCGCTGCTGTTGCCCTCTCCAAAACCCTACAGTGAAACCCAAGACCCTAAACCCTAAACCTTAAACCCTCGATGTCTTAGCAGCTCACCAACATTAGGCAACAGAGACAGCGTCCTGCCTGCTTGAGGGTCTAGAGCCTACTGGGTTCCCATGCCTAGTGGGGTTTGGAGTCGATTAGGGTTTAGGGTTTACTAGGGTTTAGTGCATGTTAGGGACATATGTTTACTGCTCTATATCTGGTGGGTGCTTTTGCTTCTCAAAATAGCAGCCCTTGTACATCGGATCGCAAAGGTTTGCCCCGATGTCCACATATGTTGGGCCGCTCATTGCTGTTGCTGCTGTTGCTGCTGCTGCTACACCTGTTGCTGCTCCTGCTGTTGCTGCTCCCGCTGCAGCAGCACTGTGCTGTTCCTCAGCCTCAGCTGCAGCAGGGTTGGCAAGGCAGCGAAGAGCTGTGGTACTGCCGACGTTGCTGCTGCCGTTCTTCCTGCTCCCCTTCTTGCTGCTGCGTTTGCTGCTGCCGCTGCTGTTGCTGCTGTTGCTGTCGTTACTGCTGCTGGGCCTCCAGCCCCCCCTTGGAATCTTCAAGAGCCTCTTCAGTGGATTTCTGGCGGCGCCCTTGCGGCTGCGGCGGCGCCGTGTGTCTTCAGGAAGAGCTATTTCGAAGCAGCACAGAGCACGCAGCACAAAATTTTGCTGCTGCTGCTGCTGCTGTTGGTAACAGGGCTGCTGCAGCAGCAGCCCTCTAGGCGTATGGAAACCGTGCAACGAATCCCAGTAAGCTGCATAGACTGCAGGCGATTTGAGAGTTGCTGCTGCTGCTGCTGCTGCAGTTGCTGCAGCTCCTGCAGCGGTTGGTGCTGGTGAGGATGGGCCCAACCCCGCAGCTGGGCCGCCTGCAGCGATGAAACTCCACCTCGGTCTTGCTGCTGTTCTTGCTGCTGTTGTTGTGTTTGCTTCAGAGAGAGAGGAAAGGCGAGAGCCCGCTGCACCGTAATTGCAGCAGCAGCAGCAGCACAAAAGCAGGGTCACCAACGGCCGCGACAGAGCTGTAAATTTTCTGCAGGGAGCTGCACTCATGACCATTCTTATTCTGCTGCTGCCGTTGTTGATGCCTCTGCTGCTGCTGCTGCTACTGGAGCTGTAGAGCTCTTCTTGTGGTGTAAGAGCAGCTAGAGCAGCTCTAAAGAGCTTAGCTGGTATCACGCATTACACAAACCCTAAACCCTAAATCGCAGTGGGCAAGATACATTCGGCGGGGCTGCTGCCTCTCCAGGGGCCCGTTTTCCCAAGCCATTGACCCTAAACCCGAAAGCATAAGAGTTAGGCTCTGAAGACTGAAATATAAATACTAAATAGCACTCCTTTGACTTGTTAGGACTTTATAAGCACAAAAACTCGAAGCCCTCGACCGTAAATCCGTCGGGGAGCCTGTGCCTCAGGTCGGCTGCCCATCTGGTCATGTTCACGGTTTAAGCCTTAAAGCCTAAACGCTAAACACTACAGCATTCACATTAATTTATTTTTCATCAAATGCATAAATATGGAATTAGCTTTAACTCATTTCAATACATTCACGAGGAGGGACGTGTCTGCGCAAAATTCGCAGAAGTTACCATTAGGGCTTAGGGTTTTGAATTTGGGGCCAGTTTTTCAGCAGATCATAATTAAAAACCCCAAAAGTAGAAGGATTAGACTGAAAAGCTCTCGCATCTAGAGGCTCTGGCTACCTTGCACACGGGGCGGCTCTGGAGTCTGGGGTTCGAGGCTTGTGGTTTACGGTTCGGATTTTGGGTTTACGTTTTCGGTTTACAGTTTTGGGGTTTAAGTTTTGGGATTTTAGAGCCCAATTTTATGTTTCAAAATGCGTGTCTACACTTTTGCAGGTAACGATTCAAACGGAGTTGCAAGAATGCTTGTCTTGGAGGTGGTTCGCTCGTAGCTGCCTATTAACGGATATTGGACGGCAAATCTACAAATATGTGCACATGCCTATATATGCATAGATGAGCACATGTGTAATGCAGATATGTGTAGTGATGCTTATCTCTTTTAGGGAGCTGTACGGTCTTTTGATACCAGAAGGTGCTGCCCGAGTGGAACTTCAGAAACACTAGAACAGTTCCAACAGAAGATATTCCACTTCCACTTGAGCGATTCTAGCCTTAAAAAATGACAGAGGGATGTTGCCCCACAAGAAGATGAGGGGATTCTGGGGAACTCAAGGCGGCAGATTCCACATACAGCAACGTCAACAATTTTCGTTTCAAGCCACACACTCTCTGTGCACTCTTGAGCACTTTCTTCGTTCAAGTTGATATTTTTGGGTCGATTCCTCGGCTGACATGACACGCCTCCACTCTCTGGAGCCTAGGGCTTATCTAGCCGCTCGCCTCATCGAATTTTTCTCCGACTCCTCATGAAAATCGTCTCGTAGGAAATGCCGAAAAAAGAGATTTAAGCGTGTTTTCTAATAAATCTTTTAGTTGTGCCATTAGCCACTTGCCTTAACTTCATCGCGCCTACAGTATGGCGAGAGAAAAGCTTGAGCTGTTCTCTCTCCAAGCCTTCTTTTGCCACCGGCGCTATAGACAAGTCTAATCCATGCTGCACTATTTCCGGAGTTATAATAGCACTCTAGCTTGCAGACCTAAGAGATTTCAAAGTATCCGGCTCTATATATTCAACTAAGAAAGTGAAAACAGATGCATCAATGAAACAGGGCTACCAGGAAAGAAGGCAAACGTGTTTTCTCAGACGAATGAACTGGTGACCTCTCAGCCAGTGGGGAGGGCACTAAGCTTAAATGAACGGAGCGCTACCGCAGCGATGCTCTGGGGGCTAAATATATAGAAGAACAGCCATAAGGGCTGAATCTTTGTGGGCCTGCATACTCCAAAAGCTTATAACTTAACCCCCCACTATGCAGAGCCCCCGCAGTTAGGATCACCGGGTGTGCGTGTGCTGCAGCGCGTACAAAATGTGCGCAGCTGGGGCAGATTGGGCTGCTGCTAGAGAGTCAAAATACTTCGCTGCGTTCCTGAAAACTGTCGAACAAATAGAAGTAGAAGGCCAGAGGAGCGTCCGTAATGTTGCTGCCAGTGACGTGTGTGCTGTGAATCGGGAAGAGTCAGCCGCGAGACGGGGAATAGCATCTTACGCCCTTCACTAAGTTGCTGTTTGGTCTTATGAGGCATTTAATTTTTCATCAACAATTTATAGATGATTCTGTAGCATCTTCTTACAACAACAGTAAAAGTATTCAACTTCTCCAGTGGCCGAGTGCATGCTTTGTAGAGCAAAATAGCCACCTGGTGAACGAAGCAGCAGGCTTTCTGTGGTGGGCACGTCTCGCAGCCGCTGGCTCATCACTTCAACATCAGTTGAGAACATCAGTTATTTGCAGACAACTGAAAGCGCATTTCCGGCCCCTAAATGGGCCTTTTTTGCATATCTCTATTTGTTCCGACCATTTTGGTCCCAGAGAAGCTCTGTGAAACCTTCCCCTTTTTCAAACTCTAACATTGGCATTCTTCTGCTGATGGAAGAAAGCATTGTGGATAAACCCAAGCCATGCTTTATTCCAATACTTTCGCGGACACCTGCAATATACCCCTTGGGCAACTTTGCAACGGCGTGGTTTAAGAAAACCCAAAGGCAACCACTAGATAAATTTCGACAAAAGACGGTGTACTTATATCTATGTATTTTTATATACGTGTTCTCGTTAATGATGAAACGCAGATATTAAATATGTACATACACGCTGAACAAGCTTAAGTGAACGTCGACAATTACAGTGTACGCAAATAGCTACTCTCGTGGACATATTTATTTGTTTGACTTATACTTCTGTGCATGCACTTTCCATTCAGTGTTTTTGCGTGTGTTTTCTCCAAAATTGGTGTCTGTGCATCCCCACAGCCCAATGTTTTGATCTTTTCTTATTCGTGTTCGGCCTCTCCAGCGCTAACTACAAAGAAATGTAGTGAGAACCACTGAAGACTTCAAACTCAAGACCAGAATCCTAAAGGCCACGTTTTGGAGCCAAAGGGTGAGATAATAGGCTTTAGATATCCCACTGCTCCAATGAACCTAAACCCTAAGGTTTCAACGCAGGCAGCTGTGAGCAGGCATGATTTCTTTTTTATACGTGAGCCCACGAGCTTTGAAGACTGAAGGTGAATAGCCTGAGGCGCTTAACAGTTTTTAATAAAACCAGCTAGCCAAAAATAAACTAGATATGAGTATGCATAGGGCTTCTCGAACAGCGGCGCGAGCCATCAAAGACTGTTGTGCTGTAAGCCCTAAACCCCAGAACGTTGAAACCTCTCCTTAAAAGTCTCAGGTCCAACACTTGCATATTCCAAGCTTTGGGCAGGAAAATTCCAAACCCTAAACCCTAGAAAACCCTGACGCTTAAATGCTGACAGCATCACACCGAAAGCTGCAAACCCTTAACCGAACCTGAATCGCAAGCCACACAGTTTGAGTCCAAAACCGTAAGTCTTAAGCTCTGGGTTCCTGCTTTCGTGAGGCCTTTTTGGTTTTTATGGGGACTTATTTAAGTGGAAAATGTTTACTTTTTGCTGTTGTGTTTGTGGCTGGCTGGTCCGCGAGCACCCCGTACATAGGGTGAATGCATACCTCAATAATTACTGAGCCTTGACGGGAAAATTTTATTGTCTAAAACTATTTTAAAATCAATCTGCTTAATTATCTTCAAGAAGTTAAGGGTAAGCTCTACGCTGTGAACCCTAAACTCTAAACCCTAGACCATCGAGCGGCGAGCACGGGGCTGCGCGCCCGCCAGTGCAGAGCCAACGGTGAGGGACTAGGGTTTGAGCCCATGTTCTTCAAGGTTTGGGGCTTAGGCTTTAGGGTTTAGGGGTTATAGACAGCAAAATGGAAACCCTGCCTGCAGAGCCCGAGGCTCTGGAGGCCGTGGGGCCACTGGGATCGATCGATCCCGAAGGGGGGCTCGAGGTGACCCTGGCCACCAGCTCCCCGAGGCCAATACCAGAAGCAGCGGCAGAAACAAGTGAAATGCAAGAGCAGCACCAAGAGCAACAGCAACAGCAACAGCAACAGCAGCAGCTGCTGACGCTGCAGCAGCTCAATCGGGAAATTCAAACTGCCAATGACTCAGTGGACACTTCCTTTATAGAAATGGTTGCTGCTAGCGCTGCAGAGCAACAGCAGCAACAGCAGCAACAGCAGCAAAATGGAATGCTTGAACAGGAAGGGAAGGATTCGAAGGAGCCGCCTCAAAAGGGGGAGCTACAGGAAATGCAGCGGCAGCGGCAGCGGCAGCAGCAGCATCACCACGAGCAGCAACAGCAACAACAGCAGCAACAGCAGCAGCAGCAACAACAGCAGCAACAACAACAGAAACAGCAACAGCTACAGCTGGAACCTCTTAGGAAGAGAGCGAAGGTTCCCTTCATTGCGCACCGCAGCAGCTGCGGCAGCAATCAACTCTCAGAGTGCCCTCCTACAGTTCCTCTTCCAAGTTAGCCCTAAACCCTAGACCCTAAACCCTAAACCCTAAACCCTAAACCCTAAACCCTAAACCCTTAGCTCTAAGCACTGGGGGTTATGGAGTGGGTCCCCGCAGGGAAGGTTGGAGGCGAAGGTCCGCCGCGCTGTACGCAGCAGAGAGCTGTGGCACGAAACGGCAACAATCCAGCAGCAGCTGCAGCAGCGGCAGCAGCGGCAGCAACAGCGACAGCAACGGGACCCGCAGCAGCAGAAGGAGAGACTACGCAGTGCCTCCGCGTGGCCAAGCAGCGCGTGGAGGAACTCACCACTCACCTCAGCCACCTCGTCTACCAGAAGCAGGCAAAAACTTCTAAACCTTAAACCCTAAACCCTAAACGCTGAATCCCAAATTCTTGCTCTCGCCCCTTTTTTCATATTTAGTACTCGTTTATACGAAATCAATTTGAATCGTAGCAACTGCTGCTGCGGCTGTTGCTGTTGCTATCGTTGCCCCTGCTCGTGCTCTACTGCTACTGCTGCTGCTGCTGCTGCTGTTGCCGCTGCAGGTTGTTTCAGAGGCCCGTTGTGCATATGATGAAGCTTGCTTGCTGCAGCAGCAGCAACTTTTAGCCATTGAGTATGAGAGGGAAAAGGCGCTGCTGTTGCTGCAGCGGCTGCTGGACGAAAAGCAGTGGGCAATACATCTCTGATTCCAAAGGCTGAACCCTAAACCCTAAACCCTAATTTTGCCAAACGACTAAACCCTAAACCCTGAACTCTCGGGACAAGAACCCCGGCCTCCCCTCATGGCGTCTAGCTTTCGGTGCTAGGCTTGAAGAGCGCTGCATTTGAGGTTTTGCCGTCTACACTTTGGGACTTAGGATTTAGGGTTTAGGGTTTAGGGTTCACAGTTCAAAGCTGTTCAGGGCAGTAAACGACAAGGTTGTTGCGTACGAAGTTATCTGCGCGACAAAGCCCACTGAGAAGGGCCAAACCACAAATAATTGTTTGGTAAGCAATGTGTAAGCTCGAAACCCTAGGCCGTGAACGCCAAACCCTAAACCCTAAACCCTAAACCCTAAACACCAAACCCTGAACACTGGCTTACACAGTTCCGTTGGGCCCGTCTGGTGCTTTTAAATGCAGGACGATCTCAGCCACTGCGACAGCAGCACCACCGAGAACAACGGCAACAGCAGCGACAGCAGCAGCAGCAGCAGCAGCAGCAGCAACGACAATAGCTGCCCTGAGGTCGAAGTGGTTGCAGTTAAGGTGATGGAGGTCTCACTGACGCCGCGCACTAAGCGGCGAAGGCTCGCGAAGGTTGCAGCTACCAAAATACAGGCAATGCTCAAACCCTAAACCCCAAACCCCAAACCGTGGACATTGGACCCTGAATCCTAGGCCTTGAGCTCTACACATTAAACCCTAAACCCTAACTGATAGATTTTCATCAGTAATATGAGATCAGCTATTTCTGCAGATCATGTGGGTCTGCAATGATTGAGCCGCTCTAAACTTGTAATTTAGGGTTTAGGGTTTAGGGTTTAGGGTTCAGGGTTTGAGTACAGGCAAGGTGGCGGGGATACGCCGCGCGTTGCGCCCTTAAGCGCGAGCGCTGCATTGCTGCTGCTGCTGCTGCTGTTCTCAACAGCTTTGCTTCAGCAGCAACAGAACTCCAGCGCAAGATCAGAGGCTTGCTGCAGAGAAGGTCGGTGCCTTAACTCTAAACCCAAAGCCCTCAATCCCAAACCCCAAAACCCAAACGCTAGATCTAAATTCCAGACCGTTGCACAGTGAGCTCTGTTTGAATAGGCAGTATTTGGAGTATGTTCGCACGAAGCTGCTGCTGCCACAAAAGCCAGCAGCAGCAGCAGCAGCAACAACAACAACAGCAGCAGGAGCACGAGCAACAAGCCCAACGAAGGCAGCAACAGCGAAAAAAAAATTCAAAGGGGTCTCACGAGAAACGCAAACTCCTGGCTGCAACTTTGAGCAGCAGCAGCAGCGTCAGAACGAGCAGCAGCAGCAGAGTCGGCAGCAACATGAGCAGCAGCAGGAGGAGCAGCGGCAGCGGCTCTCCGTCGTGGAGCTGCCTGTGGCGGTCACTAGCAGCCGCGGCTCCGTGTGCAGCTTCCCGCACCAGCCGCAGCAGCAGCCGCAGCAGCAGCAGCAGCAGCAGTTGGGTGTTGCAGTCTTTTGCTGCGAGAGCTGCGAACAGAGGCGAATTGCTGTTTGCTGTTCTCGCTCTGATCTGCTGCCGCTTCCTGGAGTTTCTTTCGGGTGTCTGTACGCCTCAGTAACCAAAATACAGAGGGCCATTCGAAGCGCCATTATCAGGGCTAAATGGAAGGCAAACCCTAAACCCTAAACCCTACACCCTAAACCGAAGCCTTAAATTCTAATCTCGTTATTTGCAGAGTCTTCAGCTAAATCCCTTGCTGCTCCGGAGGTTGCCTGCACAGCCACAAACCCTAAGTCCTACATTCTAAACCCCAAACCCTAAACCCTAGATGGTACCTCTAAACCCTAAACCCTGGACGCTTTGTCTCTGCGCGCAGTCAGTGCTGGCGAGGCTGCAGCACCGCAAACGCTACGCCGCGCTGCTGCAGCGAACCTCTTTGCTGCTGCAGCAGTGGCAGCAGCTGCGGCTGCTGAACCCAAAAGACGAACAAAGAATGTTGCTTACGGCAAGCCACCAGCTAGCCACGATCAAGCGCATGAAGTTAGTCCCAAGCGTCTAAACTAAACCCCAAACCCTAAACCCTAAACCCTAAACGCTAACCCCTAAGTCCTAAACCGTGAACCGTAAACATACACCGTAAATACCCAGCCCTGAACCTGAAACCGTGAACGCTGGACCCTAAATCCTAAACTCTGAGCCTTGAACTCAAAACTTTAAGCCTTAAACCCTAAACCCTAAGCCCCGACGCAAAAGTGCAAATTATGAGTCCGAAGCTACACAGCGTGAAACGCTCACCGGGGCCTTCAGCTCCACGCCCAAAAATACAAACCCTAAACTCTAAACCCCACTCTGCCAAGTGCAGCGCTGAGCCTGAATGCATTACTGCAGGCGTTTCTTCACATTAAGGTTAGCACTAGGATTTAGGGATAAGCGTTTAAGGGCTTAGAGTTGAGGGATAGAGGTTTAGGGTTTTGGACCAGGGTTAAGGGTTAAGATTTAGGGTTTAGCGCCAGCGCTTTGGGTTTCGGGTTCAGGGCAAATGTTTTGAGTTCAGGGTTTGGAATTCAGGGCTAGGGTTTAGGGTACAGGCTTTAGGGTTTAGGGTTTAGGGTTTAGAGCAAGAGCCATCCTTTGCAGGGCTAATGCGGGGTCACCCCGTTCGCAGCGGCAAGCAGATGCAGCAGAGCGGCTGCTGCAGCGCTGCTGCCGGCGGCTGCTGCTGCAGCTGCCGTTTACTTGCCGGAGTCATTCCTTTACGAATTTGCTGGTGACGGAGAAGCAGCAGCAGCAGCTGCAGCAGCAGCAGCTGCTGCTGCTCAACCAGCGAAACCTTGTTGAAAGTGCACAGTCCATCTGGGTGGGGTACGGATTCCACTTTTGTTGCTGCTTCTGTTGCTGCTACTTCTGTTGCTGCTGCTGCCGTTGCTGCCGTTGCAAATACTGCAAACTCTGCTCATTTTCTTTTGTCACTGCAGCTGGTTCTGCTGCCCTTGCTGCTGCTGCTGCGGTTCAGGCGCAGGGCGAGCGCTGCTCCTGCGACGGCAGCAGCAGAGCCTTTCAATCCCTCCAAAGCTGCTCACGCCCCAGCTGCTGCGTTAGCAGTACCAGCAGCAGGTCCAGCAGCAGCTACAGCAGCAGTACCAGCAGCAGCTGCTGCTGCAACTGCTGTAGCACCACCAACACTTGCAGCATCTCACCTTGCAGCAGCAGCAAAAGACGCCGATGTCTCCTCGTCCTCCACGCTGCTCAGTAGCGCTGCAGCAGGAACAGCAGCAACAACAGGAGCACGCGGTGTCAGCAGCAGCAACAACAACAACAGCAGCACCAAAAGCAAAGTCCGCTTTCTTTCGTCTTCACCCTCAGCAGCAGCTGCTGCTGCTGCTGCAGCTCCAGCAGGGGCCACCGGCTTGTCAGCATTGCCAAGCGTCGGGATGGCCTTTTTGAGCACTTTTGCAAAAGGGTCAACGTCTGTTGCTGCTGCTGCTGCTGCTGCTGGCGGCGTCAAGTTCCCCTTGGACGTGTCGGTTGCTGAGGCTGCAATTGCTGCGGCTGAGGCTGCTGCTGGCACGTCTTCTGTGGAGCGCCGGGCCGCCGCCGTGCAGCAGCAGCAAGCAGCAGCAGCAGACGCGCATGCAGCAGCAGCAAATACTGAACGGCAGCTGCTGCTGCTGGAACGCAGGCTCTACAAGAAGGGCACATTAGCCAAGTTGCGCACAGCTGTTCGATTCACAGCCCAAAACCGCATAAAGACTTTCTTGCAAGACGGCAGCCTAGCAGCAACTCCTCTCAGGGCCCCTGCTGCTGCTGCTGCTGCTGCTGCGCAGGGGACTGTGAGCGTGCAGGGGGGCTTGCTACGGTCAGCCCTGGCATCTGCCGCAGCAGCAGCAGCAGCGGCTACAGCTGCTTCAAGCATTACAGGAGGAACTATGACAACAATGGGGGCTGCAGCAGGCGCAGCAGCAGCAACTGCTGCAGCCGCGGCAGCGACGGGCGAGGCGGCTGCCAGTCTCTTCCCAGAAAGTCTGGGCCCCGGTGCTGCAGCAGCAGCAGCTGCAGCCGCAGCAGCTGCTGCTGCGAACGGCGAACCAGCAGCAGCTAACGGCTTTAACATTTCCACTGCGACGCTTGCAGGCGTAGGCACAGCAGCAAACACGCCAGCAGCAGCAACAGCAGCAGCAGCAGAGGAGTCCAAAGAGGGCACTCGAAGGTGCCTCAGCGCCTACGGGGAGAGACAGCCAGCCCGCCTTCAGTGGATGGGGTATGGGGGGGACGAACTCAACGAGGCCATCCGGCAGTTCATGATCCTGTAAACCCAAAACCCTAAACCCTAAACCCTAAACCCTAAACCCTGAGCCCGAGGGCTTGTTTTTGCTTCATTGAACACCGAATAGAGTGATGAAGAAACGTCTACCAAAGGTATGCAGCGCTGGGAAATGCAGAGAGTCCGCACTGGGCCTAGAGTGACGCCCAAGCGTCTGGGGTTTAGGGTTTAGGGTTTAGGGTTTAGGGTTTGTGGCTGGAGGTTCGCTGCAGCAACAGAAAAAGCGGGCGCATGCTGGCGGAACCGGGCTTTCGCGGGGACAGGCAGCAGGCCTCTAAAGGCATGCAAAAAGCCGGGCTTCTTGGGAGCCCCAGGTCTCAAACACTAGGCACCAAACCCTAAACCCTAAACCCTAAAGCCCAAACGCTACAAGCTAGGCGCTGACGCACAGCGCAGTCCCAAACCTTAGGACAAATATCTTAAAGGTTTCGGGCCTGAGTAAAGTGCCAAATTAAACGGCCGGAGCCCCGGCATTGCAGATGCGGCCCTCTAGAGTCCAGACTTCAGGGTTTAGGGTTTGGGGTTTAGGGTTTGCGAGCAGCGAGGAGTTCAAGTGGACACCTGTCCGCTTTTCCCCCTGGTCTTATCTGTCGCGAGGCCTTAAACACCCCATCTTTCAGCACCCGCCGCAGCTGGGTCTGCTGCTGCAGCAGCAACGGCAGCAGAAGCAGCCAGGCCAGCTGCTGCTGGAATCCTCAGCTGCAGCAAGTGCAGCAGCGGTAGCAGCAAACCCTACGATAGATGAGGCAGCCTTGTGCCGGCGGCTCAGTCAGCCTCATTCCAGCACAAACCCTAATTCTAAACCTTAAGCCCTACTCCCTAAACCCTAAACCCTAAACCCTATACACTAAGCCCTTAACCCTAAAAATCTAGTCAACGCCTGCCATCGTAATCCACCACACTTTGCTGTCGACATGCTTTGCCTCCTACCTAGATTCTTGCGGATAAGCCTAAACCCCAAATGCTGAACCCTGAACCCCAAACCCTTTAGCCGAAACCCTAAACCCTGAGCTGTAAACAGTAAACCCTAATGCATGTGCTGCAGCAACTGAGCTAACTCAGAATAGCCCCGCCACCACAAGGTGGCTCGGCTTCCGCAGGCGGATGGCCCTCTACAATAACTATCCGTGAGTCAAGGGTTTAGGGTTTAGGGTTTGGGGTTTAGGAGTTCTAGGGTGTAATGCCAAAGGTGCAGCGCCAAGTCTAAGGCCTGCCTGCTAGGGTTTAGGGTTTAAGCCTTAGGATTTGCTGCTGTTTTGACCTGCAGCACAAACTCATCTCCGAGATACAGCCGTCTTCAAAGCAACCCCGGCAAGGCAGCGCCCGCTCAGGGTTTAGGGCTTAGGGTTTAGGGTTCAGGGTTTGGCTTAATTAGCTTCCAACTTCGACAGCAGTACACAGTCTAGGGTTTTGGGTTTAGGGTCTGTGCTGCAGCGTACGGCAGATCTCTAACCAGTCCGCGGAACGAGCAGCAAGAAGCAGCAACATCAGCAACAGGTGCAGCAGCAGCAGCAGCAACAGCAGCGAAAACTGCAGCAGCAGCTGCAGCGTCACCAATGGCCAAAGACACACCGAAAGCAACGGCAAATCCTGCAACAGCAGCTCCTGCTGCTGCACCAGCAGCTACAACACCTCCCGTGGAGGCAGCAGCAGCTCAAGCAGAGCCTGAAGCAGCAACATTAGCAGCGGAAGCAGCAGCAGGCCAGCCACAGCCGGAAGCATTGACAGCAGCAGAAGCAGCAGCAGCGCAGCCACAGCCGGAAGCATTGGCAGCAACGGAAGCAGCAACAGCTCCGGGAGAGTCTGAGGCAGCAGCTCAGGGAGAGTATGAAGAAGCAGCAGCAGCTGAGGGAGAGTGTGAAGGAGCAGCAGCAGCAGCCCAGGTACAGATTGAAGCAGCAGCTGCAGCAGCACAGGAAGAGCCTCTAGGAGCAGCAATAGCAACACCAGAAGCAGCAGCTGAATACCCGGACCCAGCAGCAGCAGTGACACTAGAACCAGCAGACTCGGCTGCAGCAGCAACTGCAGAAACACCTGTTGCACCTGCAGCACCAGCATTTGTACCAGCAGCAGCAAGTGAAGCAGTAGCAGCAGATGAAGCAGCAGCAGCAGATGAAGAAGCAGCAGCAAATGAAACAACAGACGCAAATAAAGTGCCACAAACAATTGAAGCAGCAGCAGCGAACGACGCAGTAGCAGCACCTGAGCAACCAGCAGCACCTGAACCAGTAGCAGCAAATGAAGCAGCAGCAGCAGATGAAGCAGCAGCAGCAAATGAAGCGGCAGCAGCAAATGAAGCAGCAGCAGCAGATGAAGCGGCAGCAGATGGAGCAGCAGCAGCAGATGAAGCAGCAGCAGCAGATGAAGCAGCAGCAGCAAGTGAGGCAGCAGCAGCAAATGAAGCAGCAACAGCAAATGAAGCAGCAACAGCAAGTGAAGTAGCAGCAACAGATGAAGCGGTGGCAGCAAATGAAGCGGCAGCAGCAGATGAAGCAGCAGCAGCAGATGAAGCGGCAGCAGTGGATGAAGCCGCACCAGCAAACGAAGTAGCAGCTACACCCGAACCATCAGCAGCAAACGAAGCGAAAGAAGTCCCTGAAACAGCAGGAACACCTGAACCGGCAGCACCTGCACCTGAAGCAGAAGCAGCAGACGAAGTACCAGCAGCAAATGAAACAGCAGCAGCAGATGAAGCAGCAGCAACAACTGAAACTGCTGCAGCACCTGAACCAACAGCAGCACCTGAACCAAAAGCAGCAAGTGAAGCAGCAGCAAGTGATGCAGCAGAAGCAGCTGAACTAGAAGCTGCAAGCGAAACAGCAACAGCACCTGAACCAGCAGCAGCAAATGAATTGACAGCAGCAGAATCAGGCGATGTGGCAGCAGCACCTAAGCAAGCAGCAGCAGATGAAGCAGCAGCAGCACTTGCCCCACCAACAACATCCGCAGCAACAGTGCAGATAGCCAAATCCCTCAACAGCGATGACGTAAACGACGCATACACCCAGCAGCAAGATATGCAACAGCATCAGCAGGCGCAGCAGCAGCAGGAGCAGCAGGAGCAGCAGGAGCAGCAGCAAGAGCAACAGCAACAGCAGCAACAGCAACAGGAACAAAACCTGCAGCTGGAGCCGCTGCTGCAGCAGGACTCCGAACTTCTGCAGCAGGAGCAGCAAAAGCTGTACGGGCACCTTTGGCAGCCTGCACAGCAGCAAAAGCGGCAGCAGCAGCAAGTAGCTGCGCGGAGGAGCACGTGCAGCAGCTGCACCAGTAACAGCAGCAGCACCAGCAGCTCTTCGCACTTCAGCAGGCGAAGACGTACGGAGGACAGCAGCACCTCCTCTTTCTTGCTGCAGCAGCAGCAGCAGAGACAGAGACAGCAGCTACAACAGCAGAGGCAGCCGCAGCAACAACAAGAACTTTTGGGCCTGCAGCAACAGCACCAGGAGGAGGACGAGCAGCAGCAAAAGCAGCAGCAGCAGCAGCAACAGAAGGAAGAAGAGGAGGCGGAACTGCAGAGGAAGCTACAACTGCAGCGGAAGGTGCACTTGGGAACTGAAATGACAGCAGCTGCAGCGGCAACGGCAGCAGCAGCGGCTGCAGCACAGGCAGCAGCAGCAGCAGCATTGCGGAGGGAATCGGTCCGGCAGGAGCGCTTGAATGCACTGCACCTTATGTCTTCAACCGGTGTGGCTGCTGCTGCTGCTGCTGCTGCGTCTGCGGCTGCCCTTGCTGCTTCCGCCGTTGCTGCTACGTTTGATGTTGCTTGTGCTTGAGTTGCGTTGCTTGATCCTGCTGTATCTGCTGCTGCATCTCCTGCAGCGGCCTTCGTTGCTGTTGCTGTTTCTATCGCTGCTGCGCGCGTTGCTGCTGCACCTGTTGCTGCTGTGTCTGCTGCTGCTGCCTGGCCGCTGCTGCTGCCGCAGTTTGTGCCATCACGCCGCTGCCGCTGCTGCTTACGCTGCCGCTGCTCAGATCGGTGTAGCATGGCTTGTTCGCTGCACTGCTGCACTGCTGCTACCGCTGCTGTTGCTGCCGCTGCTATTGCATGTAGAAGCTTCTGTTGTGTGCCTGTTCCTGCAGCAGCAGATGCAGCAACCACGCCTCTGCTGCTGCGCCGCAGCATATCCTCCCAGAGCAGCAGCAGCACTGAGTCCGCCACTGAGGGAAGGAGAGGGAGCGACCGGCAGCAGCAAGGGGGGCCTGCTGCTGCGGCTTTTGCTGCTGCTGCTGCTGCCACTGCTGCAGCCGCTGGTGCTGCGGGCACCTTCTCCAAAAACTCGCCGCGCAGAGACCCAGCTAATGCTTACTACCAGCACCTGCCGCCCATTTCGTTTCTACAGGGCACAGCAGTCCTGCGGGCACCAGCAGCAGCAGCAGCAGCTAGAGCAGCAGGAAGAACAGAGACGGCTGCAGTGGCAGCAGATGCACCAATGGCAGCACGCATAACTGAAAAAGGCGCTGCTGCTGCTGCACCCATTGCTGGAGTGTTATCGAGTGCTGCTGCAGCAGCAGATGGAAGACCAGCAGCGCCTGCTGCACCCGGTTTCACGGTCCGTTTCGACATGAAGCAACGGCAGCAACAGCAGACCCAACTTCGGTTTTGTTGCCGAGGCAAGACTCTGCAGGAAATAGTTGCTGCTGCCTCTGCTGCGCGCAGCAGCAAAGGCAACAACAACAGCAGCAACAGCAACACCCGGGGCAGCAGCAGTGGCCAGCAGCCTTCGCAACACTCAGATCTGCACGAGGAGCTGCGTGAAGCCGCATCTGCAGCAGCACAAGCTGCAGCAGCAGCACAAGCAGCAGCAGAAGCTTACAAGACCTTAGAGCAGCATGAGCGGCAGCGAGCCAAACAGCAGCAGCAACAGCAGCCGTCAACGCCCCGCCGCAGCAGCAGCAGCAGCTGCCCCACATGCAGTCGCAGACCAGCCAGGACGGCAGCACCAATTGTAGCGGAGCAGCAAGAGCAGCAAGAGCAGCAGCAGCAACAGCAGCACCAGCAGCACAGACGCACAGGTGGCCGTAGCAACAGCAGCACCAACTGCGGCGGGGAGACATGCAGCTGTGTCTACGCTATATTGCGAGCAGCACACAGCAGCAGCAACAGCAGCAGCAGCAACAGCAACACTGAAGACACAAAGGCAGAGGCTGCTGCTGCTGCTGCCCTGTCTGCCGCAGCGGCAGGGCCCGCCGCTGCAGTTGCAGAGGCCTTAGTCGCTGCTGCGCCTGTCTTGGAGGCAGCAGCTGCAGCTGCAGCTGCAGCGGATGAGATGACACGACAGGGATAGACCAATCGCATGCAGCAGCAGCAGCAGACACCGCAGTTGCTGCTGCCGTTTCCATCGCTGCTGCAGCAGCACAGCACTTGTTTATATGGCTGCTGTATGTGCAGCTGTGCTGCAAGTGCAAGCCGCAGCAGTAAGCAGCAGGAAGCAACGGAAAAACAACCAAGCTTTTGTAAACAAAAGCCCAAACCTAGAGCCTAGGCCCTAAACCCTAGACGCTAAACCATAAACCCTCAGCATGCATTCAAATTATGGAAATTGAGCTCCAGTTCGCTCATATTTAAGTCTTGAAGCCAAAACCAGGGGCCCCCAGAAACGAACCTCGCGGGGGCCCCGCTTTGGGGCCCCCACAGGGGGCCCCACAGGGGGCCCCACGGGGACCTTGAGGGGCCCCTTGAGATTTCCCATTAGCCCTTAAACGCCAGATAACGCCCCAGCTTAAAAACTGCCCCACTTGGGGGCCCCTGGCCCATGCTCATGGGCCCCTATGCCCGGGGGCCCCTATGGCCAGGGCCCCCTGTGGCTGGGGGCCCCTCTGGTGGGGGGCCCCTATGGACAGGGGCCCCCATGGCCTGGGGCCCCTAGAACTGGGGCCCCTACAGCTGAGGCCCTTCGTCCCTTGGGACCTGGGGACCCCCAAAAACCCCCCAAGGCCCCTAAAGGGCCCCTCAGGGGCCCTAAAAAGCGCCTCAAGGCCCCTGAAGGGCCCCTCAGGACCTCCAAAAAACAACTTAAAGCCTTTAAAGGGTCCCCCAGGGCCCCCAAGAAACCCCGACGGCCCTTGAAGGGCCCCGAGGGGCCCTTAAATGGCCTTTACAGGGCCCCCGACAAGGGCCTGTGCAAACCCTGTAAAGAGCTTCTGTGCAGCTCCTATTAAGCACCAGATGGCCCCTAAGAAAGCCCTGAGGGCCCCAAAAAACGCCCCTGCAGAACCCCCTAAAGAGCCTCTCTAGGGCCCCCCAAAGGCCGCCACAGGGCCCCTAAACGGCCCCCTTAGGGCCTCTCTACAAAGCCAACAAAGGCCCTCTTCATAGGAAGTGCTCCGCAGGCCCACGGGGGCCCCCTCAGACCCTTGCTGCTGCAGAGGGCCCCCAGAGGGGCCCCGTGGAGGGCGCAGGGGCCCTCTCGCTGAGCGCGGGAGGCGGCCCCGGGGCGGTACAACAGTAGCTGCCGCCGCTGCTGCTGCTGCTGCTGCTGCTGGCGTCTGCCGCTGTGCAGTTGCGGGGCTCACTTTTTGTGCTGGTCAACAAACTGGAAAAGCTGCTCCGCGCTGAAGGGCAGCCAGGGGCCCTGGGATTTGTGTTTGGCCATAATGATGCTGCCGTCGACAAAGAAAGAGATCCTGGAGAGTACATACACCTGGTGGCCCCGCTCGACCCTGCCTATCTTGGGCCTGCAGCAGAGGCCCCTTTCTGCTGCCATGCCCTGCAGCAACTCCAGCAGTGAGAGGTCTTGCTGCTGCTCCGGCGTGGGCGGCGGCGCAGCAGCAGGAGCCTGCGGGGTTGGCGGCGGCTGCTGCTGCCAGATGGCGGCAGCAGCAGCAGCTGCTGCAGCAGCCGCCGCAGTTGCAGGCACTGCCGCGCCGCCGACAGCTGCTGCTCCCGCGGCTGGGGACAGCGCGGAGCCCCCGAGGAACAGCCCCTGCTGCTGCTGCTGCTGCTGCTGCTGCTGCAGCTGCGCAGCAGCAACGGCGGCGCCCCCGCCTATGAGCTTCAGGGCCTCCGTAAAGCCCCGCTCTATGAGCGGGTGCTGCAGCAGCGGCTGCGGCAGCAGCGCCTGCCAGGCCTTGAACCAGGCGCGAATTTCTGTGGGGTTTGCTGCAGAAGCAGAGAGCCACAGCCGCAGCACATGCAGCCACTGACGCATAAAGCCCTCGTGCAGCACGCGGGCCAGCAGCTCCGTGGGCAGCAGCGACTCCCACAGCAGCACGTCGTTGAAGGGGGTGAGGTCTTGCTGCTGCGGCCGGATCTCGAGCTGCTGCAGCCGCTGCAGCAGCTGCGGCACCACCCCCCGCTGCAGCAGGTCTAGCCACAAGTTGCTGCTGAACACTCCCCTCCAGGGCCGCAGCAGCGCCAGGCAGCTGCGGTCCGAGGCTCTCCAGTGCACAGACAGCACCCGCACCAGCTTCTGCTGCAGCGGCAGCAGCAGCTCCGACTCCGCCAGCGGCCGCTCCACCAGAGACACAAACGGCAGCAGCCACTGGTGCACCGGCCTGCTGCTGCTGCTGCCGCTGCTGCCGCTGCTGCTGCTGCTGGGGGCCAAGGGATCCCAACTGTCGAGCGACCGCCGCAGCTGCTGCACTGCAGGCTCCTGCAGCACCCGGCGGCCCGCCCGGGCCGGCAGCGACGGCAGCCACACCTCCAGCAGCGCAGCAGCAGCAGCAGCAGCAGACACGGGAGTCCAAGAGTTCAGCAGCTGCCGCCGCATGTGCGCCCCAACGGACTCCTCAACTCCTTCCTGCAGCAGGTCGTAAGTCCTCCCTGCCACCAGCCGCTCCAGCTGTTCCTGCCGCTGCTGCTGCTCCTGCAGCAGCAGCAGCTGCTGCTGCTGCCTCTGCTGCTTGAGCTTCGCCATCCAACGCTCCTCCTCCTCCTGGTGCAGCTGCGTGTACACTCCAAACCACTGCCCCACAGAAGCAGCCAGCTGCGGCGCTGCTGTCTCGAGAGGGGCCCACACGCCGCACACCCGCTGCAGTAGCAGCCGCAGCAGCGCAGCAGCAGCAGCAGCAACGTGTAACTTGTAAAAAGCTTCCTGCCACGTGTCTCTCCACCTCAACACCTCCTGCAGCAAAGCCTTCGGGGTGAGACCCCCCGTCAGGTGGCCATACTCCGGCTCCTTGCTGCTGCTGCTGTCGCTGCTACTGCTGCTGCTGCTGCTGTTGCTCTTTGCCTGTGCTTCTTCGTCGCTCCAGCGGTCCGCCTCCGGCTCCTTCTGCTGCTGCCCCTCAGGGCTGCTGCGCCGCTTGATTCGGGTGTACATGGCCTTGACTGCAGCAGCCAGCTGCTTCGTACTTTCCACTGCTAGGTGGCGCTGCTGCTGCTGCTGCTGCTGCCGTTCGTCGTTTGCTGCAGCGTCCAGCAGCTCCTGCTCCTGCTGATGCTTTTGAGCAGCAACTTGCTGCAGATCTCTCTCCACCCGACGAATCTGCTGTCTTAGCGCCTGCTGCAGTAGCTGCAGCGGCACTCCACTTGTGCTGCTGCTGCTGGTGCTGCTGCTGCTGCCGTTCAGCCTCAGCACCTCTTCCTGAAGCAGCTGCTGCTGCTGCTGCTGCCGCAAAGCCTCTCCCACCTCCGCAGCATTCTCTAGGAGTCGAACTTGCGGGCCGGTCATGTCGATAACTCTGAGCTGCTGCTGCTGCTGCTGCTGTTGCTGCTGCAGCAGCATGCGCCCCTCAACAGCTATTTGTGCTGGTGTTTTCACCAGCCGTTTGCTGCGGGCCTTTCCCGTTCGCCACTCGTCAGACACCCCCGTCATTCGCGCGACACCGCCATCTTCTGCTGCTGCTGCTGCTTCTGCTGCTTCTGCTGCTGGCTTCCACCGAAACACGTCAGGCCCTACCACCCCGCTGGGCACCACCTGCAGCAACAACAGCAACAGCAGCAGCGAGCGCAACATTTGGGATGCTGCGCACCAACCTCTTGCAGCAGATGATCCGATAAACAAGAAGCGGCAGCAGAAGCAGCAGCAGCACGGCACAAGCGAGAAAACCAACCGCAGCAGCGGCAGCTGCAATACGAGCCAGAGCAGCAGCAGCACGCCACATTGGCAGCAGCTCAGCTGCAGCAACAGCAGTGGGAGCAGCCACAGCAACGAGCCCAGCAAGAGCCACAGGCAGCACAAGGACGGCAACAAAGCCGCGACACAAGCCCAGCAGCAGCAGCACGGTCAGCAACAGCAGGATCAGCAGCAGTAGCACGATCAGCAAACAAAAAGCGCCAGGGTCTGCAGAAGCAGCGGGATCAGCAGCAGGATCAGGATTAGCAGCAGGATCATCAGAAGCAGGACGATCATCATCAGCAGCAGAATCATCAGCAGCAGCAGGATTATCAGCAGCAGCAAGATCGGCAGCAGCATCACGATCAGCAGAATCAGTAGCATCAGCAGCAGGATCAGCAACAGGATCCGCAGCAGAATCAGCGGCAGAAAGATCAGCAGCAGCAGCAGCAGCAGGATCATCATCAGCAGCAAGGTAAACAGTCGCGGCAGGATCAGCAGGAGAAGCACAATCGGCAGGATCATCATCAGCAGCACGACCAGCAGCAGCAGCAGCATGATCAGCAGCAGGATTAGCAGAATCAGCAGTAGCAAGATCATCATCAGCAGCAAGATTAGCAGGGTCAGCAGCAGAAGAAGCAGGATTAGCAGCAAAATAAGCAGCAGGATCAGCAGCAGCAGGATCCGCATCAACATCAGCAAGGTCAGCAGCAGAATCAGCAGCAGGAACAGCAGCAAGGTCCGGATCAGCAGCAGCAAGCTGATCATCATCATCACAACAGCCGTCAACACCATTCCAACCATCCCCACAATTACAACCACCACCACCACCACCACCGTCAGCAGCAGCACCATCAGCAGCAGCAGCAGCAGCAGCAGCAGCAGCAGCAGCGAAGCGCGCCTTGGTGGGTGCTGCGCCCTTTTCGCCAGGGCGAAGACGTTCGCCCTGGTTTTGAAGGGCTCTGTTTTTCTTGCGGATTTTGACTTCGATGGGGGCGACGAGGCCGCGGCCATCTTTGCCCAGCGCTCCCCCCTTGAAGCCCATTCGCTGCAGCAGCGCGAAGCCTTTTCCGTAGACTTGCTGCATTTGCTGCTGCCCCCAGCCGCCCTGCTGCTGCTGCTGCTGCTGCTGCTGCTGCGGGTCGCTGCCCGGGGAGTCCCCCGGCTGCGCGGCGGCGCGCTTGAACACGAACGCGGGGGAGCGGCTGCGCCGGCCGCTGCTGCTGCCTTCGCTCTCGCTCCCGCTGCTGCTGCTGCTGCTGCTGCTGCTTTCGCTCCCGCTGCTCCCGCCCTCAGATGCTGCGCCTGAAGACCCCGCTGCTGCTGCTGCTGCTGATGCGGACTCGCCATCCGAACGGCCTCCGGAAACGGGAGAAGCCCCGTCCTGCTGCTGCTGCTGCTGCTGTGCGCCCCTGCTGCTGCTTTCGTCCTCGCTTTCCGAGTAATCGAGCCCTAGCTGCTGCAGCACATGCGCGTCCTTGCTGCTTAACTGCTGCTGCGGCTGCTCCTGCTGCTGCTCCTTGTCGCTGGGCTTCTTGATAGACAGCTTCAGCTGGCTCTTGTCGAATTCAAACGGCTGGGGGGCTGCATCGCGACGCCTGCTGCTGCTGCTGCTGCTGCTGCTGCTGCTGCTGCTGCTCTTCTTGCTGCTGCTGCTGCTCTTCTGCTTCTTCTCGTTGGGGTCCTCTGGCTGCAACACTCCACCCTTGACAAACTGAATAGGACCGCTGCCGCCATCCTCGCTGCTGCTGCGGCTACTGCTGCGGCGCCGCCGGCGCTTGCTGTTGCGCCCAGCAGCAGCAGCAGCAGGCCGGCCTACATCCTCATCGCTGCTGCTGCTGCCGCCGAAGCAGCCATAAATTACTTCCTTCCTGCGAGCGCGTCTACTGCTCTTCCCCATTTCTGCTGCTGCAGCAGCAGTGACGCGAGCAGCTGCTGCTGCTGCTGCCGTTACTCCACTCGAGAACTCCGCAGCAGCTCCTCGGTGTACTGCTGTAGCTGCTGCTGCTGCTGTTGCTGCTAGACTTGATCTGCATGTAATGAAACTCCCCCTAAGGGCCCTATAGAAGTCCTTACGGCGTCCCTGCTTGTCTGCGAGGGTTGCTGCCGTTGCTGCCGCTGCTGCTGCTGCTGCTTCTTGCGGCGCTGCTGATTATCGACTTTTGATGGAGCTGCTGCTCTTCCTCCTGTGGCTGCTGCTGCTGCTGAAACGTATTGAGGCAGTTCAGCAGCGCTGAGGAGCGCTATGCAGAGAAGGGCTGCAAGTCGTTGCTGCAGCTGCTGCTGCTGTTCACATTTGCCGCTGCTCGCGGGAGCTGCTGCTGCTGCGGCTCCTGCCGCTGCTGCTGCAGCGCAGTGCCTTTCCTTCTGGTTGGTCTAAAACCCAATCTGTATAAGCTTCCTAATTTAAGCAACTTTTATCTTATAGCCGCAACAGCAGCAACACCCAATGGGGCCCGCCGCTGCTGCATGCAGCAGCAGCAGCAGCAGCTGCCGCTTCTACAGCAGCAAGACACAACCCCACCGCAGCCGACAACCCTCCACCGCAGTTGCCAGGGACACTCGCAGAGGTTTCAGAAGCTGGATATTGCACGACGAATGCCTCGCGGCAGCAAACAGCAGCAGCAGCAGCAGCAGCCGCAGTAGCAGCAGCAGCAGCAGCAACCGCTGATCAGAGAACCACGCATGTACATACTGCTGCAGCAGCACTGTTGACAATAGCAGGAGGCCAGCCCTGCAGTGGCCGCCGTGGCAGCGAAGATGGCGCTGCAACTGCATTGGTGGCCAAATAGCTGATAAGTGCTGCTGCTGCAGCCGCTGCAGCTGCTGCAGCAAGCGCTGCAGCAGCAGCAGCTGATGCTGCGGCCGTCACAATGGAAGAAGCCACGGAGCATAGAGACGGCGCTGCAGCTGAAGGAGCTGCTGCTGCTGCCACTGTACCGGGGGCCGCAGCAGCTAGTTCTGCTGCTGCAACAGCAGTAGCAGCAGTAGCAGCAGCAAATGCCTGCTACGGCAGCAGCAACAGCAAAAAACGGACACACGAAGCTGTTACCACTGGCTCCCCCTCTCCCAAACGTGTGCAGCCGGCTGCCGCAGCTGGCAGCAGCAGCAGCAGCAGCGAGGCCTCAGCATCAGCACCAGCACAGTTCGCAGCAGGGCGGCAGCAGCAGCAGCGGCAGCAGCAGCAGCAGCAGCAGCAGCAGCGGTCCCTGCGGCGAGCCAACCCTTTAAATTTGCGCTTTTGCGTCGCTTTGCAACGCCTGCGGAAGTCCGCCACTCTCAGGAAGGACCTCCGCATAGCCAGTGCCCACAGAAAGGTAAACCCTAAACCCTAAACCCTAAACCCTTAGACCCCAAACCCTATTTGGCGCGCACAGGATGCGCTTGAAGTCCAGCTTCAAGGGTTTAGGGTTTACAGCTGGCGATCCCTAGGGCTCTGCTACTGCGGCATGCTAGCGTTGTAGCCTCCCAGGGTTTAGGGCTTAGGGTTTAGGGTTTAGGGTTTAGGGTTTAGGGTTTGGGCTGCAGGGCATCGTGTCGCTCCTGCGCTTCCCTCTCCCCCTCTTTGGTTTGGCTCGAGCGGAGCTGCTGGGGGGAGTTGGGCGGAAGACTGCCAGCATCCTGATGCAGTAAACCCTAAACCCTAAACCCTAAACCCTAAACCCTAGTTGGCGAGTGCTAGACGCTGCTTGCCGAGCTGCCACGCACAGTTCATAGGCAGCAATATGCAAACCCTAAACCCTAGACCCTGCGCCCTCGGCCAGGTTCTTGAGATGCTGAGCCGCAACCCCTGAGGATTTAGGATTTAGGGTTTAGGGTTTAGCGCTTGTAGGGTAGAGTCTAGGGTTTAGGGTTTGCTCGTTGAGCCCAAAGCCCTCGCAAGAAGTGCTTCTATTCTAAACCCTAAGCCCTAAATTCAAAGCCGCCATCTTGTGTTTCTGCTGCTGCTGCTGCTGCTGCTGTTGCTGCTGCTACAGCGTTCTGGCAGCTGCTCCGGAGCCGCTAGACCGAGACCCTGACAAGCTGTTCTCCGCCGTTTCTGCTGCTGCTGCTGCTGCTGCTGGCGCCGGTGGCTGTGGTTCTGCTGCTGCAACAGAAGCAGCAGCAGTTGCTGCTGCTTGTGCTGCTGCTCCGGACTGCAGCAGCGACATGCTGCTGCAGCTGCACAGACACCGCGTAGCAGCACTGAAGCGGGCAGAGGCCTTTGCAGAGGCAGAGCGGAGGCGGGGCCGGCTGCCCCTCCTCAGCAGCAGCAGCAGCAGCAGCAGCAGCAGCGGTGGAGGTGCAGCCTTGAAGCTGCCTCCCCGCTGCAGCAGCAGGTGGACGGTGCTGCTGTGTCTGTACAGCTTCGGCCACTTCTTTAAGCGCCGGCGCATGCGGCTGGCGCAAATTGCTGCTGCTGCCAACAAGCTGAGGCTGCAGGTAAACCCTAAACCCTAAACCCTAAACCCTAAATACATCCCACTCACGTCCTCAGCGCTATGTTCACTGGCCGGCCGTTCAGGCTGCTGCTGTAGCTACAGCAGCTGCTGCTGTAGCTGCAGCCGCTGCTGCTGCTGGAGCCGCTGCGGCTCCCGCTGCGGCTGCTGCTGTAGCCGCTGCGGCTGCTCATGCTGCTGCTGTGGCCGCTGCTGCTGCTGCTGCATACGTGAGGTGATGCAGTGTACGTACACTGCGTTTCAGGGCATCAGCTGCGCCGTTAGCAGCCTCCGCGTTGCAGCGGAGAAGTTGGTGCAGGAAGGGTTGCTGCTGCAGTATCCCCACAGCAGCGTCAGCAGCAGCAGCAGCAGCAGCAGCAGCAGCAGCAGCAGCAGTAGCAGGGGGGCATCAGCAGTTTCGCTGCCCTTGGGGGATGCTCAACCCATACTGCGCCAGCCGCTGCAGCAGCAGAAGCAGCGGCAGAAGCAGCAGGAGCGGCAGCAGCAGCGGCTGCAGCAGCAGCTGCTGCGCTATGGCCTGAGCCCCACTGGTGAGGAAGTAGCAGCAAGGTGTGCTGCTGCTGTTACTGCTCCCCTGGCATCCGCCAGCCCCCCGTGTACAGAGACAAGCAGCAGCTGCAGCAACAGCAGTTGCTGCAGCAACGCTGAAAGCAGCAGCAGCAGCTGCAGCAGCAGCGAGGAATGTGACGTAGTTAGGGAAACAGCACCAAAACCAGCTCGCGTCTCCACTGCTGCTGCTGCCACTGCTGCCGCTACTGCTGCTGCACCTGCAGCTGCAACTGCTCTTGCTTCATCAGCAACCACTGTAAATTCATTGGCAGGAACGACAGCAGCAGCAGCAGCAGCAGCGGCGGCAGCAGGTGCAGCGGCAGCAACCCCGAAGAAGTCAGCTGCAGCAGCAGCTGCTGCTGCATTAGCTGCCTGCAACGTCGCATTGGTGACAGAGCCCTTACTTGAGAGGATCAGGCGGGCTGGAACTAAAGCAGCAGCAGCAGCAAGAGCAGCAGCAGCAGCAACAGCAACTGCAGCAGCAGCTGTAACAACGGCAACAGCAGCGGCAGCGACAGCAGCAGGTACTCCTCTTGCAGTGGCGGCTGGCACTCCAGTAGCAGCAGGAGGAGATGCCTCAAGGAGCCCAAGAGCAAAAGCAGCAGCAGTTAGAGCGTCAGCAGCAGCTGAAGCAGCAGCAACAGCAGCAGCGGCAGCAGTAGCGACAACAACAATAACAGAAAGGAGCCCAGAGGCAGCAGCAGCAGCACCACCAGAGTCTCCGGGTAGCTTTCAGCAGCAACGGCTGCGAGCTGCTCAGGCATTGGCAGCAGCAGCAGCAGCAGCAACAAGAGTCCTTGCTGCCTGCAGCAAACCGCCAGAGCTGCTGCTGCTGGTAGACACGCGAGAACGGAATGGCAGCAGCAACCGCAGCAAGCGCCTGCAGCAGCAGACGCTGCTGCAGCGGTTGCTGCAGCGCAACAAGGTGCCCCTAGAGCAGCGCTGCCTCCCTGTGGGTGACTTTGCATGGATCTGGAGACCAGATGCTGCTGGTGTTGCTGCTGCTGCAGCGGAAGGAGCAGCAGCAAAGCCGCAGCAGCAGCTCGAATACTTGCTGCCGATCTTAGTGGAAAGAAAAACACCAGGGGACCTGATGGCTTCGATCCTTGACGGCAGGTCAGTTAGAATCAAGGGTCAGGGGTTTAGGGTTTAGGGTTTAGGGGTTAGTGTTTAGGGTTTAGAACTGAGGAGGTGTTTTCTGCAGGTACACAGACCAGCAGCAGCGGCTGATGGAGACACTGGGTATCGAGACAGCAATATTTTTGTTTGAGGGGGACTGCAGCAGCAGCAGCAGCAGCGGGGGCTCTGCTGCTGCTGTTGCTGCTGCTGCGGCCCCGCAGGTGCAGCGCAACGCTGCTGCTGTCCGTACAGCGCAAGTGCATGCGCTGCTGCTCTCTGGCTTCCACGTGCTGCAGGCAGCAAACCCTCGGCACTCGTGAGTCTTTTCATGCTGTTTTAAATGAGGCTGAAGGGTTTAGGGTTTAGGGTTTAGGGTTTAAGGTTTAGGGTTGGGGCTATGCGTGCTCTGCCTCAGTGCCGCCCTGCTCACGCTGCTGCACAGGCGGCTGCAGCAGCGGCTTTCAGCTTACTGGCAACAGCAGCAACAGCAGCAGCAGCAACAGCAACAGCAGCAGCAGCAGCAGCAGCAGCAGCAGTTTCTGCTGTGGAGGGTTTGGGCGGATGCGACAAGGAAACAGAGTCAGCGCAGCACTCAAGAGATGTTCTTCTTGCAGCTCAGAGCTGTACGGCAGTCCAAACCCTAAACCCTTAACCCTAAACCCTAGGCCTTGGCAGTCGAGGCTAATTGTCTCAGGCGGTTATACGGCCGCCGTGCAGCCTGCCATACTTGCTGCTGCTGTTACTCTTGCTGCTGCACTTTTCGCTGCTGCTGCTTGCTGCTGCTGTTGCAGAT